AATTTAGACTGGTTCAAAACCCATTCAGACCAATTTAAACCAGTTTAGAACAGTTCAGACCAGTGTTTTGCCTAAGTATTTAAGCACCTAGTCAATTACCTAATTACAAGCACCTAATTACCTAAATAGCTCAGTACCTGATTAGGAGCACCTAAATACCTAATAGTTAATTGCCCAAGTGCCAAAGCACCTAACTACCTAATGGAATAATTACATAAATACCTCTTTATCTAAGTTGCCATTCAGTCCTTTTTCAGTCATATTGCACTCTTTGTAACCTTATTTGGGGTTTTCTTGCAAAGATACTGGAGTTGTTTGCCATTTCCTTCTCCAGTTTTTACAGACGAGGAAACTGAGGCAAACAGGGTTAAGTGACTTGCCTAGAGTCACATAGCTAGGAAATGTCTGAGGCCAGATTTGAACACAAGGATGAGTCTTCCTAACTACAGGCCCAGCACTCTATCTACATCACCACTAGCTGCCCATGATGAATATGTGTGTGTGATGCATGTATGTGCATATATACATGTATGTATATAACTGTATGCACATATGTATATATGTACACCTTTACATGTAATTCTTAATAACTGAGACCTTTTCCAAGTCAGGATGCTTGGATATTGGCAGTTATTTCCCTTCCAAGAGAATCCAAGCTAGCATTCGTTTGCTGAAACTTAATGGAAAAGCTATTAACCCCTCTACCCAACGGATTTTGATTTCTCATCTCAGATAACAGGCAAAGGCCCTTCTCCTTCCAGTGATCTTCTTAGGTAGCCAAAGAACTCCCTGGGAATACTCAGGGAAAATCTGACTCTATTTGTTACTAATTTCTCCTACGTAGGGGGGTAAGATGATTCAATTAATGACTGAAAGGAAAAAATAATCCACTGCAACATTTTAAAAGCACACAGAAGAAAATAACTTTCAGAAGAAGGGTAATTTTGTTAAAAGGACAACTAAATGTTAAATTTAATATGCACTTTTTAAAAACAAACTGTACATAACAGAAGTTCATGGCTTCATATATAATCCTCTTTTTTTGTTCTTTATAAGGAAATGTTTATTATTTGTTAATGGTAACCAGTTCAGGACAAAAAAGATAAAAACAAAAACAAACAACAGAGAGAAAAGTCCCAGACTCACCAAGCCCTAACCATAATAAACTGTCAACACTACCTCCCAACTACCACCTAAGCTCCGACCCTTCCTCTTATCCCATGTATTATGTATGCATGTATACATATACATATGAAAACGTGCTGATATGTGAACATATCTCCTATGTGTTATACACACGTGTGTGGTAAAAACTAGCATTTTAAGGATTGGAAAGTACTTTCCAGCTATTACCTCATTTCCTCCTATGTATGTGTTAATGAATTAAGGAAAAAAAGAGCATTTGTTAAGTGCTTGCTATGTGCCAAGCACAGTGCTAAATGTTGGGAATACAAACAGAAAAGAGGAAACAGTCCTTCTCTCATTCTAACGGGGAAGACAATACACAGGAAATTTCAGCAGGATGTCAGATGGTAAAGTCTCTAGGGTGCACTGGCCCCCTACTTTCTTCAATACATAGACATGTAATAGACTTGCTGGGCTCTTCCGACCTCTGACACAAGCACACTGGAGAGAACAGGGGAAAAGATGCAGGAGGTATGATAAAGGGATGTCACCGTCGTCGTGATGCGCCTTGTCATACAGTGGTCACCAAAACATTCCTGATGCCCTAGACCTAACACAGTTCGTTATCCAGCCCAGAATACAGATTTTCTCAGGGACACACACAACTCAAGGAAGCATAGACATTGGAAAAGCTACTCAAGGGGCAGCTAGCTGGCGCAGTGGATAGAGCAGCGGCCCTGGATTCAGGAGGACCTAAGTTCAAATCTGGTCTCAAACATATAACACTTACTAGCTGTGTGACCCTGGGCAAGTCACTTAACCCCATTGCCTAAAATAACAAAAAAAAGTGTCAGACCATAGAATCTTTTAAACAAAAAACAACAAAAAAAAATACAATTAAAAGAAAGGGGCAGCTAGGTGGCACAGTGGATAGAGCACCGGCCCTGAAGTCAGGAGGACCTGAGTTCAAATATAGCCTCAGACCAAACAGTTGACACTTACTAGCTGTGTGACCCTGGGCAAGTCACTTAACCCCAACTGCCTAAAAAAACAAAAAACAAAAAAACAAATAAAATTAAAAGGAAAGCTACTCAGTAATACCGTCTCCCTGGAACCCACAATGTTGCTCTGCCCTGAAGAGGTCTCACCTAGCTTTTGTTTTCTCCTTTAAAGACAACTAATGTATGCCCAGAAAGTCACCAAACTAGGCATAACCTGTGACCCAGCTACATCATGAGGAGGTCTATAGGCCGAAGAAATCAAAAAAAGAGGAAAAGGATCCATCTATATATATATATATATTTTTTTTTTTTTTGGTTAGGCAATGGGGGTCAAGTGACTTGCCCAGGGTCACACAGCTAGTAAGTGTTGTGTGTCAGAGGCCGGATTTGAACTCAGGTCCTGTGCTCTATCCACTGCCCCACCTAGCTGCCCCTAAGGATCCATCTATACAAAAACATTTATAACAGCCCTTTTCATGTTAGTCCAAAATTGGAAACTAAAGGAACTGTTTTACTATTGGGGAATGGATAAACAAATTGTGCTACATGAATATAATGGAATATCACTGTGCCATAAATAATGAAAAGGACAGTTTGAGGGGAAGCTGGGAAGGCCTTTATGAACTGACGCAGAGCAAAGTGAGCAGAGCTAAGAACATGTCACACAATGGTAACATAACATAGAAAAACGACTTTGGAAAAGACTCCAGAACTCTGATCAACGCAATGATAAACTGCAAGTCTGAAAGAACAAAGACAAAACATGACACTCACCTCCCGACAGACGTGATGAACCAAAGACACTGAAAGAAACATATTTTCTGGCATGGTTGATGTTGAAATTTACTTTCCTGGACTATGTGGATAGGTATTGAAGGACTGTTTATTAAGTCTTTTAAAAAATTTGCTTGAAGGGCAGCTAGGTAGCACAGTGGATAGAGCTCCAGCCTTGGAGTCAGGAGGACCTGAGTTCAAATCTGACCCCAGACACATGACACTTACTAGCTGTGTGACCCTGGGCAAGTCACTTAACCCTGCCTCACACACACACACAAAAATTTGCTTGAAGTTAGGATATGATAGTAGGAGGGGCAGATGAATTTTTAAAAGTACTTGTTACTCAAAAATTTTTAAATAACAATTAAAAAATGAAGATAAAAGCAGCAATATATTTCTAGGCTACAAAACCAGCCCAGAAATTCTGCCTGCTTTTAGCTATTGTTGGCAGGTGAATTCACAGTAGAAAAGAGTATGATGCCCTCTTCAGGGCTAGTGCTCACAGATGCTTTCTTCCTGTCCCAATAGTTTAGTTGTCCTGCCTTCCTTATGAAATAACCAAGAACTACACAGAAAGGGTAAAGAATCTCACAGGAAGATAGATCCTCCAGGGAACCCAACCAAAGAAAAGATTCTGTTGATGTTCTCGGAGCAATGAGCTAAGAAAGCCAATCTTGGCTCAATACACAAAGGACCAAAACCAGAAAAGGCTGAAGACTAAGACATGTGCTTCAATAGGGAGCCCTCAGAGTTCAGCCATCAGTACACATACACACACCAACACCAACTGCTGACCAACGGACACTACAGGCAGGTGAGGGCCCGAGCTCCAGGAACATCAGCACTGCCCAGACCATCAGCCAGACTCCCAGCCGTCACCCGCGGAAGCAGCCCCTGTGGAGGAAGGGCCAGGCACCCTCAACAATTGCTGACCAACTGTTACCTAGCTCATCTATTGTCTCTTCTCAGTAGTAAATAGTAGACATATTCTGCTATGTTTTTCTTTTATGCAGCTACTGGGACTGTACATTATTTCTAGGCAGTATATTGGCAAAGTAGGCCCAGGGTCTCTATGAGACTATAGTCTGACATAGACCACCATAATACGGAGAAATAACAAACAGCAGCTAGCCCTTTGTCCAGTCACTTTATTGTCACTGATGGCATCTTTCCTTCACCTGTGTTACAGCAACACGTGTGATCAGCTTAGCTACCTCCCTCCCTCTGCACCCTACCAGCCTCTTTGGAAGATCTGCTGTGGACCAGTCTGAGCTAAAACAGGGCTGATGCTATGTTCTACCTAGTCCTGTTCTCTATAACAATAATGATGATAGCATTTTTATAGTGCTTTAAAGTTTGCAAAATACATTTCACATTATTCATTTGATCCTCACAGCAACCTTGTGAAGCAGGTAGTATTACCATCATCCCCATTTTAAAGAGGAAGAGACTGAAAGATTTAGTGACTTGTCTAGGGTCACACAGCTGGTGTCTGAGGCAAGATTCAAACTCAAGTCTTTCTTATTCTAGGTCTAGCATTCTGTCCACTGACCCACCTAGCTGCAGGCCAAGTCACTCTGGCAAGGAGCTAAGAAGTACTGCAGGCCAGGTGGACAATGCTATCACAATGACTTCTGTGGTGCAACAGAAAGCTCTCTTGATGGTTTGTTTACTTGGCCAATCACCTACCTCCTGGATACATCTAGAAACATGTTCTTCCTACCAAAATGATATTTTTAATGTTAAAAACAGAGCTTATTTTCACAAGGTGAGATCTCCCTAAAATAGAGCAGGAAATGGAATTGAACGTCATTTGGTTCACCATCTCCTCCCTCCCATGCAGGCCTGATAGGTCGATGTCATCCATTTAGGACTCCAGTGATAAGCAAAGCCAGCCACTAAAAATCATTTCAAAGCTCTTCCTTTCATTAAGCTAAAGCCTGCCACCTAGTTAACATTTGTCACTTCTCCAGAAATGCTTCCCCCTCTCCAATCTTTGTGTTCCCATTTTACAGTCCCCTCTCAGTGTCAAAATTAACCATCTTCCGTATCTCCCTCATTTATGATGAAAGGACAAAGCTTGAGGGAGTTTTCAAGTGAATTTTGTAAAAATCAGAATCAGGTTTATTTGGATACTTCATTATACAGGGTTACACTGAACTCATGAGTCTCACGTGCTTTAAAAAGGGGACTTCTGATTGTAGCACTTATGAGAACACCCAGAATTTAAAACTCAGCTTGCCAGTAAATTAAATAATACACCGAGAATCCCATATACAGCAGTAATGAAGAATTGCATTCATTCAAACAATAGCTGTGCTGTCCTCACATAGGAGATTTACTTTTCCTGAAAAGCATAATATATTTGAGTCTTTTCTGTTGGCCCTCTGATGCCTCAATTCGGCTACAAGAGGGAGAGGAAAGCTCAGGATGCAGGTCTCTTTAAGTTTACCCAAACTGACTTTTTCAGTCCATGACTCATCTTGACTTCATCCCAGTCTAATTTGGTATCTGGCACCTCATCTTCAGGCTCAGGCTCTTTTCTAATTGCTCCTTGAGGAGAGGCGACCACTATGGGCAGAGGACCACATTCTTCCCTGAACTCGACAACAAGAAGGCTTTTCTTCTCTGCCAGCTGCTGATGAGTCTCCTATGCAAAACAAAAAGGGAGAGAAAGAAAAAGTCCAGAAGGCTGAAACAGTGAAGGACTTAAATAAGAACATGCCAATTTTGTTACTAGTGAAGTATTAAATTTCATGTACTCAAAAGAAACTGCAATAAAAGTTTATCATTTCATATACAATCCTGTTTTTTGTATATTGAAAGATTCATGTTAGTTGATAATTAAGCTCCTAAGAAAAAAGAACATAGTAGCAGCTAGGTAGTGCAGTGGATGGAGCACTGGCCCTGGAGTCAGGAGGACCTGAGTTCAAATCTGGCCTCAGACACATAACACTCACTAGCTGTGTGACTGTGGGCAAGTCACTTAATCCCAACTGCCTCACCAAAACAACAACAACAACAACAACAACAACAACAACAACATAAATATTCCTGTGAAGAAGCTCCCACAAACAAGATGAAACTCAGCAGTCAAGTATCACGACAATACTTTCAGGTACCATGAAACCTTCCTGACTTTGAGGCATCCTTCTGGCCTGGATGCACGCTAGATGGGTAAGGTGAGAGACGGTAAAGACGAGGAAATGAGGAGGGGAGTGAGTGTTTGTGCATCTGGGTGCTGACACGTGTCTGACGACAGTCCAAACTCTGCTGGTTTGGTATCTGAGCTTCACCTCTCCATTGCTGTGGCATGTTGGGGTAATTATGTTAAAAAATAAAAACAGAAACAAAAACAGAAAGGACAGCCACAGTTACTAAAAAGTCAACAACAAAAATAACGCTCTTACCATTAAAGTCTTTGTCTCTGTCAAATGGTTCAGTATCAAAAACGGATAAGTTTTGCTAATGACAATAACATGAAAGATGCACTGCCATCTGCTTTACCAGCACCCCCAAAGGACCACTGAGCCCTGAGGTGCAGCTGAAATCTCCTGTTATGTGCTGTCTCCCCCACTGGCATGTGAGCTCCATGAGAGCAGGACTGCCTTGCTTTTCTGTTTGTAACCACAGCATTTAGCACAGGGCTCTGGACATAGCAAGCAATTAATAAATGCTTTCTCATTCATTCATTCCTAGCTATCTCTCAATAAATATTTGCTAAACTGAATTAAATGAACTGTCATGATAGTTTCCCAATCAACAGATACAAAGAGTACAACTACTATAATGGGAGATGTAAGAAAGTTTTTGATGTTAATAATACCAACTAACATTTATGTCGCTCTTCAAGGTTTACAAAGAAGCCCTTTACAAACACTATCTCATTTGATTCTCATAAACCCATGAATGGAGGTGCTATTATTATCCCCATTTTACAGACAGGGAAACAGGCTGCAAGGTTAAACAACTTGCTCAGCTTGTAAGTGTCTGAAGCAGGATTCAGGTTTTCCTGACTAGCAGAATGCTGTAGTGGGAAGGTCTCTGGATTTCAAGTCAGAAGCCCTAGATTAGAAGTCCAAGTCTGCTGCCTACTAACTGCATTTCCAAGAGTTAAGTCACAGCCTCAGTGGATCTCAATTTCCTTATCTGAAAAATGGGAACAATAATGCACTATCTACCTCACCATGTCTTTGTGAAGATCAAATGGTGCAGTGGGCACTGGGTTGCACAAACCCAAAATCACCAAATATAGACATGTTGGACTTAAGAGACAGAAAGATGTAAAATCAAATCCTAGCTAAGAGAATAACTGTGTGAAAACATAGCTGGGAAGATCACTAACATGCTGAGTCTCAGTTGTTTCATCGGCAAAATGAGAATAATTATAGAATTTACCTTACAGAGTTAGGGTCAGGTTCAAAGGAGAATGTATTCAAAATGCCTGAAAATGTGTCTGTGTTAGTTACTGTTGTCATTAAGTGTTCAGTGGTGACTTTTCTAGTTTTCGGTGAAATGTGGCCTCAAGAAGATAACTGGGAAATCTGATTTCTTTAAAAGATATGAATATATATAAGATATATAGATAATTGCACTCTAGAAATCACAGAAAAATAAAGCAGCACTAATACTTGTAACTTATGTGCAGGGCTACCAAGAGTGGCAAGTCCTCAGCTGGGTCTCTTAGGTCTGGAGTTCAAGCAGCATCTTAAAAAAAATACACAGTAGGGACAGTTAGGTGGTGCAATGGATAGAGCACTGGCCCTGGAGTCAGGAGGACCGGAGTTCAAATCCAACCTCAGACCCATAACACTTACTAACTAGACTCTGGGCAAGTCACTTAACCCTACTGCCTAGCCAAAATAAATAAACAGTAGAAGGTCAATCTGGCAACTTCAAGACTACTGGAAAGGCTGCGTTGTTTATATTTGCTGATGATTTGTTAAAATTCATAACAAAAAAGAATTTTTTTGAAGGACACACACCCACACATGGAAGATAATGAATTTTTAAGAGTAAAGACTCTCTTTACAAGGTCTGCTTGGAGAAATCCAAAGAGTCACTTACAGTTGCTAGGAGTCAATGGAACAGGCTTCCCCAGGAAACTATTAATATAAGCTAATAGGTAGGTAAGAGTCACAAGGACCAGTTTTACTATGTGCTGTAAAGCTGGCTTCTTTTTCTTTTACTTGCAAGTTATACTAAAGTAAGAGGAAAATGAAAGCCTGGCCAAAAGGATCCGAGGGATTTTTCTTTGTGGAGCAAATACCCACAGCTCACCCCAAAAGAAAAGAAACCTCCCCCAAAGGCAGACCCCACAGCAGGCCTGCACAATCTGTGGCCCACCAAAGGATTTTGGGCGGCCCTCGAAAAAGGAAGAGGAAAACATCCTCCATATTTCTGTCGGGCTGCCGGAAATCCTCTGGTTGGCCACAGGTTGTCCAGGCTGCTCTACAGTAAGTATTTTGTGACTACTATCTGTATGCATGTGACTATTTGACACTCAGGTACATAGTATTTGGCTGAAAACACAAGACTATTTTAAATAACTGTAAACACACAGGAATATTTTGACTTGTAATTTTTATTTCGGTTCAGCTCAATGAAGGGTTACCATTGGAAACTCTAGGGGTCTCCCAAAGAGGAAACTCTTTCTCTCCTTATGCAGAAGGTCAATTGTCCTTCTTGTAGAACAGAACAGAGTGAGGGGGCGGGGTGGTTATCAACTAAGTGACTGGGCCAGGGCCACACTGTGTGTGTCAGAGGATAGGACTTGGAGGCAAGTCTTCCTGACTCCAAAGTCAGCTCTCCACCCACTAGACCAAGCTGCCTCTCCACTTGTAACTAAAGTTATAAAGACCTCCTTATAAGGTAATAGCACTTTGTTCCAGACAGGAATCCAAAAACCCCCTCGAGAAGTTAAGAGCTCTGGCCAAGGCTGAAATCATAGTAATATCACTATCGCTGTGTTTGTTAGCAATCTGCTGGCCAGAACTGTGGTAACAAATAGAGAGACGATGACATACACAGCTTTCAGCTAAGTGCAAAAGGCTCATTTTAATGTTAAAATCAATACGTACTAATAGGTTTTGTTTTTACATTACCTAGAATTGCCCCTCTGTCTCCCAAAAAGTGATCTCTCATAACAAAACAACTGACTGCCGTTTCACTTAAAAGCTTTGGTCAGTTTAGATCAACCAAGGGAAATACCTACTGAAGCGTAACATTTAACTGAATATTCACTTCACGAATGCCAATAATAGCAGCTAAACATTACAACTTCACTGAATGATACTGAAAACAATGAACACAATGCAAATTTTTCAAATCATATTAATATCATTTGTAATATCTACCTGTCTTGATAATGCATGGAAGACTCCTCTGGTCATATTAATTAAATTGACAGATCCAGTAACCTTTGCATACATATCTTTAATTCCAATAAGTTTGCAAATTGTAATAATGGCTCGATGACAACGAAGACCATGACCTGGAAAACAAAAGAAAATAACAAAATTTTTACGCACAAAATGGTATGCCTCTACATAAAACTGAAAAGCTTTTACAAAAACAAAAGCAATGAAGTCAGAAGTAGAAGGGAAAAAATTAATGAGGGGAAAAAATCTTTGCAGCAAATTTCTCTAATAAAGGTCTGACACCCAAGATATACAGGGAATTGATAAAAATATCTGTGAACAAGAGCCATGCGCTAATAGGGTCAGAGGCTACAAACAGGCAATTATCAAAGGAAGGAAATCAAGTCATCAATATGTACATGAAAAATTATCCAAATCACTAATGAGAGAAATGCAAATCAGCTCTGAGCTTCCATATGATAAAAAGGGGGAAATGACAATATTGGAGGGGCTGTGGGAAAACAGGTAGTTTCAGAATTGAAAAAATACTTATTTTGAAGAACTGCTATGTAAAATAGTCATATTCTAAGGGGCAAGTTCATTTTTATGCCTGAGAGGGAATGAAGAATGTTGGTTTCATTTATTTTTTAATTCCATAATGTTTCTTCTTCGAGGAAATGTGAGGTCATTAGAAAATGTTCTGTGGGCTATTTTTTTAAACCTCATTTCAAATTGGATTAGATTTTCCAGGATGATTCTCATGAATGTAAAACAGAAAGCATGCTATAGGGAATAGGTCATATCTGTTTTGAAGTACTTGACATATATCTGCCTGAATTTGGTAGATTTCTACATTTTTTTTTTTTGCTTAGGCAGCTGGGGTTAAGTGACTTACCTAGGGTCACACAGTAAGTGTCAAGAGTTTGGTCTGAGGCCAGCTTTGAACTCAGATCCTTCTGACTTCAGGTCCGGTGCTCTATCCATTGCGCGACCTAGCTGCCCCAGGTTTCTACATTTTATCAGGTTTGCTAGACAACTATTTCCTCACTGTTTCAAAATTCACATGTGGCAAAGACAAACTCTAATGTAATTACTATTTCTACTTCCAGGTAATTTGGAGCCTAAAGAACCATAAAAAACTTTTTGTAATTATTTTTTTATATATATAATTAGTTGTGTCAATAACACCAAGAACAAATTGATTTTTCCCATCAAGTAGGGGGTATCATGATCCAAAATGGCCTTCCAGCTCCTACTGGAAAGAGTGAGAAATAATTCATGAAACTTGTACAGAGAAACAAAGAACTCCTCTCAAAGTCTCCATTCAAAGAGGGCTCACAGACTAGCCAAACTCTTCATTTCCCACTAGAGGTATTTGGGGACTTGGACTCTACTATTCTATCCTCCCCACCCCCACTTTTCCAATTTCTTTTGTTTGTGGCCTTACCTCACTAGACTAAAAGCTCCTTGGGGCAAGGACTGTCTTTCTGATTTGTATCCCTATCGCTCTGCAGTGTTTAACACATATCAGGCACTTAATGTTTACTGACTGATTACAGGACTAAGATCTATAAATGGTCGATGCTGTCTCCAAGGAGTTTGGTAGGATTTCCTACCACTGCTCCCAAGACTGCTGTACAGGGCAGTATTAGCAGCCAGTATGGTGTAGTCAGCTAAGCTGTGCCAGTTGTAGGGTTCTATGCATTCAAAAGCTCTAAAGGCAGAAAAGGCTTTGGGAAAAGACACCATAATACAATGGCAAAGGCGGTGGACTTGGAGTTAGGAGGATCTAGGTTAAAATCCTGGTCCTATTTACTAACTGTGTGCCTTTAGGCAAGTCACTTAATCCCTCACCAGTTTCCTCATCTGTAAAATAAGAGAGTTGAACTAAGTATCCTCTAAGATACCTTGAAACTCCAAAGTTATGATTGAAATAGGAAAGATAACAAAGCTTCAGAAATGGAATATTTTAGGCTACAGATGAAACTGTAACATTTAAACATATAAAGGACTAAATCTTAAAGTCCAGATATAAAAATATTTCTTTTAAATGACAAAATAAATGGTTTTTGTGGGCTGAGGTTTTTTTAAATTATAATTTAAAAGACGTAATTAAGGCAATAAAGCACATTCTACTTTAATTATTTTCCATCTCTTTAATGAAACTTCTCCAAGTTATATAATCCATAAAGCATTGCTTTACTAATGCACTGCTTACTAAAAGCCTTCAGGATTTATACATCAACATTAAGATGAAAAGACGCCCTTCCCTGACACCAGTCACACCAACCTGAAAGCTGCTGTAGCCACACCACCTGGTAATGAACTTTAGTTCTTACATAACAGACCAGAGTCTTGTCACTTGGATCCTCGGCAGTGACGCCCTCCACTCTGAAGGCCGTTGATAACTTGGGCTCATTCAAAGTTACAATGATTACTCCACAAAAAGCAGTGAGGTCAGGGATGGAACTCTCCTTCCTGCTGTCCCAAGCCCATCTACCCATTTAACTGGTGTCTCTACTTCCGTACATATTCTCAGACCTTAACTTAGAATTACACCTTTAATATTTTCACAACTAATGACTAATTGGCAGCGATGGCTCTACACAGTAATCTATAGCTTGAAATTATCCCTCATTACCTTCACAGTCTCATCCCTTCTTATTTTTGATTCGAAGTGTGTTGTTGGGTTTTTGTTGTTGTTGTCGTTGCTGGGTTTTGGGGAGTGGAAGGTTGAGAGTAGTGCTGAGAGGAGGAATTTGGGTTCTATCAAAATTTATCCCAAATTGGCCACAGGCAACATTGTACAACTCTGTGTAGTTATTTCATTTCCAAGGACCTCCATTTTACCCCCCCAAATCAGTCATTTCTTAAATACCTCTGGTTTGCTTCTTCATCCTGATATGTGTTTTCTTAAATGTTAAAGAAATATCATGGTAAACTAGAAGAACAAAAACAGATTGAGAGGAATTAGACACGAGTCTACTACATCTACACCAAAGACAAAAAGTAAATGGTAGTAGTAACTTAGCCTTATAAATAATGACTTACACAATTACCCCAACTGATTAAATATTTATGAGCTAACTACTGAATGTCAATCTCTTTTATTCAGTTAATTATCACAGAAAGACTGATAAATTTTGACAATTTACTTTTAAACAAAACAATATAAAAACACCTCACCAACATATACACAAACAGATTAGGATGTGAAGATACACACCTATCTACCAAAGAAGTGCATAAAATTGCATGTGTGGGTCTGTTTAGGAAATTGCTTAGAGAAATGGATGCCACATTTGCTTATAGCTGAAAGCGATGCAGGGGAGGGCATAAGATTGTCTTTTTTTTTTAATTTAGGCAACTGAGGTTAAGTGACTTGCCCAGGGTCACACAGTTAGTAAGTGTCAAGTGTTTGGTCTGAGGCCGGATTTGAACTCAGGTCCTCCTGACTTCAGGGTCGGTGCTCTATCCACTGAGCCACCTAGCTGCCCCTGGGAGGCATAAGATTAAAAAGGGTCCAGGAAAAAAGAGGAGGATGTGCTCTTTCCATCTATCTGTCATGCTGGAGCCAATGCCCACCAAGAAACCAAAAGCACGGAGGTTTCTGCTGGTTCTTCTTAGAGCTGCTGCTGGGAAGCAGAGTGATGCACTAAGGAAGAGTACTAAATTTGGAGCTGGAGGATCTGAGTTGGAATCCCGATTCTTTGTGCATGGGGATCTTATTCATAGGGCCTGATGACCTCTGAGATGCCTTTCAGCTCTCAAACTACAATCTCGACCTTTCTGGCCTTTTGTGGCTACTCACACACAGGAAACAGCCGTGAGAAGGAAGAAGGGAGAACCAGAAGTTTAAAATCTATCGGACTACCTCAGGGGTGGGGAGCCTGAGGCCTCAAGGCCACAAGTGGCCTTCTAGGTCCTCAGGTGCTGCCTTTTGACTCACTCCAAGTTTTACAGAACAAATCTCTTTATTAAGGAGATTTGTTCTAAAGGGATTTGTTCCCTGAAGTTTGGATTCAGTCAAAGAGCTGCACTTGAGGACCTAAAGGGTCACATGTGGCCTTGAGGCCATGGGTTCCCCACCCCAGTCTACCTAATTCCTTTCTGTAGTTAATTGAATTTTTTTTAATCGACATTCAGTGTTTATATAGGGTCAGAGTAGGAACTGGAGACTGAGTTGGATTTTTATGGCAATGTAATGGCTCAGAAAGTAATTTGTAATGTTTCTGAGAATTTGTTACTCTGAAAAATCTGAAGTTTCCAAAAAATAATTTGTGAAAGTTCACAAATTTATCCCCAACTGGAGGCAACTACCCACCACTTATTATTCAAAACAAACAAAATTCAGTATTTACAAACTCAAGAACATCACTAAAAGGTTTCCAAAAACATTACATTTTCATATATTTCCAATAAGTTGATTTGTTTTGTTCGACTTTGATGTTCGGTCATTTCAGTCACGTCTGACTTTTCATGACCCCACGTGGGGTTTTCTTGGCAATGATACTGGAGTGGTTTGCCATTTCCTTCTCCAACTCATTTTACAGATGAGGAAACTGAGGCAAACAGTGTTAAGTGACTTGCCCAGAGTCACACAGTAAGTGTCTGAGGCCACATTTGAACTCAGATCTTCCTGACTCCAGTCCAGCTGCTCTATCTACCATACCACCCAAATGCCCCTCAACTATACTTATTTGTTAAAAGGGTAAGTGAATGAGTCAGGGGATTGTGACAGAGATGCAAAAAAAGGTAAACTATATCAATAAAATATTTTTAAATATACAGAAGAAAAAAGATATGAAGGGGACAGAGAATTTTGTTACTATGCTGCTAAATGTAATGTTTTTTGAAAACAACATAAGTTCACAGCTTCACATACAATTTCCTTATACATTCTTTGTACGCTAAATCATTCATTTTATTGTTACATTCATAATAGAGAAAAGGTTTTAAAGCATATGGAAAATGAGTATTTAACATCTCCAGGAATTCAAATACAAGCAAATTATATCAAAAGGACAGCACCACACTGGGCAGCTAGGTGGCACAGTGGATAGAGTGCTGGGCCTGAAGTCAGGAAGACTCATATTCTAGAGTTCAAATCTGGCCTCAGACACTTACTAGCTATGTGACCCTAGGCAAGTCATTTAACCCTGTTTGCCTCAGTTTTCTCATCTGTAAAATGAGCTGGAGAAGGAATGGCAAACCACTCCAGTATCTTTGTAAAAAACAAACAAACCCAAACGGGGTCACAAAGAGCTGGACAAAGGATAGCATTCACATTAAATAGATTGACCGCTGACCTAGATTTATGAATCAATAGACTAACAAGCCTTTGTTAAATCCCTACTATATTAAATACCTTTCCTGAGCACAGCAGATACAAAGACAAAAAAAGATAAAGGGTCCCTGCCCTCAAGCCAGTTACATTCTACCAGGGGAAACGTGTACATATATAAGTACATACAAAAATAACCACTGCAAATACAAGGTATCTTAGAGGGGAGTAGGGGAGAATAAGGAATGGCTTCAAAGGCACTAAGCAGCTGGGAGGCTCAGGAAAGGCCTCATGCAAAAGGTGGCACTTGAACTGAGCTTTAAAATTAACTGGGGGTTCTAAAGAGGGGGAGGATTGGGAAGGGGACCAAGCAGTTACTGAGCACCCATTACGTGCCAGTGTTGAGCACTTTCTATGCACTCCAGAAGTGAAGGGCAGTCACTACAAAGACATGGAAGTGGGAGACAGAACGCTGTCTGTGGACATCAGCAAGAAAGTAAGCTTGGCTAGACCACAGAGAGCCTGAAGGGAAGTTATATATGATCAGGCTGAAAAGACAGGCCGAAGCCAGAAGGGTTCTCATACTGTTAAGAGCGAGGCACTGAAGTTTACTGAATGGAGTAACATGCAGTCAAACATGTTTTCAGAAAATCACCGTGGCGATTTTGGTGTGGAGGATGCAGCAGAGAGACTTAAGATAGCGTCAATTAGGAGGCTTCTATGAAGTCACAGACAAGAAGTGATGAGTGCTTGAATTAGAGGCTGGTAGTGTAAGTGAAGGGAAGGGGACATCTACCTGAGATGTTGTAGGAGCGGAATCGACTTAGCAAATGATTAGCTACAGGAGGGTCAGAAGCGGAGGATGCCTCTGAGGGTGTGAGCCTGCATGACCAGAAGGATGCTTTTGCCCTCCAGTAAAAGAGGGAAGTCTGGAAAAGGGGTATGAGAGAAATGATTATTAATAACTAATGATCTGGGGAGAGTCAGAGTTCCCCCCTTTCCCTATTCTCATTTCAAGACCTCAGTCTCTGAAGGCTGAGCTAACCTTCTCCTCTATCTAACCCAACCCAACCTTATCTCTAGTCTAAGGTGAATTCCATTCAATCAAGCTTGAGTGGAGACAGACCCTTTTGTCTAAATTGCCCAAGGCTGAGGGTGGTCTGGGTATAGAGACAGTCTCCCACAGTCCAAGGGTGACAGGAAGTTACTTTCAGCTCCTCACTGGAGTAATTCCACTACTCTTTGTAAAGTCCACCTCTCATTAATTTTTAACCAATCAGAGTTGATTGCCATTCTTTTGAACACTCTTCTTCCAAAGGGCATTTAAGCCTTGAGCCCACCACCATGATTGTCTCTTGTCTAAGAAAGACAGCCAAATGACCATCCTTTTATTAAAATGCTGGCATTATTAATGAAATGATTAAATTACCCAGAAATTATATCTCTCGATCCCTTTTAAAAGCTACAAGTAGGTTTGGGCAGAAAGACAGTTCTGTTTTGTAAATGTTAAATACTGAGATGACTATGGAACATGAAAAAAAGTAACAGGTAGCTGGAATTGTGGGACTGAAGATCCGGAGAGACCAGGTGGATATACAGATCTGGCACTCATGTGCATAAAGATGACAACTAAAATTGGGGAGGGAGGAGAGGAGAAGGGAGGCAAGAGGAGGAGAAAAGACAGAGAAGTAATGGACTCTAGAAGAACTAAAGGAGAGCCATATGGAAAGATCTCAGAGAAGAGAGAGTATCTATGAAGAGAGGGCAGCCAGCAGTGTCAAATGTTGGTCCAAAAAGGAAGAGGCCAGAGAACAACCAATTATGAGGTCACTGGTAACTTCAGAGAACCATTTCAGCTGAGTGACGAGGTGGGAAACTATAATGTAAGGGGTTAAGAAATGAAGAAGTGGCTTCTACTTCCTCTCTTCTCACTCATTTAAGCAGCTAAAGTATACAACTTTTTCTAGGGGTCTGACTACAAAAAGGAGAGACACAAGATGATGAAAAATCAGTCAGTCAATAAGCATTTATTAGGTATTTACTATGTGCTAGGCACTGGCACTAAGGATACAAGTCCCTGTTTTCAAAAAGCCTAAATTCTAATTTCTTACTCATCAATGAGGAAGATGAGCAGCTGGCCAAGATACAACAAATACTAAGTACATGGTAGGCATTCAATAGATATCATATAGTACTAAGCATTCCAATGATACTAACTAAAAGAGGATTCTACCTCAACAATAATGTGAAACAAGAAACCTTATCTAATAATTGCACATAGTCCTGCATAATCTTTATAATTAAAATTATAATGTATAGGGACTAAAGGTTAGTAATACATACTTGTGTGGTCTTCGTATCTTTCTATGTAATGCAAATAATGAATTGCTTTATTCTTTGCCTAAAAGAGAACAAGGAAAAAAATTAAATTTTGTTATAATTTCTTTCCTCAAAGTCATTTTTATAAATTAGTGACTTCATCTCTTTAAATGTGCTTATTACAAAATTTTTGAAAGAGCTATTTATGTGATAAATATAATGACCTCTCTAATAAGTCCTCTACTTTGCTTTTATAAAAGTTCATGGTCATTAGAGTGTCTAACCAATGTGGCTGTAATTCCATAAGTATTCAAAAAAAGAAGAAATCTACATACTTTTCTAAAAGCATTGACCCGATCAGGGGCTTTCCCAACAGCAAAACCTATACAAAAAAAGCAAAAACATTAATGAAGAGATACATTCTTAGCACACAGAAATAGCTTTTACTTCATGCCATGGTTCAAGCTATGTCATGATAATGAAACATATTATCACCTAAACACTTCACTGTTCTACTCTACAATATAGAAAATGTGGGATATCTAGGCCTCTGTGTGGAATATTTCTTGAATATCAAACTTGAACTAAAATATTTAGTTATTATAACATTAGGTTAGAGGCATAAAATTTTCTTCCATGAATCAACAGATATTCTCAAACTGAAAGATCAGATGTGGACATCTAATATATCAGAAAAGGATTATAAATGTTGAAAAAGATCCATATATTGAGAAAAACCATGATTTACCAGAACCTTCATAGGGAATTCAAGCTAGGTTAACCAAAAAATCAAATGAAACAGCTTTGAGTTGTTAATTTACATTTTACTCTGGTGTCCAAAAAGCAGCAATAGAAACAAAGATAAATCTTTTTGTCTGTGAGAAAGAAGTAATGGGGAGGATAAAGTATGACAAAGAGAATTTTAAAATTCAATCACACATACAGAAAGGTATTTTAAAATCAGTTTTTGATCAATGTGTACAACTGAAACCTTTAATTTTTAGAAACCTCTAAATACCATAATTCTATGCTATAATTATATAAAAGGTGAGAATAAAACTTTTTTTTTAAGGAAGAAATATGTGGTCTGGTAAAATAAGCTGGCTTTGTATTTCAAAATAAAAAGTATATTTTCAGGAAAATATGTAGCATGGTACACTTCCAATTCTCTTATAAGGGACAAGGACAAATAGTAGTGAAGGACTGAAACAGTCAAAAAAATAAAATGATAAACCATCATGCTTCCCAGAGCATCCATCAGTCACAAAAGGCCATTTCTCAGCTCTGATGTTCTGATGTGGCATCTTCAGACTACACTCACCTGCTGCTCCTTTTCCATTCCCAACTACCACGAGGGCCCTCACTGACTTCTTCCTTCCTTCTTTTGCTGTCATATTAAAAACACTTCTTACCTGAAAAACAAAAGGCTTCATGATCACAGTGCTTGGGGACATGCCATGGTCAGCTGTGCTTTGAGGAGAACACTGAGAGCTAAGGCTGGAGTAGAGTGGGCAGAGACATGAGGCAGGAAGGGCTGAAGACATTTTTTTTGATACTCTACTGTCTGATCATGCCTCCTCAATCTTGTACTTATGATGTCCACTTTCTTTTAGCCCAAGTACAAGACTTTACATCTACCCTTAGGGAATTTCATCTTACTAGATTCTGCCCAATGTTCTAGCCTGTCAAGAATTCTGACTCTGCCATCCAATACGATGGCTCTACTCACAGTTTTGTGTTATCAACATATCTGATCAGCAGGCTGTCTAGGGTATCCTCAGGAGTTGGACGATTTATATTCAAAGCCTACCTATGAAGCTACCTGTGTGGCCCTGGGCACACGGAAAAAACTACCTAAACTCATTTTTCTCTACTTCCTCTATACTCACTACCTTCTTTCTTGTCTCCTCAAAATCTGACTTTTCAGCTTCTCCACTCAACTGAAAATGCTCCCTCCAAAGTTACCCAGGATCTCTTCATGGCCAAACTGGATGGCCTTTTCCTTGGTCTTCATCTTTCCTGACTTCTTTGCAACATCTGACACTGCTATCTTCTCTTTAGCACCCTCTCCTCTTGTTTCAAGTAGAACGTAAATTCTCAGAAAGCAGGGGCTCTTTCACTTGCATACCTGTACCCCTAGCACCTAACACACAGTAGATACTCAACAGATAAGTGGTCACCCAGCCTCAGCTCAAGAGGAGAACCTACCACCTCACAGAAAGCCCATTCCACTTATGCACAGAGCAAGTTCTTCCTGACCTCAAGGAGAAATCAGTCTTTCTGCAGCTTCTATGCCAGCCTCTGCCCTAAGTCTAATCCCTCTTCCACAAAACAGCCCTTCAAGCACTCAAAGACAGCTACTAGGTTTCTAAAGAGGGTTTCCTTCTCTAGGCTAAATCTCCTTGGCTCCTTCAACCAATCTCTCCATGGAATGACTGTGAGGCCTTTTACTATCCTGGCTGCCTCCTCTGGTTCTTGTCAAGTCTTTCTTAAACTGTGGCTCCTCAAACTGAACACAGTCCTCAAATGGTCTGGGCAGCCAGTACGGGGGTCTGTCACAGCTTCTTTGTTCCCTTAAGTTCTGCCTCTCTTAATGCAGACAAGATCACATTAGCTTTTTCAGTCTGCAACCTCCCCCTGACTCACACTGCATCTGCAGTCCACTAAAATCCCCTGGCTTTTTCTGAAAAACTTCTATCTAACCACCTTTCCTCTCTTATCTTATACCTGACTAAAGGTTTCCCCTCCAGCACCGGCCAAACTGGCCTTCTCTGATCCTCATACAGGATACTCAATCTCCCATCTCTGTGCCTTTGCCAAGGTCATCCTCCATGCCTGGAACACACTCCCACCTCACCTGACTCACAGAATCCCTCTCTTCCTTTAACACCCAGCTCAAGGACCACCTTTTACACAAAGCTTTCCCTGATCCTCCCCAACTGTTAGTGCCCTTCCTCCCAAACTGCTCTGTACTATTTGTATTTAAGATCTTTCTATTTATTGTATGTATGTATTTATCTATGTACTTGTGATTATCTCCCCAGTAAGAATGTAAGGTCCTTAAAAGTGGGCACTTTCATTCTTTGTAAGACACTTGATAGATAGATAGATCTATGAATGTATGTACCTATATAGATGTATACATAAATACACATATAGATAATATATAAATGTAGAAATTTCTATAAGTACACATATACATAGAAATGTATATCGATGTATATATAGATCAATCTATCCACATCTATCCAGGTAGATATAGCTAGATCTATATAGACATATCGACAGAGAGAATCTTATTGGAATCAGTGTAATCCTCTGGCCTGTCAGGCACCTTCGACCTTCATACACATCCTGCTATCTAGTGCCTCTCAAAGCTAAACCCTCTTCTCTTTTCTATTTACACCTTAGAAGAAGACCACAGATCTAAAGCTGGAATTACCTTGGAGACCACCTAATCCAAAGCCACCATTTTACAAAAGAGGAAAATGAGGTCCAGGGAGGCCAAGTCACTTGCCAGGGCCACAAAAGTGGTGAGCACCAGACATGGGATGTACCCAGTCCTAGCCTTCTATTGGTTATCCCACCAGCTCCTGCAGGTTCAATGATCACCTCACCTCCACATACGTGACTTCCCCAGCCTCTCCTGAATTCCGATCAACCACAAACTGCTTACTGGGTTATCTACTCCGGGATGTCCCACGGGCACCACAAATTCACCTCTAGAACAGAACTCATTACCATTCCCTCAAAACCAATCCTTCCTCTGAATTTCCCGATTTAGGTTGAAGACACAATCATCTTCTAGTCATCCAGATTTGCAACCTTGGTGTCATCCTCAACTCTTCATCTTCCCCCACTCCTTCCCCATCAAACCTAAACAGGTGCCATGTCCTATTAAATTTACTTTCACTACATCTCTTCCATCTGTTCCTTTTCCTTTATTCACCTTCTGCCTAAAATGTATAATAGCCACCTAACTAATCCCCTTTCATCCAATCTCTGCCCTCTCCAAACCGTCCAGGGCTGGGCCTGGAGTCAGGAAGACAAGTTCACATGTGGCCTCAGACACATACTAGCTATGTGCCTCAGTTTTTTCAACTGTAAAACTGTGAGGATAACAACAGCACCTATTCTGCAAATGAGATAATATTTGTAGAGAACTTAGCATGGTGCCTCGCAATACAGAAATGCGTATTCTCTTCCTTTCTCTCTTCCTATCCTCAACATAGCAACCAAACTGATATTCCTAAGGTATAACCGACCACATCACTACCTTGTCAAAGAGTTCCCTATTACGCTAGGATCAAATGCAAACTCCTCCAGCACTGGAGACTGTACAAGCTAGTTTCTGCCTACCTCTAGGGAGTCATTACACATCACATACTTCATTCAATCGGTGGGTCAGGGCAGCTGGCCTACTTACTGACCCTCATCCAAAATATCCCATCTTGCATCTCTCTGACTTCACAGAGGCTGCCGCCCTGCCTGGAAAACTGCCTCTTTTCCCTTCTGCCTCTTGGACCCTCGTTTCCATCAAAGCCCAGCCATGTCCCAGCTCCTCCACAAGGCCTTTCCTAATCCTTCTGGGGCCGACCTTCTAGCTCCAAAATAACCTTGTACATATTGTGTGTTTACTTATATATGTAAGTGTTATTTTCCCCAACTCTCCTTGAAAGCAAAAATTGGGTCACTGTACCCTCGATACTTAGCCTAGTGCCTGGCACACAGCTGGGGCTTTAAAAATGCTTGACAAACAAAAGCTTACCTCAAGTATTCTGGTATCGAAATCTTCATAAGTTTCTGTTGAGATAAAAGAAGACATCGTATTCTAAATCATTATTCCTACCAGGCACTTCTCTTAAAAAATGCCCCTCAAGCAGCAAGCAACCTTAGAGATGATCAAGAAGTTCCTTTCTCATTATTGTTTGCTAATTCCCTTTTGCTTTCAAGGTTAGGCTCTCTTCCATGGGAAGCTGTTTAAAACCTTTGAAGACAGAATCCTTCTTGAAAGGCCCCGTATGTACAGAAATGAAAGATTTAGAGCTGGAAGAGAGCTTAGAGGTCATCCAATCCAATTCCCCTCATTTTACAGAAGAGGGATCACATAGCTTCTAAAAATCTGAGGCAGGATTCAAATCCAAGTCTTCTTGAATCAGAGTTCAATGCTCTATTACACTATACTGCTTCTACACAGGCATTTAGCCTCTCTTGATTGTGCCATGGACCTCTTGAGCAGGCAGCTTGAGGAAGCATGGAGACCCCATCACAGAATCATGTCTTTAAATATATAAAATAAAGTACACAGTGTGGGACAAGCAGACAAAATTACTCTCCCCAGATGAATCCCCAAGACTGACTTCAGCAGGTTTCCTGAGGTGGCAGCTTCTACTCAGCCTCCTCACCATTGTTGTCTAAACATCCCTATCTACCCCATTATTGCACCATTAACTTCCCTGCCCTATTTGTGCGACAGAGACCCTCCCCTCCTTAAAAAACCCCTGCTTGTAGACATGCTGACTCTGTCTTGCTCTGTGTCAGCCATGTGGCTGTAAATGACCCCTGGTAAGACCAGCTGCAACAGCCAGGGTTCTGAGTCTGGGGTGTCTGAGTCCTGGGGCCATTCCCCACCCCCCACCAGCCCAAGCAACAGATTTCTTTGATGTAGGGAGACGAGCTATACTCAGACAATAACTCCCTTATCTATCTCCTATAACTAATAACAGACCTTTTTCTCACAACTCTATTTCATATAACCACCTGTGTTTAATGAACAGCCATCTTTCTTTTCTTTATTCATACAATGATACACTGAATAATGTTTAGCTTATGAAAGCTGCCCTAAAATATGTCTAAAAAGAACCTCTTCGGCCAGGCTCTTGGTGGACGCCATCCACCTTGCTATCTACCTGGCCAAGTAAATGTTCCTCGGTTTATTCTTAATTGACTTCTTACTGCTATTATCTGACACCAACCTCAAGAGTCCAGATTGGTGAGTACTGACACTTGGATCTCCCCCAAATTCCACTACAATGATCACAAAAAAAATCAATTATGCTGAAACAGTTACCAAAATATTAAAAACATGTATAGACCCCAGATTAAAAACCCCTGATACTAAATTTGAAGTTTTAAATAATCTGAGGCAAGAGATCACAAAATATTAAGAACTAGAAGAGATCTTTGAGGTCATCTCATATATAAAAAATGCAATACTTTTGTACAAAGTAGGTACCTGGTAATTGCTTAATGAATTGAACAAGGAAACAGAGAAATGTTAAATACAGGGCAAAGGGGAGAAAAATGCTACGTGGTCAGTGCTTAATTTAAAAATGTTTTGGTGAAATATAGTCAGCACTAGTAAAAAGCATTTATTACAAACACACTCCTCTGAGCAAAAGTCCAAGGTCACTAGAATGACTCTGAATGCCTTTTCTTACTACAGGGTAATGAACTTCAAAGCACCTGTGCCCCCCTCAAGGTGGGTATCTCCTCCATCAGTACAAACAAACCTATCTAGGCTTCTTATCCTATTTCTCCCTATGCTCATTCACAGATTCCCAGAGGATCATGCCCAACACGGCTCGGGTCCTCCGCTGCACCTCTTCATGTGTCAGGTCATCGTCCACCAGCCATCCCTCTCCCACCTCATTTTCTAGCTCTTCCTCAAATGTCTTAGTCTAAACAAGGTATATTCAGGACAATCTATCAGAATAAAAAGGTGTCAAATTTCAGTTTTTGTTGTCATTTTAAAGAGACCCGAGTCATCTCACAAAAGTCTTTCTAAATTCTAATAGGAGAGGTAAGATTTTATAAATTATCCCCCTCAGGGGGATATAGATAACTACAGTCAATAGTGACTGTAAACCAAACTAGCAAAATACATCCAATTACTGTACTATTTATTAACTGCACAACCTTAGGCAAATAATTTAACTTCCCTAGCCTAAGTTTCATCTTTAAAATGAGGAAGTTGGAACAGACATTCTTTGAAAATTCTATTAATTAATAATAATGTTTTTAAAAATTCTTCCAGTCCTGAAATTTTGTCATATATTCCCTAGACATACACCAAATGAAGGGAGGCAATCTCTTTAACAGGGTCTATTTTAAAAGGTATTCAAAATTGGCCAAGGATATTCAAGAGTTTTCTTACTGGTGTGTGAGGTTCAACAATGTAATTATTTTCTTAAAATGAACATTAATGGATTTTAAAATTTCAGAAGTAAATACATTCCTCATGTCATGACGGTAAACATACCCTATGACAAAAACAAAGAGACATCATTACCTCCATTAGGACCAGGATCTGGGGGTCCTAAACTGATTCCTCCCCAAGAGCTTCCAGTCCAACCTCTCTCCCGTTTAATCTTCTTTTTTCTCTTTTTGTCCCACTCGTCTCTCTGCTGGATCATTTCAGCCTGTATCTTCAACTGCTCTTCTTTGCCTCTTTGGCCAACTCTTTGAACCATTCCATGTTTTAAAACAGGAGCATTCAAACCAGGCCAGAGAAAACCAGAACGTCCTTAAGATAAGACAGAAAGAAAATTTCTTGTCTTATAAGTAAAAATCTAGATTTTTAAAAAACTGCTGTAGCAAATCAGTCAATCAATCAGTCAAATATTTATTTATTAAGTGCTTATGTGCCAGGTATCACATGAGGACTTAGGGATATAAACATAAAAGATGCAATAATTCCTATTCACAAGGAGCTTACATTTTAAATGGGGAAGACAACACACACGCATAAAACAAATACAACATAAATATAAAGCTAATAAATATAGATAAAGACAAGGTAATTAAAGGTACCAGCAGTTGGAGGAATTAGGAAAGGCTTTGTGAAAAAGATGGTCCTTAAGCTGCATCTTCAAGGAATCATGGAATTCTGTGAGGCAAAGAAATCAAGGGATCACTGTCAATTTTGGAGAGAGTCATTTCAATTGAGTGACTACTCTCACAGACATGGATGACAGTCAGTGCAAAGACAGAGATGAAAGAACAGCAAGAAGGCCAATTTGACTGGATCCCAAAGAGCAATCCCAGTGAGGCAGGAAAGACAAGTCAGGGCATGGCTGTATATACAACTTGTACAGAGCCTTAACAACTAAACAGAAGAGCTTCTATTTTACCCTGATGCAACTGGACGTCGCTGGAGTTGTTTGAGTAGGGCAGCGATATGATCATAACTGCACTTAAGAATGACTTTGGCAGCAAATCCGTAAGATGGACTGGGGTGAGGGGAGAGAGAGGCAGAGAGACAAACTGGAAGGCTATTTCAATAGCTTAGGTGAGGGGTGAAAAGGGCTGTGCAAGCGTAGAGAAGGGGTCATATTTGAGAGATGCTACGAAGGCAGGAACAGCTATGTAAGTTAAGGGAAGATGAGGAGTCCAAAATAATATAAAGATTATGAACCTGCGAGACTGGAATAGAGAAGTCTGGAAGAGGGGACATACAGAGGGAAAGGTAGTGAGTTCAGTTTTGATGTGTCAAGATTAAAATGTCTCCAGATCATACAGTTCTAACAGGCAACTGGTGGTGTGGTACTGAAGCTCCAGAAGAGAAGGGGACTGAAACTATGATCTGGAAATCACCTACAAAGACATGATAGTTAAATCTATGTGAGCTGATGAAGTTACTGAGAAAGAGTATGTAGAGGGAAACGGAAAGAAATTTGGGAACAACAGAGGCATGATATAGATAATGAGTCAGCAAAGGAAACAGAAAACAAGAAATCAGACAGGCAAAAGGCAATCCAGAAGAGAAGTAATGTCATGAAAACCCAACAAAGGACAGAGTATTCAGGAGAGAGGTAAACAGCATCAAATGTAGCAGACAGGTCAAGAAGGAGTTAACACTGAGAAAAGACCACCAAAATTAGGAATCAAGGGATCACTAGTAACTTTGGAGAGAGCCATTTTAGTTCAGTGATGAGGTTAGAAGCCAGACAGCAAAAAGGTGAGGAGTTCGAGAGAGGAAAAGAAATAATGGGAGTAAAACAGACATCACATTGAAACCCAAGATCAAGTGGCCCCCTCTCTTCTTGCAACAGCCCCAGGATCCCTGGGCTTGATGAGCAATGTTATTTCCTTTCCTTATGTTTGGCAGTGGTTTTCATATTCCATGTGTTAAGCAACCAGACCACACGTAAAACATATTGGCAGACACAGCTCCTATCCTGAACAGCTCACGTTCCACTACAGAAACAAAGGTATGAACACCCCAAAATCCTACAATAGTCTCCCACCCAGACTTTCTTTGATTGTCTGATAAACAGAACAGAGGCACATCTCTATGAGAAGACATAAGCTTGCTCTGCACCCCAAACCCCATCTTTCTTCAGACTGTTCAGGCAGCCACCTCCAAGCAGCCCAACCCTCAAATCCTCTAGCTTTTTCAAGAGAACTGAGATAAGGGAAATGGCAACCCAGTGAGTGCCCGGCCCAGTTTGGTTTCTTTAGGATCTAAATGATTATCAATAATAAAAAGACAACTAACCTTCTATGATAAACAAACCCACCTTCACCAATAATCTGACCCCTGTTTAGGTCCTTCTTCCTTTTCTTCTTGCTTCTTTTTCCTCTTCCTTTCCTCGATCCAGTACCAGAGTCAGCTAAGGCCCCTTTCCATAGCTCTTCTGCTGTCACTGCAAAGAAACAGGTTTCATGAATTAGGGACCATGATCTCCTAGAAAGTTAAAAGGCTAAAAGAGACCTCAAAGTAATATAATCTATTAATAAGCATTTATTAAGTACCTATTATGGGCTAGGCACCCTGCTAAATGCTGAAGAAACAAAGATAAAAGTAAAACAGTCCTGCCTTACTTTCTACTCTGGGAGATGTACATATAAAGGCATGACGAAAACACATACTCAAAACATAGATAACCTTGGATTTTATAAAGATCTTTACCAAGAAGGGTTAAAACTAAGGGTATTCTGTCGAATGCAGTTACCCAGAACACTGAATGCACCACCCCACCTTTGCCTCTCCCCTGGCACAGCTGTCCCAGAACCCATCAAGGATCCCTAAGCAACAGGAAGAGCTGACCACACCAGGGGCTCCCTGCCACACCACGCCTTCCCTTCCCCCAGGCTGTCTGACTGCTCACAGGCCTAGGATGACTGGGGAGTCAATCAATGCATTCCTTCTCAAGGGATTGGGCCTTCCCATCTGCCCTGCCTCTGTCCCCTCCCAAGTCCCCAGGTACTGTCAACATAACTACTTAAATAACCTAAGTATCTGTGGGGCTGGCCAGCCTCCCCACAGCTGCACCAGTAGCTGGCTCTTCTGCACATCAGTAGTCTCCCAATTAAAATATGAGGTCCCTGAGGGTGGGAACTGCTTTGCTTTTTCAGTGTTTATCTCCAGCATTTAGATCAGTTATTTGGAACACAATAAATGCTTTCTCATTCAGACTACCCAGCCAATGCTTTCCTGACATTTGACACCAAGGATTTTTGACACATTTATATAGGTTATTTTCTAAATTCCAGTCCTGATCTTCAAAGCAATCACGATCTTTTATAAGCTGTTTCCTTTACAATCACATTCTCTATTCCACTGTCCAAATGAGTAATACCAGAAAGTTCATATCATACTTGTCACATTTGTTCGAATATCAAGAGATCCTTTATATTAACTACGTGCACAGGATGCCTACTGACTTCTGGTCACCAAATCTTTACTCTTTCCTGTTACGAATGCCTTGAGTCTAAGAATGAAAAGAACCCTATCTTACCTTTTCTAAATTAACATGCTCTGTATGATGGAAGAGGAAAAAGAATATGTATGGAACCAGACTGCTATCATTTAAAACTATTTCTTCTGTGTGTGAATTGTCAATTAAATAAATATTTATTAAGTGCTTACTATGTCTACACTAGACTTAATAGGAATATGCTGTCCAATTCACAACACCTGATTATTCCAGAGACCAGAACATTAACCAGGTTACAGTTCAGATCAGCCACTGCCTAAATCCTAGAATACAATAAAGAGGGAACAACCAGGCTTGCTTTTTAGGAGAGACAGTGGGATTCAGTGGAAAGAGCTCAGGATTTGAAATCCAAGCCTGGATACCAATCCTAGCTCTACTTATAACCTGCGGGACAACAGGCAAGTCATTTAACCTCTATGGACCTCAGTTCCCTCATTTGTAAAATGGAGGTGCTTTGAAATCCTATGATCTATTCCTTTTAGCAATAAAGGTATTTTTAAATGCCAGGAAACTGGGCTCTTGGTGGTACATAGCTATGTATTTGGTGTATGACTCCGAAGGCTCAAAGCTCCAGCGGACTAATTCACAGCAGAGCACAGCTTTCAGTCCTTACCTTGGCTGTATAAATGCTATCTCACATATACCAGAGACTCTGAAGGAACCAGACATTCTGAAATACAATGACCCAAATTCAAGAAAATTGTTTTTAAAATTTGTTTCCTCTCCTAACAATCACCATATAAACGATGGAAGAGATATATACTTTGAAAAATCTGAGTCATCATAGTGAAGGCAATTAATGGGATGTCATAAGCTGCCCTTCAACTACACTGTTTTTTAACTTGAAATCAGAAGTCTAAGAATGGATTTATGATGTGTTAGCACTAGGAAGGCAAATTTTTAAAAGGTATATATATTTGCTCACTACCTTCTCCCTGGATTCCTTAATGGAGAGCGAGAAGCCTGTGCTGCCTCCCTTCCATTCCTTCTCAGCCCAGCAGAAAGAGCCATACTTCCTGGACATGGTGTCCAGACTGATGGTCAGATGCCAAGTGACAAAACCACTGGGGAAGAAATTCTCCTTAAATATCTTCTACAGTGAAACAGGAAAGCATTGGCCTTGGGCAGTATTCCGATACCTGGAACCCCTTGTCACTGGGGAAGTTCATACTGGACCACCAGCATTTCCACCCTAAGCAGCTCATCACCAGAAAGAAGAGAACTATGCTGGAGGGCACTACACTACTGGCAAGGAAATCACTAACCCCCTTGTGGTCTGCACTCTGAAGCTTGATCAGTGCACGGATCTTCTAGGTTTCTTGTTTTTCCACAGCTCTGCGGGTGGGACCATTCCAACTTTGCTAAGGTCCACTGATTATGGCAAGAAGTCAAAGCTGGAGATGCTCATTCACCCAGTGCACCAGGTTTCTACAACTGTCGCTGCATCTTATAACTCCATTCTAACCACTCACATCCCCCTCAGAGAACTGCGATTGTGCCTTCATGGTAGACTGTGAAGCCACTGATATCTATACCAGAAACCTGGACACTGAATGCCCAATCTACACTGATCACCTTATTAGTCAAACTGTACCCTCTCTCACTGCCTCTCTCCCAATTTGATGGTACCCTTCATGTTGATCTGGCAGAATTTCAGAACAACTTGGTACACAATCCCCACATTACTTTCCTCTGTCTATGTATGCCCCAGTGACATCGCTGTGAAATCTACTATAAGCAGCTGACTATAGCTCACAGATTACTAATGCTTTCCTTAAGCTGGTCAATAAGACAGTGAGGTGTGGCTTCCAACCACGGTGAATACATAGCTTGCTGCTTGTTGCACCATGGTGAGATGGCTCCCAAAGATGTCAACGCTGCCATCATCACTATTAAGACAAAGTGCAACATCCAGTTTGTGCACTGGTACCAAACTGACTTCAAGTTTGGCATCAATTATTAATCTCCAATTGTAGTTCCTGATGGTGATCAAGATACAGGAGGGGACATATGCATGCCAACCAACCCCACTACAACTGCAGAGGCCTCAGCTTACCCTGACAACATTTGACCCAATATATGTCAAGCACACTTTGTATAGGGAAAGCGATATAGGAAAGAGAATTTTCTGAGGCACATGAAGAGGGCTGTCATAGAGGATTATGAGAAGGTTAGTGTAGCTAGCTGAAGGAGAAGATGAAGGTCAGAAATACAAATCTGCATGCTATCTTTTTCATGCTAGGTCTGTCTTTTTTTGTACCATGAAAATGTCACAGAAAGTAGAGGCATGATAAAGGGTAAAAAAACCCCTAAATGAGAAGACAGGAGTGTGAGTCCTAGATCCCTCTATTTCAACTGTCTGACCTTAGAATAAGTCACTTCAATTCTCTAAAACTATTTTCTCTCAATGAAAGGGTCAATTTCTCTGGTTTCAATTTTTTTTAAGCTGCAGATTTTTTGAAAATCAACTTCTTATACTCTACTTACCAAAATTAATGAAATTGAGAAATCTAACACACATGACACTTAACTTCTACTCAGAGATTTACTTCCAATTTACATATTTCATAGTCAAATACAGGAAGCACATACATGACACCCATTCTGAATTTGTTCTGACTGAAACTGTCAGTGGCAGATTATAACCACATCAACATGTGATACCCACTAACTAAAATTTTACCTCATGTGCAGGTAATTTAAATAATCACTCTGCAGCATCCATTATCAAAACCACCTAGTACTGGTTAAAAGAAATAGAAAGGCGGTGCAGCAATGATCAGATCAGACAAGAGAGAACCAGAAACAACAGAACACAACAACCTAGTGTTCAATAAACCAGAAAACCCTTATAAAAGAACTCATCAGTTGATAAAAACTTCAGCAAAAATGGGAAAAGTGTGACAGAGATTAGGCTTAGAGCGATACCTTACATCTTATTCTATAATACATTCTAAATGGATATGTGACCTTAATATTAAAGATAATATCATGATTTCAGACAAAATTAAAGCTAAAATCTAAAGAGAAAAATAGGGAAACTACACTATATGTCAGCCATGTTAATCAATATTGTTTTAGACTATTTAAAATAACTAGACAGTATAAGGTTGAAATATTGTGGTGGTGTAGAATATGATGAGGTAATGGACTTCTTAGAAAAATATGGAAAGGCTTGGACTTACGAAGGAAGCTATTATCCATCCTTTTTCTTTTCTTTGATGAGGCGATTGGGGTTAAGTGACTTGCCCAGGGCCACACAGCTAGTAAATGTCAAGTGTCTGAGGCTGGATTTGAACTCAGGTCCTCCTGACTCCAAGGCCAGAGCTCTATTCACTGTGCCACCTAGCTGCCCCAGCTATTATCCATCCTCAGAGAAACTGAAGACAAACAAGTATGGTAGGGTCTTACACAGATGTATATGAATATATATGTCTATATATGCATATGATTATAGATATATAAGTATATGCATATGTAAGTATATCTCTGTGTGTGTGTGTGTGTGTATTTGTACTTACTTGTAACCTTCATGGGAGAAGGGGAAAAAAATAAAGTAAAAAATGCACAGCAGAGAAAAAAACACTCACAAGGAAGCAAATCAAGAATGGACATCTCTGAATACAATGTGTAGTATTTATTACATAGGTTTTCTTAAAACAGAAATCTATTGCTGTATACTTTGAGTCCTCTCGTACATTCTGCTATGCATATGGCAGCGCTTCTTGTCTTATTTTGTACTTAAGTTTTAGTATTCAAGTTTATAATTTTTTTTCTTTTCTTATTGTGTTTTTAAGTTTTAGTATTCAAGTTTAAAATAAATTAATTTTTTAAAAATATTAAAGATCATACTACCAAAAAATTAGAGAAGCAGATCAAAGACCTCTGAGACATAGGCAGGAAATGTATTCTCAACCAAGCAAAGGATAGAGGCAATTACAAAAGACAAAAGATAGATAACTTTGATTACATAAGACTAAAGTTTCTACACAAACAAAATCAATGTACGCAGGATTAGAAGGGAAAGCAGATCAAAGACCTCTGAGACATAGGCAGGAAATGTATTCTCAACCAAGCAAAGGACAGAGGCAATTACAAAAGACAAAAGATAGATAACTTTGATTACATAAGACTAAAGTTTCTACACAAACAAAATCAATGTACACAGGATTAGAAGGGAAATGACGTAATGGGGGAAAACATTTTTATATCAAATTTCTCTGAAAAAGGTTTGATAGAAAAGCTACAGAAACAATTAACAGATATACATACAAAACCACAAGCCATTCTCCACAGATAAGTGGTCAAATGATATGAACAAACTGTTTTCAAAAGAAGAATTGAAAACGATTAACCACCAAATGAAAGAATGCTCCAAAATGACTAACAGAATCTCACACCCTGCAAACTGGCAAGGATTACAAAAGATAGACATAGACAATGTTGGTGGGGTTGTGGGAAGATGAACCCACCCGTGCATTGTTGGTGGAGCTGTGAATCAGTACAAACATTTTGGAAAACAATTTGGAAACAGGCAAATAAAGTTATCCTTTGACCCAGAAATTTCATGACTAGATTTATCTCCAAGGAGGCCATGAGTAAAAAGAAAGTTCCCACACACACCAAAATATTTATAACACTTTTTGTGGTAGCAAAGAACTGGAAACAAAGTAGATGCCCGTTGACTGGCGAATGGCTAAACAAACTATACAGTATATACTTTTGCTTAACTCTCTTGGGAGAAGATACTCTCTAGGTAGGTTTATTCAAGTGTCTTGGAGGAAGTGTCTTATGTGAAAATAAACTACCTCGATAATTTTTTTTCAAATATAGACAAAGGAGACACGTGATCAACCAGTAACGTTACTGCCCTACAACTAAGGTTTTAGTTTTCCTAGCACCCACTATGGCAAGGCATTCTTTGTGCATTACTTTTGAAGTAAAAAAAACCAATAGGTCTTTATTTGCCTTAAATTTCCTACAATAACACAGTCCCAATCTCAATTACCCATAAAGGCAATGAAAGACTTTCTAGTAATTTGCGACTAATGCTATCTCTACCAAGAGGTTAGCTTTAAAATGGAAAAGGCCTCATGGCACCATGGGAACCAATTTACTTGGCCAGGTTATTTCCTTGGGAAATCACTTAAAAGTGAATCCAGGGCTCTAAAATAGGCCAGAAACCATCTACTAATATCTGGACAGCCCCAGAAAAGCCTGAGCTTGCTCCCTGATTGGGAATATCGCCCATTTTTCTTTGCTTCAATTTCATCCTAGCAGATCCCTGGTTCTTCACTGTCACTTCTAGACCATTATTCTGATAGCATCATTCAATAACTCCTGCATTGTCATATTCTTCCTCCCTACCAGCTGATCTAAAATACCAGGAAGCCCAAATTGTTAAGTCATGACTTTTTTTTCTTTAAAGCAAGACGTCTTATAGCTGGCCTAGCTGAGTGGGCTTTAGGAGTTCACAACTACAGAATCCGGCACACAGAGCCCAGGATGATCCAGACTGCTCAGTGCTTAAGGAAGCAGGAAAGGAAAACACCAGCATCCACAGCAGAGATTCCTTCTTGGACAGGACTTGTTTATGATCTGATTCCCAGGAATTCAAAGAACCAATGTAAAAGACCCCTCACACATCCCTGCAGCCCAAAATCACATCCTCACTTGTATTATCATTAGAAGCATACCTCATTTTATCGTGCTTTACACTTCACAGATAATGTGTTTTTTACAAATTGAAAGTTTGTGTAACCTTGAATTGAACAAGTCTACTGGCATCATTCTTCCAACAGCATGTGCTCACATTGTGTCTCTGTGTCACATTTTGGTAGTTCTTACAATATTTCAAACTTTTCCCATTATTATTTTATTTGTTATGGTGATCTGTGGTCAATGATCATTGATATTATTATTATAACTGTTTTAGGGCACCAAGAACCACACCCCCATAAGATAGCAAACTTAACTGACAGATATTGTTTGTGTTCGGACTGCTCTACTAGTTTGCCCTCTAGTCTGAAGGCAGTCTACCAGCTGGAGAAGTTGACCAGAGCCCCAGCACTGCCCCTTTCCTATTACTGACGCACAATATCAGCCTCTTTCCCAGCTCTTTGTTTTCTGGACCCTGTTTATCATTACCCCCAAATAAATGTGTAATTTTTCATAACCCCCATAACAGGTAACAGCTCATCCAACGTGACTGATTTAAGAGAAATTTAACAACTACTTCCCAACAATTACTGCTCATCACTGTGTCCTTAGTTTAATGATACAATAATGTAAAACTCCATTAGTGATACAGATAAAATCAAACCCACGGTAATGACAGTCATTCCAAAACTCTTTCCACCTTTTCCTCTACTCGATGAATACGATTCATTGCAGGGTTAATGATAAATTAAGATTTCTCTTTTACTTTCCTATCAGAACTCTTCTTGCTTATTCTTTCAAGTTAACTATCACATCATTTCCTGGTTTTTACAAAAACTGAAAATAGAACAAGGATATCCATCCTCCTATATGGTTCTAAAGATGAAGAGAGGCATGGTAGATTTTGACTAAAGCCTTGATGCTCTTTTTTCTCCGAACACCTAAAACTATCTTACCCTTCTCTTAGGACCGAGATTCTGCCTTTGCACTTCTAGAAAAAACAAATGATTTGAAACAATTGCACCAAAGCTATGCTTAAGGTTTCCTAAGCTCCTCTCACATACTTTACCAACAACCTAGCCATTGGACTTTGTCACCTGTCAATGCAGTCTTTGGCATCCAAATGGAACCTGAGTATATGTTTAAACAACCCCAAAGTGAGGCAATTATAGAAGAGCTAATACTAGAAAATATTACTTTTCTTACTCTTATTAAATTCTAAGTGTTTACATACTTACTTTTGGTGAAGAAACTGTAGTGTTTATGTTGCTGTCCTATCAATCTGCTAGGAGCAGAAATACAACACTGAGTCTGGAGGGCATGGGCTAAGTTGGTATAATGATGATGACTCCCGGCTCCTTGTAGTGCAAAACTACCTGTAGAGAGAACAAAACCTTTATCAAGGCATTCCACAACTGTTAATATTGCCAATAAAAAAATGTTAAAACTGGATGACCTTAAAAAAAACCCAAAACCCTACTGTCTACAAAATTCTTTTGAATAGCCCCAGTGTAACAATGTACACAAATAATAGCTTAAATAATAATTTTCAGTGATGATGCTGCTGTAACCAAGTATTTGTAAAAGATGTATGAAGAAGACAGGAAAATGAGTAGCAGGCTGTCAGCCTGAAGTTAGGCTTCATTTTCTAAATCTGTGGGACTCTCATACCTCAAGTTATACTAAGAGACTCCTACTTAAGATCCTGCACATCCTACAGGAACCCAGCTCTCCCAAACATACTAAGCAAAGATATAAAAAGAGTAGTGGGATGAATAAATACCAATAAATCCAAAAAGGAACTAGAGTAAGCATCTTTCTGCAGCCCAGGACTATACAAAAAAGACAGCTAGAAGAAGCCTCCTGGCACTAGGAAAAGAGATTCTGCCAGCCGAGGTAAACAAGCAAAGAGCTTGCTGGCTCCAAAGATCCTCTAGGGCAATCTGAAGCCTGTAGCATTCTGTACCTAGGCAAAGAAAGGGCTAAGCTACTGCTCAGAGACAGAAACTGATCTCTCTGCCTAAGCGGGTAGGACCTATGACAACAGCCTCCAAACTAGCAAGTCCCAGGGGAACCAAAGTCCGTAGCACTCTGAACTGAGATACCCTAAAGGGTTCTGACCAAAACAATCTGACCTAGTATGACTGAGGACACCTGGAAACCTGCCAACTTTCTGAATACAATCACACCAGTGGAAGTGGAAGCCAATGCCAGGACTCCAGACAGTAAAAATTAAGACCAAATAGGGCCTGATCATCTAAAGGAACAGAAGGGGCATAAATTATTCCTATTACAAAGTACCAAATCAAGGACTGAGATTGAAGATATAAAAAACCAGGATACAATGAATACCATTAAGAAATATTACAGGTCTAGGGGCAGCTAGGTGGCGCAGTGAATAGAGCACCAGCCCTGGATTCAGGAGGACCTGAGTTCAAATCAGGCCTCAGACACATAACACTTACTAGCTGTGTGACCCTGGGCAAGTCACTTAACCCCACTGCCTAGCCAAAAAAAAATATATTATAGGTCTTAAGACGCCTAAGAGACAACCCTAGATAAATAAGGAAATTTCACAACAGCTACAAGGAGAACCACAAAGGAAAAAAAGGGGTTGGTCATACATACTACAAGAGTACCCATAAGAAAGAAGCAAGAGACAAACCAAAAAAGAAATTGTAAATGAACTAAAAGATCTGAAGGAAAGAACTAGAAGGATAAACAGCTTAAAACAGAAAATGGAAAAATTCACGCAAATAACAAATTCCCTGAAAATCAGAATGGACCATACATGAATCAACAACTCTATAAGACCAAAAGAAAAAAAAAGAAATATTAGGACAAAATCAAAAGTTTGAAAAAATAAAATCAGGCAATAAACATATATTAAGCACCTAATATGTGCCAAGTACTTTGCTAAGTGCTGGGGATATTAAAAGAGGTAAAAGATAGACCCTGCCCTCAAGGAGCTCACAATCTAACATGAGACAATCTAATACGTCACAATCTAACGTGAAAACATGAAAACAAATATATACAAAGCAAGCAATATACAGGATAAATAGGAAATAATTAAGAGAGGGAAGACACTAGAATTGAGAGGGGTTAGAGAAGGCTCCCAGTAAAACAGGATTTTAGTTGGGACTTAAGATCAAATAAAGATGGAGTATCTTGTTCATGGAACAGCCAGGAGGTCGGTGTCACTGGATCAAAGAGTACTTGTTAGGGAAAAAGGTTTAAGAAGGCTAGAAAGGTAGGAGGGGGCCAGATTATGAAGGGCTTTGAATGCCAAACAGAACATTTTGTATTTGCTCCTGGAGGGAACAGGAAGCCACTGGAGTTTACTGAACAGTGGACAACATGATCAGACCCGCATTTTAAGATCACTTTAGTGGCTGAATGAAAGATGGATTGGAATGGGGAGCGACTCGAGGCAGGCAGACCCACCGGCAGGTTACTGCAGTAGTCCAGATGTGAAGTGATGAGGCCCTGAGCCAGAGTAGCGGCAGTTTCAGTAGAAATGCTAGAAACACCGGTTGTTGTCCTTCATTCTTGAAGAGGACCAAAACAACAACACTACATTAGAGTCAAGTGTGTCCTACTGTGGCTGATCAGACTAACCTGAGTTTGGAAGGCTCCACCACAGGTCGGGCACAAATACTCCTTGTACACTTGGAGCGAATTCTCTGAATCTGCACGTCTCATGTTGCTTTTGAGCTGCCGCAGTTCTGCTTTGCTCATAGAGCATAGTGCCTTCTTTGATGAGGGCACACCATGCTGGGCTGCCCTGTGCCAGTGTCTCCCATGTCACACAATCAATTGCAAAATTCTTCACAGGCTAACAACATAAGGGCCAGGTGAACAGAGGCAGTGCTCCCCTACGCTCTGTACTGGGCAATCCACACCGGGAGTACTGGCGTATTAGTTCTGCGCACCATGTTTCATGAGGGTTACTGACAAACTAGACAGGCTAGAGAGGGCAATGGTGGGGATGAGCAATCTGAAAACTTTAACACATGAAGAAAGATCTAGGAATCTAGGAACCTCACACGTGTAAAAGAAAAGGAGACGTGCTTAATATCTTTCAAACACTTGAAGGAATGTCATGTGAAAAAGAGACTTTTTTGGAGACTTATGAGGTCTAATTTGACTTATAAGATCCCCTCCAATACAAAGAATCTATCATATCAATAGTTAAGACCAAAATAACATGCCTGCTCACAAACATTTCTTTTATTATAAAACACTTTTCATTTATTCACAACTTCAAAAGAAGAAAACAAAAATCCTCAAAGCTCAGACTACAAATACTGAATCTCTCACCACTGCAAGGGGGAACCCTCGATGTAAAACTGGAAATTGCAGGTAAGCTAGTTGGGTAAAGCTGCCTTGTCCACAAAGAGCCTGAAAAAGAAACAGAACAAAAAGTTAGTTAAAATACTTAGTCTCCTTTTCTAGATCATCATCCATACCCTAAGACCTCTAAATGTGGCTATCCCCCAAGGCTCTGTCATGGGCCCTCTTCTCATTCTAAACTTTCTCTCTTGGTGAATAGAGCAGCTCCCATGGGTTCAACTGATCATCTACTTGCAAATATGCAGAGATAACAGCTGCAGTTCTAGTCTCCATACTGTACTCCAGTTCTCCCCAAACCCCAATCCCAGCAATACATTGGACATTTATAACTGGATATCCTGTAGACAATGCAAGTTCAACACATCCAAAACAGAACTCATTATCTTTTCCCCAAAATCTATCCCCGTTTTGAACTTACCCATTTCTATTGACAGCATCACTATCTTTCCCACCCAGGTTCATAACCTTAGAGGTCTTCTTTACTGCCTCACTTTCCTTCAACCCACACAGCCAATCAGTTGCCCAAATATTGTGAATTCTACCTCCATCATAGCTTACATCTATCCCTTTCCTTCTGCTCACATGGCCAGCAGTCTATTTCAGATTCTCATCACATCTTACCTGGACTATTCCAATGGCCTCCTACTTTGCCTCCTTGTCTCAAGTATCTGCCCTCTCCAATCTATCCTTATAGAGCTGCCAATGTGACAGTCTATATAGCACAAGGCTGATCAAGTTACTTCCTACTCCATAAATCTCAGTGCTTCTCTGCTGCCTATAGGATCAAATATAAACTCCCCATTTTGGCATTTGAAGCCCTTCACAACCTGGCTCAAACATATATTTACAGACTTATATTATTATCCTCTATAACTCTCTATCACTCATTTCCAGGCCTTTGTAGTGGCTGGTTGTTTTCAAGATTCAAATTAATTGCCACCTTTTGAAGGGTTTGACCTAATCCCCACCGGCTGACCCCTCTCCCAAAAAATTATTGGATATATTTTGGATTTTTTATCTGGATCTGTGATTTCATTATTAGGAAGCTCCCAGGTGAGGAAACTTCCCCCACCAGTGTAGATCAGCATCTTCTCTGAAACTGTCTTCAGAAAGTCATCTTTGTCATTAACAGGTTAAGGTCTTGCCTAGGTCACATTGCCAGTATGTGTCAGAACGACCTGACACTGGGTCTTCCTGACTCCATGGGGAGCTCTCTATCCACTATCCTCTGCTGTCTCTCATTTATCTTGAAAAAATATTGAATGTATTTACAATATGCATGTTATCTTTCCCAACAGAAAGTAAGTTCCTTGAGGGAATGGGATTTCACTTTTGTCTTTGTATCTCCAGAGCCCAGCACACAATAGGTATTTAATAAATATTTAGTAAATGTCTGACAAGTGCTCTCCTATTACATTCCTAATTATCTTGGGTAGCAATTTTGTAACAGCCATTTTTCCAGTTCAAAAGATTTTCAGTTCAAAAGATTTGTCAAATAAAAGACAGAATGAATAATTTTTTGTCCTACCCAGATAACTCCTTATCTTCTTTTCCTCAGTATAGTTTGACTTTTTTAAAAGAATTTTTCTGCCATCCTTTGCTTTCTTTGCCATCTCCAGCTCATTAAAAATAGTAGCATTTACAGGATTGTGCCATTTGTTATCTGTTCTCTGTCCTTGTTTCCAGTTTGCACTTTACCTTTTTTCAATTAACCAATGGGTCTCTTGTTTACCCACATCAAACTCCTTCTAGTCCTCATCAAAACTGTTTTCTTTACTTCCATCTCTTAACAGGTTGTTTTCCCCTATAGAACTTAGTTTATGGTATCCTACCTTGTTATTTCTGTGAACCCTCAGAAATGTGCTCTCCTAAAATCTAAGGTATACGTCAAACTAATGCCCAGCTGTCTTCTCCCCCACTTCATTACAGATTCTAAGATGAAAAGGTCATTTCCTTCAAGGGTCCTACTACGTCCATCCCAGCAATCAGTTTCTTCATATTGGTCAGTCAGACTGAGAATAGTAATTTTCATCCCTGGTTCCTCTATCATTTGGAGGAGGAAATAATCATCAATCAATTAATCAAAAAATGTGTATGAAGTTCCTGTTTCAGACATTGTGTACTTGATAAAAACACAAAGAGAAATGAAACAATTCCTGCTCTCAAGAATGCCAGGTGACACACGTGCAGTACATACAGAAGTATATACAAAATAAATGCAAGGCAATGTTGGGGATGGAAGGGGAATGGAGGGCATTAGGGAGATAAGAAAGGCTACCTGCCAAATACGCTAACCTGAGTTGAGCTTTAAAGGAAATTTTAAAGAGGAAGGTGAAGAGTGAGACCATTCCAGGCATGGGGGACAGCCTGTACGAAGATGAGAAACTGAATGTTATATGGCAGGAACAGCAAAGCCAATTAGGCTGGACCACAAAATTCAACTTGAGTCAGAGGACCTCAGTTCAAATTCCCTTTCTACTACTTAACCATCTACACAAAACATAATTCAGACATTTACCTCCTTTAGGCCTCAGTTTCCTTATTTGTAAAACGTGGGAGTTAGCTTAAATAACCTCTAGGTTCTCCCAGCTCTAAATCGATGACTGTATTAAGTAAGGACAGCTTCAGGAATTCAAACTTTATCAGGAAAACCAGCAGAACAATGCTTTTCCAAACCAATTGTTACAAAAATCTATCACACCATTTTTGAACTCTATCACACAATGTGAAAGAGAAATGGAATGTTCTGTTTATTCCTTCTTCCATCCATATTCACCTGAAAACTGCAAAAACATAATCCTCTTGATCAGAGTTTGATAACCTACAGCAGAACATGTATATCAAATACTGAACAAGGGCTGCCCTGTGGTAAGGCACAAGACCCCTCCCTACTGCCATCCTCTCTTAAACAGACTCTTAAACAGTAAAGGACTGCTTCCCTGCCCACCCCACCCCACTGCTACCTGGAAGCACAGAACAGGGGCTGAAAGCCTTCAAATTACTTTTCAAAGAGGGTTGACCCCTGCCCTAAATAATATTGAGTTGACAAATTTGCTAAAAATACTAAAAATCATTGATGTTATAACCAACAGTTTTACTTATCCTTCTCAGGTTCAGGTTTGCCACTTTTGATAAAAGCAGCTAACAAGATAATCACTTCAAAGAGTCAGTGGGAATGTCCAAGAAATCGAAGCAACAACTAGGAAGTCAGGCTTTAAGATATGAATGGGCAAAACAACAATGAGCCCTTGTTTTTATAGATGGCCTTTGAAAAACAGGAAAGGGTAATTTGCACTAGGTGCAGCAATGGTTAGAGCCATGGGCGTGGAGTAGGGAAGACCTAAATTTCAAACTAGCCTCAAACACTTCCAAGCTGTGTAACTCTGGGCAAGTCACTTTAACCTCTGTTTGCCTCAGTTTCCTCATCTGTAAAATGGGGCTAATGATAGCACTTACCTCCCAGGGTTGTTGTGAGAATCAAATGAGATAACTGTAAATGAGATCATTTTACATGTAATAATCAAATGAGCGCTATATGAATGTCAGCTGTCGTTACCATTACCCAAAATAAAAGGGCAATAATGATTCTTAATTCAGAAATGATAAAGTGTGGCAGATGGAGGCCCAGGGATTGGAATGAGAAAGACCTGAGTTTGAATCCCACCTCGGACATGGTGAGTGATGCTGGGTGCTGCCGCTTAATGTCTCTGAGTCTGGGTCTTCTCATCTGCAAAGAGGGACTAAGAGCCTGCTTACTAGGCTGCCGTGAAAATCAAATGGGATAACATACATAAAGCTCTTAGGCCATGTGGACACGAGTTGTTATTGTTGTCACTATTATTATTACTATCACATAGCTCCTCCAAGGTTAACAGCACGGAGCCCTACCCCCATTACCGGGCCCAAGGTCACTCCGCCCGCCGGGGGTAGGGCTCTGCGTCCCTCGGTCCTCCGGCCAGGGGATCCAGTGAGCGGGCTGGGAGCAGCAGGCCCCGGGAGGGGCTGGAGCAGGCTCAGGCTGGCCGGCGTCCTTGGGACTGCCCGGGTTCTCCCACCGGACGCAATGCGCTAAGCAGCAGCCTCGCACCCCCCCACCCCGGAGAGCGCCCCTCCCTCATGCCGGGGGTCTCTCTCCCCTGCTCTCGGCCCCTCAGCACGTGGGGCTCGACTGCCTCAGCCTCGCCCTCGCCCAGCGCCCAACCTCAACGGGCCTCACCTGTCCCCGAGGCCCAAGACACTGGAAGACGCCTGCCGGCGCGCACAACCGCGACCGCCGCCATCTCTGCACGGCCGGGCTTGCGCCTTAAGGCTCCGCCCCCTAGCAGGCTACTTATTGCCTGAGAGAAAAGGTCTCTCTGAGGAGGCGCGGGGGGCGGGGAGAGAAGGACCCTAGCTCATTCCCCGCGGGCCCTCGCCATCAAGCAGTACCTCCCTCCCTCACCCTCCCACACCGGGCCTCTTGGGACCGTCACTGGGAGCGTCGCAGTCTGGGCTCATATTAGGGCGACTATAAGTAAAATGCTCAGATTAGGACCCCGCGCCTGGCGCCCGGAGAAGAAGGACCGATGTAATTGACTAGAAGGAACAGACCGGAAGTGGCGCCGCTCACCTGGCTCGGGGCAGCGCGGTCCTTTTGAAATCTACTGTCTGGAAGACTTTGGAGAGCCACGTGGGTAGAGATACTGGCGGTGCTTTCCATTCAACTTTTATTCTGCTGTATGCGAGCTCCTGCAGTTGTCAGCGATAATAATTATAATTATAAATAAAAATAAATTATGATGATTGTGATGATAATAAATTATGATACTAATAATGATAATGTATAAAGCAGGATCTTTTCTGTGTCATGGACCACTTTGACAGTCTGGTGACCCCATCTCAGAATAGTAATTGATAATATAAAATGCATAGAATTATAAAAGAAACTAAAGGTAACTGAAAATAAAGCTGTATTTTTTTTCCAGGTAAGTTCGCAGATTACTCCCAAATCTATCCACAGCCTCTTGGCAGGGATCAGTGGACCCTAATTTAAGAATTCTTGATATAGAACTTTGAAGGGTGTAATTTACAGATGCAAACTACATTTTGGAGCCCTTCTAAGAGGCTTGAACTGAGAGCCAGAATAGAGACAGTAGCTGTCTACAGGAGGACAGTGTGGGATTCTGTGCTGAGGGTAAAGTACCCAGAGTGACACTAACCATGATGGAGTGGGGTGGGTGAGACCTAGATGCCAAGCAAGCAGAGACTATCACAAGATTCCAAGAAGGAAGGAAGGAAAGAAGGAGTCAAATATGGTGGCAAAAAGGAGAGCCCTCAAGCTGCTATCAGGAGGAGCTATTAACAGGTAAACCCTAAGAACTTAACAGAAATAGAGAACTAAACCTGTGACCACCCCATCCCATTTCCTATCAAAACCTGCTCCCTTTTTGGGTTAGGTTGGTGGGCAACTTTGTTTGTTCTTTATCTCTTGTGTTCAATTTGTCCCTTAATGGTCAACAGAAATGCTAAGCTTTGTATTTTGTTGTTGTTCATCCTTCATTTTGAAGAGGACTAATAACATCACAGGGTGATTTCTTGATTTTCGCATGAATTGAAGTGAGGCAAAGTTGCTCAAAGTTGTCAGCCTCACTCTCCCCTCCAGAGTCACTGAGTCCAGTGGCAAGACAAAAATCAAGACAACTAATCAGTGGCCCAGGATACGGTGGATGTCCTTGTTATCTTCAACATCTGATCAAAAATCTAAGCACTCCACAGTGCCTGCTTCAGCTGCCTTCCTGTCCTTTGGAACAAATTGTCCACCAAGGGAAGTCTTCACATGCTTGGGGTAGAAACCCTCCCTAACTCACCAACAGATCTGAGGCTAGTTGGTTACTATCAACCTGGTTTAGCCTGTCTGCCAAGAAGGTTCTACCAGCGTACAGCTGCTGCGTATGCTACAGTTTTTTGGAGCCACAAGTAAGAGTTGAGCGTGAGGTGGACACCAAAGATGGATGAGCAGCCCTGAGAAAGGCTTGGCAAGCCCTCACACCAGAGGTGCTAGTCCTCTCTGAACACACCATACACCCCTGTGTTTTATATGATACTTAAAAATAAAGAGAAGATAATTGTTCCTTGTATTCAAGAAACATGATATTTGGTTCAGGCTGAACCTGGGGGCTTGGAGCTAATTTAGAACCTTTGGGCATAAGGACAGGGGAGAGGAAATTTAAGCCTGTCAATAAATTTGGAATCTAGACACTCTTAGAGACAAAATCTCACGCTGGCAAGAACAGCAGTATTCAGCGAACTAGAATGAAGGGGCTGGAGGGAGAGTATTTCCCCTTTTTTAATGGCAGCTGCCATATTTTGTGCTGAGGCAAGTTTAAAATAAAATCATAACTTTTCAACAATAAGCTAGTTGTCTGGGCATGCTCAGATAGGTCTGTAGGTTCAGTGGATGAAAAATAATAGCTTAGCCTGCTTAGTTCCCCAAAGCCACTTACTGCTAACACATGTTATCTCATTTGATTCTCCCAATAGTCCTATGAGGTGTCCATTTTACTGATGAACAATCTGAAACTCAAAAAGCTTAAGTGACATGCTTACAGTCAATTCAAATCAATAAAAATGTATTAAATGGCTGCCATGTGCAAGGCCCTGTGGAAGGCACTGAGGATACACAAATTAAATAGTTTATGCATTTGAGGAGCATATGTTCTTTTAGGAAGTAACATATAGCCCAAGGCAGGAGCAACAGCTAGCAGTCAGTAACCAAACTGAACTGTGCATTCCTAAAAGCTCCGGGGCCAAGCTCCCCTGTGTACTGTCTGTAGATTACACACAGCCTACTCAATTAAGTATTTAATTATATATTCTTAATTATTTTTGTTTCTATACCAAGAGTAAAAAGCACAATATACAGTTAAATACATTGATCTGCTTCTGTGAGAAGCGACTTCATTTTCCACACCTCCTATCTTGCAGAGAGAGGCTGAGCTGAGGAAAGGTGACTCAATTTATATACTATAATATCACTATTATAAAAATGAACAATTTATGGCCAAGGCAACTTATGCCTGGGTTACTGCAGGACCCCATTGTCTTTTCTCATGGTGTCCCCACAATCAACATCTCTGCTAATCTGGACTACACATAAAGCCTGGTCTCCACAACTCAGTTCCCAACTGCCAGGACTAAGTTTTTCCTTGAATCCAGCCTTGGCTCCCTTCTCTACTGTCACAGATCAGGTTCTTGGAGCTGCTTCCTGCCTCTCAAACTCTGGAGCTGAATGTCTCTCAATTCAGTTCCTTATGTATTATTTCTTTTTTTCTTTTCTTTTTTTTTTTTAGGCAGTTGGGGTTAAGTGACTTGCCCAGGGTCACACAGCTAGTAAGTGTCAAGTGTTTGGTCTGAGGTCACATTTGAAGTCCTCCTGGCTTCAGGGCTGGCGTTCTACCCACTGCGCAACCTAGCTGCCCCTTGTACCATTTCTTAATGGGCTAAAAAATACCAGAGTGAATGGGAGGGGAAGGAGAGAAAATTCCCCTTTCAGTTGCCCTATAGAGAAATTAGAATCACATACCTGAAGCTACTCCTTGGCTTGACTTGACAAAGCTGGCAAGCTTGGCTCTTTAAAAGCCATTAGGAAGGAGGTGACCAGTCTTTTGCTAACAAATAGCCAGCTTCCCCTCTAATTACTTCCAAGAGAATTCTTTCACACTGAATAAAGGGATAACATGGCATGATCTTTACTCTTTTAACACAGCAACACCTTATTTTCTCTGCTCTTTCTGTGACTTTATCAAAAGGGCTAGGGGAGTAGTGGATGAATCATTCAGGGACAAACTCATCCTCACTCTATCTTTGTCGATCCACACAGTGCCTGGCATATTGATTGATTACTCAAGTAAGAACATTGGTAGCGTCCACATAAGTGCCTTGGCCTCACATTTTTTGTTGTTCATTCTTCATTCTCGAAGAGAACCAATGATATCACGAGCGTGATGTCTTGTGCGTGAATTGGATTGAGTGAGGCAGAGCTGAGCAAAGTCATCAGCCTCACTCTCTCCTCCAGAGTCACTGAAGTCCAGTGGCAAGACTAAAGAAAAGACAACTGGCCGTGGCCCAGGATGCAGGGGGTTACCTTGGCCTCTCTAAATTAAAGTCTTTGCCGGGTCTCAGTTTGTCTAAGGCCAGACCCATTCAATGACTAAGGACTAGGTAAGAAGTGAGACAAAAGATGGCCCAATTTACCACCCCAAAGATATCAGTCTGGGAGGGGAAGACCCTCAAAGTTTTGGCCAGAACAGAAAACAATTGCTTTTTATACTTCTTCTAAGCCATCAAAACCTAAATAATGAGTCACTGAGGCTTGGACTGGGCCCATCAGTGACCATTCAATGAAAGCCAGAATGATTTAGGTTTAAAGGCTTAGTTTAGTAGCCCCATTTAAAATACAATGGGTTTTTTAAAAGCCTGTTTTTCAGAGCTATATTTCAAGAAATTAAAAATAAAAACTGCACAGGACAAAAGTAAATTGTCTCAGCTTTTTGGGAAAAAAAGGAGAAGGAGGAAGAAGAGGAGGAGTTGGGTTCCCAGAGGGCAGGTACTACTACTCTCATATAATGTGGTAAAGACAGTTAATAGAAAACCTTCTCCTAAGAACCTGGTTCACTCTTTTCCATAAATACACACAGCACTCATGGGAGGAGTATGTTTAAACTTAGACAATAATAGTACTGATATCCCCATTTTATAGTTGAGGAGACTGAGGAAGAGAAAGGTCAAGTGACTTGCCCATGGGTACACATAGCTAGTAAATATCTGTGGACAAATCTGAATTCAGGTCTTCCTGACTGTTTCGGATCAGTGCTCTAGACATTGTACCACCCAGTTGCTTTTGTTGATAGAATTGTGATAATATTCATGTATTTTCTCTTATTCAGCAGGTGAAGATTACATTAATATATGCTTATTAATGGTGTTATTTAACAAATCTTATGGCTTGGCCTCACATATACCTAGTATATGTCCATTCTAGCATGGTGACATTTCCTGTGTGGATGCTTTCTGCCCAACAGAAGTATGAGAACTGGTGGGAATGTGCCATTGTGGACATGGGGAGATCTTGTCTTATCACTTATATTGCTATATTTTTAAAATTGAATGTCTTTTGGTTTGATGCTCTTTCTGGTTGCCTTAGTAAAAGTAAACACAAAAGTGTGGGACCATGAACTATGGTTTTGAATGGTTACTGACCCACAGAACACTTTGAACCTAGAGTCAGCTTTTTTGCTTGTTTTTTGAGAGGGGGCTGACTGTGTATGAGATAGCCCTGGGTGTTAAACTTTTCCTTCTAAAGAATTTAGAACAGAGCATCTATGAGGGCCTCGTGATGCTCCAGGTTGTATGCAGGGCTCACACCTGGCCCACCTGAACTTTAGAACTCAGGGGACAGAGAGCCCGGCTCTTTCAGCATCCTCAAGGCTCCCTGGCATCAGATGCACATCCCAACTCTTACACTGGGGGTAGGCGGGTGTGAAGCAACCTACATGCTTCAGATGCAGAAAACAGCCAAAGACAGGTGAGGACGTCTCCCAGAGCTTCTCTTCCTCTCCTCAGAGCAACCCCGAAAGTACCTTATCTACTCTCTGGGCCCACAGCCAGATGACAAATGGAACCCCGCAATGCCCCTCCTCAGTAGTAAGGAGAAAGATGACACCAAAAACTACCAATTATCACGAGGTTCTTTTTTTGGAGTTGCAGAGGAGTTCGTTACCATGGCAACTGAGAAGCGCGCGCCCCCCCAAGTCCACCCACTGCGACTGCGCAGGTGGAAATCCAGGACTACATTTCCCAGAGAGCATAGAGCCGCGCCGACTCTTGCACTCCGACTCAATCCCCCAGAATCCCCCTGTCGTGGCTGGTCCAGGCAGCCTGGGCTCAGGAGGCGAAGCTGCCTCGGGAGAGAGAGCTCAGCGTCCTCTTTGGACCGTAATGTCTGTGGCCTCTTAACTCTGGAGCGGACCTGGAGAATAGCAGTTTATCCGGACCGTCTCGGGTCGGAGGTAAAGGCCGGTCTGTGGGGGCGTTTAGGGACTGACGGAAGCGGGGTCTGCAGGCACTGGGCAGGTCGAGGGCTTGAGGATCCACAGCTGACACATCGGGAAACTGAGGCGCAGAGAAGGCAAGTCCCGCCCAGAATCCCTCAATCTGTCGGTGGCAGAGACTGGAATCGGACCGAGGTCTTCAGACTCCCAGGACTAGGTGTTCTGCTGCATGGGATGCGATCCCCCCCCTTCCCTCCCGTTTTCCCATCAGAAGCCCAGCCCCATGTCACACATGTCACTCGCTCAAGAAACTTCCGTGGCTCCCTATATCCCTTGAAACAGAGTTCAGATTCCTCAGGGTAGCCCTTCGTGATTTGGCTGTGGACCCAGCCTATCTCTCCGGCACCATTGCACTTTTACCCAGTGACTGAGGAGTCCCCCATATTGATTTTATCTTGCATCTGCACCTTGGCAAAACCTAAAGTGATCCACTCTAGGGTGTCAGAGCTTGGCTCTCTGCTAGGGATAAATCCTACAGCCCCAAGGAGACAGGCCCTATCCTTTAGTTAGCTGTTTCTCTGAAACTTTAAATCCCAGCTTTGTAGATACAATTTAAGCTCCCAAAGAGAAGCATTCCATTTGGGACCAAAATACAATCTTATAAGTCACTTTCTGTTTTAAAAAATTATTGATGTATTTCATTCCTAAATATTTACCCCACCTTCCCTTTCCAGCAAACCATCCCTTCTAAGAAATACAAAACAGGCAGTTCAACAAAACTAACCAACACTTTAAGCTGACAGTGTTCCACACCCATAGTCCTCTACCTTTGGAAAGAAGGGAGGGAAGTTCATTTTTTCATCTCTTCTCCAGGCCCAAGTTCTTTCCACTTTCAGTAGACATTCAGGGAATTCCAATACCAGAAGGAGGGAAGGGATCCCCTTTTAGGGTTTTTGCTGAACTCGTCCTGGGAGCTCTGCCTCTGGTTGAAGGAGGCCTAAAATTTATGCAGAAGCAGTCCTGTTGTAGCCAATGGAAGAACATTTCTTGACCATTCTACCCAGGAACTGGGGTGAGAGCATAATATCCAGAGAACAATAAGGAGGTAGTGACTGGTAAAAGACTGACCTCAAATGTTTGAAGATATGAAAATGACCCATCTTTAAACAAACAAACAAAAAAAACCTGAGTTGGGGAGAACAAAGTGGCTGTGACTGACCTGGTCAGGGCTATCCCCGGTCTCACTGACTTTTCATGTCATCTCTTTTTGTAGTCTCCTCTCTTTTTAGTTTCCCCATGTACGACAATAAACCTGAAAGACATAGATGGGGAGAGAATGGTTTTCACTGGTTTATCTTATAAATAGCATGTAGATATGTGAGCATGCATACCTGTGCATGTGTGTATGCAAATGTGCATGTGTGTATTCATGTGTGGAAAGATTAGTGGCAGGCAGACCAGCCTGAGGGCTATTACAATAAATTAGGTGTGAGGCTATAAGGGCTCACACCAAGGTGGTAGCAGTACCTTTTTGGTCTATGGGCCACAAGTCTCACCTCACTTCAGTCTATCTGCCACACAGCCATCAAAGTGAGTTCCCTAAAGCACAAGTCCAACCATGTCACTCCTCTGCTCATTAAACTTTGGTGGCTCCCTGTCACCTCCAGAATCAAATGTAAAATCCTCTTTTTAATTTCTAAAGCCCTTCCTAACCTAGCTGCCTTAGCATTTTTGGTCTTTATGACTTACACCCCTGCACATACTCTTCAATCCAGTGTCATTGGCCTTCTTTCTGTTCCTAAAACAGAACACTTCCTCTCCCAACTCCAGACATTTTCTCTGGCTAGAATGCTTTCCCTTTTCATCTCTGGCCTCCAGGCTTCCTTGAAGGCCCAGATAAAATCTCACCTTCTACAGGAAGCCTTTCCTAATTGCTTTTAATTCCAGTACCCTTCCTGTATTGATTATTTCCTCATTATCCTCTGTATATAGCTTGTTTGTACACATTTGTTTACTTGTCATCTCTTCCCTGCCCCCTCAAGGGCAGGACTATCTTTTACCTTTCTTTGTATCTCCAGAGCTTAGCACAGTGCCTGTCACTTAGTAGGCACTTAATAAATGTTTATTGACTGACTGATTGACATATGTCCCTAAGAAAAATAGGATTCTCTTTAGTAGGTAGGGTATATTTGAAGTATGTTACTAAAAAAGTAGTGAAACTGACTTGTGGAATCACTATCATTTTTTATAGTTATATCCTCATCTTAAAAAAGAATAGCTAGCGTTATCTGATGCTTTAAGGTTAGCAGGTGCCAACCTTAAAGGCCTTACGGCAGCTGGGTGGTACAATAGATAGGGCACTGGGCCTGGATCTGTGTAGATAGTTGGCACAGTGGATGGAATGCTGGGCCCAGAGTCAGGAAAACTTGAGTTCAAATCCAGCCTCAGGAATTTATTAGCTGTGTGATCCTCCATAAGCCACTTAATCTCTGATTGCTTCGATTTCCTAGAAATAATACTAGCACCTATATCCCATGATTGAAGTGAGGATCAAATGACACCTGGCACATAGTAGGTGCTATATAAATGGCAGCCATCATTATTAGCAAAGTGCTTTTAACAAATCATCTTATTTGATCCTCACCCTGTGTGCTACAGATAGTATTGTCCCCATTCTACCAGATGACAAGTATGAAGCTGATAGTCGTTAAAGGGGGTGGGACGGGAGAGTGTTTATCCTCAGCTCATTTTCTCACCTACATATCCAAGTAGTTATCAAGTCTTGTGAATTCTACCTTCCAGCTTCTTTCATACCAGTGTTGTTCTTTGCACTTATACGGATTTTACCTTAATTCAGGTCCACCAGAATTCACCTCTTGCCTGAACTATTGCAGTATCCTTCCAATTGGCTGTTCTCCCCTCCCTATCATCCTCCACATAGTATCCAGAGTGATGTACCTAAATCATAGCTGACTCTGTCACACCATGCTTAGGAAAACTCCAGTGGTTCCATATTGCCTCTAGGATTGAAAATAAATTCCTTGGTTATCATTTAAAACCCTTCACAACCTGGTTGCAGCCCATCTTTCCTTCCTCGTTATACTTTACTCCCCTTTACACACCCTCAGTCTAGCCAACGTGGGCTTCTTGCTGTTCCTATAACAGGATACACCATTTTCTGTGCCTTTACACAGGTTATCTGCCCATGGGGGGGATCCTCCCTCCTCACCTTCACCTCTTAGGCTCTCTAGTATCAGTCAAAGCTCAACTCATTTGCTACCTCCTACACGGATGGAGTCTTTTGCTGATTCTCTTACTCCTACCTGGCAGTGCCTCAGTGCCTCTGCTCGACCCCCATTACCTTGTATGTATTCTTATATGGGGCGATTACGTGGTGCAGTGGATAGAGTGCTAGGCCTGGAGTCAGGAAGACTCAGCTTCCTGGGTTCAAATTTGGCCTCAGACACTTACTAGCTGTGTGACTTTGGGTAAGTCACTTAACCCCATTTGTCCCAATTCCTCATCTGTGAAATGAGCTGGAGAAGGGGAAATGGCAAATCACTCTAGTTTCTTTGCCAAGAAAATCCCAAATGGAGTCATGAAGAATTGGACATGACTAAAATGATTGAACAACATTCTTATATGTACTCCTATATGTTCATTTTGTCTCCTTCAGTGAACTCTAAGTTCCATTCAAGGGCTGGAATTGTTTTGTTTTTTACTTTACATATGCAGAACCTAACACAGTACCTGGCTCATAGTAGGTGCTTAATACATGCTTGTTAATTAACTTTGTTGTTGTATATTTCAGTCACATCCAGCTTTTTGTAACCCCATTTGGGGTTTTCTTCGCAAAGATCCTGGAGTGATTTTCCATTTCCTTCTCCAGATCATTTTTCAGATGAGGAAACTGAACAAACAGGGTTAATTAAGGGACTTATCCAGGGTCACACAGCTAGTAAAATTTGAGGCCAAATTTGAACTTAGTTCCTCCTGACTTCAGGCCCAGAGATCTATCCACTATACTACCTAGCTGTTAATTAACATGCCTAGAGTCATATAGTAAGCTTTAAAGGCAAGGTTTTCCTTACCCCAAGTCTAGCACTCTTTCCAATACATCATATTGCCTTTCCATTGGATTATTATAGATAAATGATAAGTTAAGTGATTTGCTAAAGGCCACACAAATACTAAGCTACAGAAACAGAACCATAAGGAGGTTTCCTGATTCCCAGTTCTATCTCCATTCTGATTTTCTTGTACTAATGTCCTATATCCATTGGGCTACTTTAAGGAAGTCAGAGTAATGGTTTCTGTTAATTCTATGAGTCAGGAAAGAAAATGGAAAAACTTTCCCTTATTAAAGGAGCAGGTGAATAAGTCACATAGATTTTGGCTGTTATTTTCTATATCAAACAGTTCTGGGGTCAGAGCTATTAATTTCCATCATACTTCCTAACAAAAATAGAGATCCTTCTAGTGATGTGCTATAAAACAGAAACAGTCAACATACCAGGCCCTTTGTGGGAGCAATGTATTTTGCTATTTATTTTTCTTAAATTTTTATTTGTTTTTCAGTTAGCAAGCTTTTTCCCCTCTTTTCCACCTCCTCCCTACCACATTGAAAAAAGAAGAAAAACAAAACCCGTTTAAGAAATATATGTAGTCAGACAAAAACAGATGCCAGTGTTGGCCAGGTCTAAAAATATATAATTCATTTGGTATCTCAAATCCATCACCTCTCTATCCAGAGGTGGGTAGCACCCTTCATTATCAGTCCTCTGGAACTGTAGTTGGGCACCACTTCAGTGTTTGTTTTTACAACATTTTCATTGTTATTGTATTATCCTCTGACCGCTCTGCATCAGTTCATCTAAGTCTTTCCAAGTTCCTCTGAAACTGTCCCTTTCATCATTTGTTATGACACATGACATTCTATAACATTCTTATACCATAATTTGTCTAGCCATTCCCCAGTTGATCGACACTTCCTTAGTTTCCAGTTCTTTGCCACTACACAGGAGCTGCTCTAAATATTTTTGTACATAGGGATCCTTTTCCTCTTTCTTTGATCTCTTTGATCTTGGAAGGAGCAAGGCTACTGTGCCTGGGCAACCTCCTTTGTAGAGTTTGGAGAGGTAGAGAAATCACATGCTTCAGTTATTTAGATATTTCTAACCTGGGGAATCCGGGAGCTCCAAGGTATGATCATTGCCCCTCTCCTCCTCCTCTAGGCCTGCATTCTCAGAACTCTGCCTTTTTCCAGGAGAGGACTACAGAAGAGGAGGGAATGGCTACTGTGTCCCTGATAACCAAAGCCCGGGTGAGCTTGAGTTTTCCAGTCTTTTCTAAATGAAATTTCAATTTCCAGAGTGTGGACACTTTTCTCCTCCTCATCATGGAACTTCTCTGTCTCTCTGCCCTCCTCCTTGTGGATGAAGGACTAAGGATGAAATGAGCTTTGCTTGACTAGTGTTCATCTCCATTGGAGCTTAGTGATAAGTATACTAATGTGGAAAAGATACCTTCCTACCTCAGGTCAAATGCTCCAACGTCTCTCCTATGTGTTTGTTTCAGGAATCAGTGACATTCAAGGATGTAGCTGTAAACTTCACCCAGGAGGAGTGGGGGCAACTGAGCCCTGCTCAGAGGAACCTGTACAAGGATGTGATGCTGGAGAACTATAGAAACCTCATCTCACTGGGTAAGGATGGCTTCTCCCTGGGATTCAAAATTTATCTTAAATTAAGAAAATTCCCTTCTCTGCTGAATACTGTAGTAGTGAATGCAGAGCCTGGATTGGATTTATTTATGTCTCACTGTGACTGTGTTTCTTAAGAATAGTCATGTAACAGATACCTGTAGGAACTGCTTTCAAACAATGGTGATGGCTATGTAACTGTGAAGGTGAGCATGAGGTCCTACTGTTTGCTATCGGATGAGGTGGAGGGTGGGTCCTGGAGAGGATGAGGAACTTAAGAGGTCTGAATGCATTGTGAATGAAAACAGGAAGAATTGCTGCAAGATAGAGCTGGATTTAGAAGTGGTGAGCCAAAAGGTGAAAGAGAAGAGGCATGCAGGAGGGAAAGGAGTCACCTATTAAATTCAAAACTGGAGGGCCAGCAAAGCAAGGGCCCAACCTTCCAAGAACTACTCAGGTGGACATTACATAGAACAGTATCCAGTAGACCTTCAGGGAAACTATAGAACTTGGATCAAGAGCTGTGGAGAAAGAAGGTAGCATAGAAAAATAAGATTTCTTGAATCTAAAGGGAGGGAACCAGAAGTAAAGGTGAAGGAGGTAGCTATAATGGCAAGGTAATTTCCACATGGAGCCCAGACCTCAAATAGAATGGAAACATGCTAATCTCAAAACCAGACTGAGCAGAGAAAGAAAGGTAATGTGACCTAGGACTGATAACAAGTATGACATATAAAGAAAGTGAAGGCAAATGGTACCTATGAAGAAATCGGCCAAGCAAGAAGCAGGGTTGCAAGGTTGTATTATAGAGGTTCTAGAGTTGTCAGGGCATCAAAGAGAACTGGTAAAGAAAACCATGGAGCCTCTGAATTTCTTACCTGAATTTTGATTCAGGGCTTGGGTCAGAGATTTTGGCTAAGAAACAAAGCATTTCTTCTCCTCCATAACAGGTGAAAATGATATACATCTTATGTTGAAATTAAGAAGCTTTGTTATGCTATTCCAGAGACTGTAACTTCCTTGTCCTCTTCTCCTACAGGTCAAGGGCTTTCACCTAAGATAAGAGCGCACATATCTGCTTTCTGGAAAGATAAGCCTGAACCTCCTTCAGAAGTTACCGCAACTCCTTCTGGGCTTTCCTATCATATCCTTTTTGGATAGAGAGGCAGCCTAGCATCGGTGGGGAACCTGTGGCCTCCAGGCCACAAGTAGCCCTCTAGGTCCTCAAGTGCGGCCCTTCGACTGAATCCAAACGAATTTGATCTGTGAGGTTTGGATTCAGTCAAAGGGCTGAACTTGAGGACCTAGAGGGCTACACGTGACCTGGAGGCCACAGGTTCCCCACCCTGATATAGGGGACAGAAGAGTCAGGAGGTCTGAGTTCAAGTCTCACCCTGCTAATCATTAACCATTTGACCCTGGGCAAGTCCCTTCTCTCTTGCCCTGAGCTTTCTTTCCAACAATAGGGTTTGAATTAGATGATCTCTTAGTTGTCTCCAGCTCTAACTTCATTTGATTCACAGAATCTCAGAGTTGGAAGCTGCTCAGAAGGTTCTTGTCACACCAGTGGGCACTCAGCTTTCGACTGAAGATCTTCACTGAGGATCTGCTTTTGGACAATTCTGTTAGGAAGGTTTTTCTTATCTTGAGCCTAAATTTGCTTCCATCTGTTACTCCTGTTTCTACCAATGGAGCCATGCTTTCTTCCATAGGAAAGCCCTTCAAATACTTGAAGTCAGGTATAACACCACTCCTCCTCCTCCTGCTCCCTCTCCCCAGTGCCCCAAACCTTTTCTTCTCCGGCAAAGATCCTTGTTTCCTTTAATCAGTCATGTGGTGTAAACTCAAAGCCCTTCACCATCCTAATTGTCCTCCTTTGGATGCTCTCCACTTTATCAATATACTTCCTGAATTCTATTCTTCCAGATGTGGCCAGGCCAGGACAAAATACAGCAAGATTGCATGCCCTGCCCACCCACCCCCACTCCCCAGCCTTCTCTTTTCCATGTGGGCAACTGCTTAGAAAAGAAAGTTCTTGCCACCAAAGTCCTTGGCATTGTCAAATGTTTTAACATCACAGGTTGAGATGATTATTAGTAGAAATGATATTAAAGAATATTCATTATCATCAGGTTTCCTGCCACACCCTAAGGACCATGGGATCTTTTCATCTGACTTGCTGCTGAAACCTACATATATTCTCTTCCCATTAGAATGTAAGCTCTTTGAAAGCAGGGACTGCCTTGTTTTTCTATTTGTTCTAGCCTCACATTATCTTTCATGGTGGCCAGATCACATTGTTGATTCATTCTGAGCTTTCAGACTACTAAACCTTCCAGATCTTTTTTCAGATAAATAGCTCTTTAGCCATGCCTCCTCCATCTTGTACTTTGGAAATTAAGTATTTGGAACCCAAGTGTAAGGCAAAGATTCTGTTTCTCTTCTCTCTTACAGAACAAAAGTGTAGGATTGAAAACTGCAATGTAAAGCAGACAAATTTCTCATGGAAGGTGAAGGTTGTGCACCCCTCTCTACAGTTGCTAATTAATCTCCCAGCCTCTTAAGTTTCCTGCAGTTGGTAACCAGTGCAGGCATCTTGTAGGATACTAGATCCTGGCATGTAAAGACAGTACTTGGAGCAGTTACTTAGTGCTTAAAGAATGAAGGACTGGTATACCAGTGTGGGTTAGAAGAGTTAGGAGAGAATAATTCTGTACTCTGAAGAGAAAGGTGAGAATAAGTCTATACTGGGACTTAGTGTGGCTGGGAGCTGTCACCCTAATAAGCTTAAGACATAAATACTCGTGAAACTCTCTTACCAGCAAGGGATGTTAGAGGGTTCATTATGGGTTTGACATTGTTCTGGATTTTGCCATCTTGATGATTCGTGGGTACCAGTCAGTTGTCCAGGGCTGCAGTGGAGACCCTAGTCAGATTTTGCGTATGTAAATGTTCTGATCTCCTTATAGTCTCCACATGGAAAAGAGAAGGTTGGGGGTAGGGAGGGGTGGGCAGGGCATGTCACAAACCTCAGATGCTAGCGGTAAAGTACTGATGAGTCTGTACTAGTGCGTCTATGCTGAAATTAGCATTTCCCAGGAAAGCAGCTTCCCCTTTTCTAGTCACTTTAGAGTGTTTGGCCTAGGCAGTCAAGAGGAATAATTGTATTAGCATCAGCTGCTCCAGTGTTTTTGTTTGTCTGTTTGTTTTTTGTTTTCTATAACTGGTGCAGCAGATTTGCTGGAAAGTATTTGAATGACTTCCCTGTCAGTGCCTCTAGAGAAGCTAGAGCCACCCAGGTAGTTAAGGGATGAGCAGTTAAGTCTAGAGCCCTTGTGGCTGGGGCCTAACCAGTATAGGTAGGCATTGTAGCAAGGGCATTATAGGGCATACCAACAGCCATCTTTATCAGTTTAACAGGCTTAAGGTTATATTTCACAATTATTTTAATTTGCATTTAATTATTTGAGCATTTGAATGTTTTTGGTATAGAAACCTGAGCTCCCCAGCTCATCATTGTTGCTGGGGCTATGCTCCAGATGGTACATGACACCCTGATAAGTAGAGGCAAGGGAAATTTACCACTAAGGATAATAGGGAGGTCCTCATGGCCTACCCATATTGATCTAGTCCAGGGCCATGTTTCCAATGTAATGATCTAGGGAATTTTTGGGCAGCACTACCCTCACTTTGATGGGAGATTTAGGTAGTGCCTTTTTCCCAAATTGAGCTCTGAGAGATGGGGCTAAAACTACCCCATAACGTCCCTATAACAACAAGAGTCTGAATCTACAGTACGCAGAATTTCCAGTGCCTATCCAAAAGCTTTTAGGGTGGGAAAGAGTTTATCTATATACTGTCCACTTCAAGGAAAAGCGTTGTTAGATAGAGTCCCTAAAAAGATCTGGATTGAAAGCATGGGCTGATGCAAAGCAGGGGGTTGCTAGTTTAAGAAGAAAGGTATCTTGGTGAAAAGGAATGGGGAAGAAACAAGAAAAAACTCAGAGGATTAAGTATCCAAAAAATGTCCTGGACTGGCTGATGAATAAACAAGAAGAAAATAGAGAAAAAGAACCTCTCCAGGCAGAGGAGTGAGCAAAAGTAAAAAGGAGGGAAAATGAGGGAAGAGTTGACAAATGAGACAGATGTTCTCATGGGAGGTGAAAAGACCACTTACAAGTGCACTGAATGTGGGGAAACCTGGTTAAATGGAGACACTGTCTAAATACTGAAATGTATAATGTGACTCTGGTTTCCTTTCTGGGACCCAAGAATACAGGCTTCCTTAAACTCTACCATAGGCAGAGATAATCAACAGAGGGAAGAAAAAATGTGTGTTTTAAGACAGAAAGACAACTGTGCTGGACGATAGTTGTTAATTACTCCATGATCTGTAAAAGAACAGTCAGGCTCTTCCCTAGCAGGTATCTTGTTAGAAACTAGTTCATGGGGATGTGATGATAATATCTGGAGTAGTTACTGGACTAGTGGGTGTAAAAAGTAGAGTTTCAGTACTGGTGTTAGTGAGAAGGGGGAAATGAATGAGCATTTATTAACCACTTAGTGTGTAAGTGCTGAGGAAACAAATAGAAAAACAAGGCAGTCCCTGCTTTCAAAGAGCTTACATTCTAATGGGGAAAGAGAATATATATAGGTTTCAGCTGCAAGTCAGATGAAAAGATCCCATGGTCCTTAGGGTGTAGCAAGTAAGCTGATGATAATGAATATTCTTTAATGTCATTTCTACTGATAATCATGTCAACCTGTAATGTTAAACCATTTGACAATGCCAAGGACTTTGGGGGCAAGAACTCTCCTTTCTAAGCAGTTGCCCAGGCACATCTTTGCACAGGGGTTGCTTCCGGGGATGCTTGTGGAGGGCTGGGCTAGAAGCAGGGCCTGTTGTGTAGAGCGTTCTGTCACTCCCCAAGCTTGGGGTTTATATTCCCAATGGTGACAGTCAGCCAAGGAAAGTGAGCCCTTTCTTCACAATGATTGCTCTCCTCAATGATGGCTACAAATTACAGGCCAGAAACAAGGCCAGTAATCTTAGGGCCACTGCTATTCCTAAGGCTCTTGGGTTCTGGGTCCTCAGCTATCGCTATTAGGGTCTGAGGAGAGGTTGTGGTTTGACTTTCCTGGCACATGCTACCTCATTTCTCCCTCAGGATGCTTTATTGCTTTAGCTAGGCTTGATTGCCTGCCCCATAGGTGACAGTTGGCCAGTAGTTATGGTACCTATTCTGCTACCTGCTGATCAAGCTAGTCAGTGTTTTTCTCTGTTCTTCATTTGTAAGATAAACAGAACAGAGCTTGAATGACAGAATATGGAAAAGCGAGGAGAGAATCTGTCTAAAAGCCTCAGGTTTACAGAGGTGGCTAGAGATAATGAATATTTTTACAGAAGGAAGAGGTGGTATGTTTGCATCAGGACTGAACATGTCTGGGGAAGAGGAGAGGCTAAGCAGATCAATGTATCTGAAAGTTGTGGGCTGTCACCCTGTGGAAATTCTCTGTGTCAGGATGAATGTGCATGTTGGAGGAGAGGCAGGGTAGATAGAGTCAGGGTTGGGCAATATTTTGAGTCATAATGTGCCGGGGCTGGAATAAAGGGAACCTAGTTACACATTGATAGGTGAATGGCAAAGTTCTGAGTTTCTTGTTTCCTGAAAGGGAAAAGTGATCCAGAGATGTAGTATGACTGAAAAACCTGACAAGTGTAAGTGAACAAAGGATTTGAATGGTTTTCAGAAGAAATGACAAACAATCATATGGAAAACATGCTTCAATTATAAATTATGAGAAAAACCGCTCTGAAGTTTTGACTGACAGCCATCAAATTAGTAAAAGTGATAAAGAACAGAAATTGTCAGTGGCAGAGTGGGTTTGGTAAATCAGAGACACTTATACACTGTTGGTGGAGTTATAAAATTGAACCAACAGTACTGGGAAATAAGTTAGAATTCTATAAGAAAAGCTGATCTTAGTGACTTTTTCTCCCACAATTCCAAATTGTTTTCAAGAACAGTTTGACTGATTCACATCTCCACCAACTAATGTCTCTGACTTCCCACAGCTTTTCCAACACTGACTTGGTGATTCTAGTACTGGATGTATGTCCTAAAGTAGTCAATGACAGAAAGATGCCATGTAAAAATATTCCTATTAGGATTTTCTGTAAAAAACGAACAAGCCAAAAAAAAAGTAGGTGTCCATTGAATGGGAAATGGTTGAACAAACTATGGTCTATGAATGCAATCTAATATTATCACTCCGTAAGAAATGATTATGAGGAATTCATAGAAAAATGGGACAGCTTATATGAAGTGATGAAGAATGAAGAAAGTGGAACCAAGAAAACTATACACAAAGAGTTCAGTTATGTATTTGAAGATGACATTAAAAGGTAGTTGAATTTAAATTAACCTCATGAAACATTCTTAGTTCCAAAATACAGAGAAATATATATCCCTCCTCCTTAGGGGCTAGGTAGGAGACTACTGATGCAGAGTGTTGCAAGGTTGCTTTGTTGATTGTGATGTAAAAGACAACAACAAAAGACCAATAATTATGTTCAAAGAAAGACAGATAAGCGGTGAAGTACTAGTAAGTTAATGCAAGTGAGTCCTGTCAGAGGATCCATGACAATTCTTTGTCCCCATAAGAAACATCTGTGTTTTATTTTCTTCTATACAAACAGGGTTTCCTATATCTAAACCAGATGTGATCTTCAAATTGGAGCAAGGGAAAGAGCCATGGATGTTCAGTCTGCAGAAAGCCAGAGAGAGAGAGGTCCCAAGAAATTCCCCTCCAAGTGAGTAAGAACTAGATCTATGAAACTCAGTGGGAGAAACAGCACAATAGTTTATTGAGAGAAAGCTCTCTTCCAGCTTTTTGGGGAAAGGAGAGATGTGAGTCTCACCTGTGGCTGTCTTTCTTCACATGTATCCTTACCTACCTGCCTTTTCTTTTTCCTCATGCTTTCCAGAGACTACCTTTCCTTACTGAAAGTTCATTTTCCCTGATGACACTATTTCTTTTTTATTTGCTATTCCTATTTATCACTATCCCTCGCACTTAACACAACACTCTAGTGACCCTTACCACACTCCTGGATAGACACTTTATATTCTGTTTACCTCATTTGATGATATAGCTTCTATTCCCTATTCAGTTCTCCTCTCCCACTTCTTAGCCTCTTTTCAGATTACAAGACTGTTTTTAGAGGTGACAAGACTATGGATATCTAGTGGGCATTATTTTTTGTTTCATTATTTTCTTCCCAATATAGCATTTCTTTTCTTACAGCACAGAGAAAGATTAATTTGTTTTTTCTCTTGGTTCCAGACTGGGAGAGTAGGCCTGACACCCAACAGTCAACTCAAAATGAGAACATTTCTGAAGAAGCAGAATCACCAGGGATATTAGTTCCTCTAGACCCTACATTTGGAGAAATTCTTCTGTCTGGGGGTAGACTGGAGAAGTATCAGGAAAACTCTGAAAGGGAAAAATGGAAGAAATCCCTTTCCCATGAGAATACTTTCAAGCAGTTGTCAATTGGTCTCACAGAAAGCCCCATTAAAGAAAGAGACCATGAATGTAAAGAATGTGGAAAAAAATTCTTTGACCGCCCATCCCTCACTCGACATCAAAGGACTCATAAGGGAGAGAAGCGCTATAAATGTAATGAATGTGGAAAAGCCTTCTCTAAACATTCATCTCTTACTGAACATGACAGGATTCATACTGGAGAGAAACCCTATGAATGTGATGAATGTGGAAAGGCCTTCAGCCTGAAAAGTAACCTAACTCGACATCAGCTAACACATACTGGAGAGAAACCCTATGAATGTGATGAATGTGGGAAGGCCTTTAGCCGTAGAAGTGGACTTATGAGACATCACATGACTCATACAGGAGAAAGTCCCTATAAATGTTATGAATGTGGGAAAGCCTTCTTTAACCCTTCATCTCTTACTGAACATGAGAGAATTCATACTGGAGAAAAGCCCTATGAATGTGATGAATGTGGGAAAGCTTTCTCTAACCAGTCATCTCTTACTGTACATGAGAGAATTCATACTGGAGAAAAACCCTATGAATGTGATGAATGTGGGAAAGCCTTCTCTATACATTCATCCCTTACTGTACATCAGAGAATTCATACTGGAGAGAAGCCTTATGAGTGTGATGAATGTGGGAAAGCCTTCTTTGACTGTTCATCCCTTACTAGGCATCAAAGAACTCATACTGGAGAGAAACCCTATTTATGTAGCGTGTGTGGGAAAGTCTTCAGTAGTAAGGCATCTGTCATCCAGCATCAACGACGTTATGCCAGAGAGTAATGTAGGAATATAAAGAAAATTTCCATCAGATTTGTCATTTGATTGACTACCAAAAAGTCAAAGTGGGAAAATAGGCCCTATAAACACTTAAAAATGGCCTTATCTTAAACAGTTGGGTGGGGGAGTAGGAAACAAGCATTTATTAATCACCTGCTATGTATCAGGCACTATGCTAAGCACTTTACAAATTTCTCATTTGATCCTCACAATAACCCAGTGAAGTAGGTATTGTTATGATTTCCATTTTACTCATGGGGAAACTGAGGCAGACAGCGATTAAGTGACTTGTTGAGGGTCACATAGCTAGTAAGTGCCTGAGACTGGATTTGAACTCAAATCTTCTGACTGGGCCCAGCAGTTTATCGACTGTGCCAACACAGATCTATAAACCCCCTGCCCCTTTTAGTGTTTTGCAGTTTCCCTTTTCTAGCCAAACTCCTTTTTCTAAACATACTATGTCATAAATCTGACCCAAGGTACCCCAGATACAAGATGTAACTCTGAGGCTCCCCCCTTAAAGAACACCCTGGCCTATCAAAGTCTCTTATAGACTTATAACTCATGGTGTACACAAATACTCAAAAGGAAACATCTGGGAAAATGGAAGAGTGAGCAGTCAAAAGAGAACATATTTTCTTAGTTTCCCCCTATAAAACATCAATTTACAAAAACTTCCAAAATGACCAGGACCATCAGAAGCCTTGAAAACAGTATTTTCAGAATAAATCGGTATATTGTTTTTGGTTAACCATGGCAAAAAAGGAAAGTAAATCCATGTCTCCCTTCATATAGTATAATAAATTTCCAGTAGATAAATGATGTAGTATAAAATGAGGCACATAAAATAATTAGTTGTGGAATATATATATATCACAATTACAGAGATGCAGAAAAAATTTTAACCTCAAAAAAATTTTGGGGAGAGAAAACAAGTTTGATTATAAAAAAAGACTTCGACAACAAAGAGCAATCTAAATTTAAAAAAGAAGGAAACAGACTAGGAAAAATCCTTTAAACATTTCTGGTAAAAGTCTGACATCTGAAATCTGCAAGGATCATAGATTTTTAAGCAAGAAGAGACAAAGTCATCTAGTCCAATACCCTCCTTTTACAGATAAAAAAACTCAGATCCAGAGAAGAAATAAGTTTATGAGAGTATCAATTAAAGGGAAGGAATGGTCAGTTTGAGGGTGAGGGAAAATAACATATAGTCAACCACCTGAAAAATTCTTCAGATGCTCAAATAACCAGGTAAATGAGAATTAAAATTTCTTTGGAATATAATCTTAAACCCATCACATTGTCAATAGCAATTTAAAATAGTAAAATCCAATGCTTCAGGGAATTTGAAGAAACTGGCAGACTATTGCACTGCTGGTGGAGCTGTGAATTGGTGTAACCATTTTGAAAAGTATTATATATGCTGAAGAACTCCAAGAACATGCCACATGAGGATTTGTTGAAGAAACCAGGTACGTATAGCATGGAGAAGAAGAAAATGGTATATTAGCTAGCCTCAAGTATTTGAAGGACTATTATCTAGAAAAGGGATTAGACTTGTGCTGTTTGGCCCCAAAGGGCAGAATTAGAAGCAATGGGTAGAAGCTTCAAAAACATCAATTTAGGCTTGATGTAAGAACAAAACTTATTAAAGATGAAAGCTATCCAAGAGTAGATGGACCACCTCAAGAAGTAGTTATAGTTTCTCCTTGTATATTTTCAAGCAGAAGCTCGAAAAGCACTACAGTATACCATGTAAAGAGGATACTTAATTCAGATATGGATTCAAATAGATTACCAAAGAGGTCCTTCCTAAATCTGAAATACCATGATTCTATATGGCACGATACAATAAAGGCTTTAAAATTGTTCATCTTCTTTTACTCAGGGATACCATTATGAAGATTGGAAGGATATTGATGAGGCCTAGCTTTATATAGGTATTAATAGCATTAGTGGTAACAAGTAGACCGTAAAAAGAGGCACTCTTAGGCTTGATAGAAGGAAAACTTTTCTAAAGATTAGAGGTGTCAAAAAATGGGAGACTCCCTCAAAATTTCAGAGTTGGAAAATTCTCCCTCTAGGTTTTCAAGCAAGGGCTAGATGCCCACTTGCCAGGGATGTTGGAGAAGGGATTTTTGGTCAGGTAGGGATTTGGATTCAATATCTGGGGTTCCTTCCAAATCTCAGATTCTCTGGGGGGGAAAAAAAAAGTAGGGTATGCCTAACAGCTGGGAAATTATTTTCTAACAAATTGTGGTATATGAATGTAATTGAATGTTATTGTACCATTATAAGTGCTAAATATGTAGACAGATATATAGGGGAAAACATGTGAAGTGATGCAGAGTGAAGAAAATAGAACCAAACAACAATATGCTGACTAGCTATGTAAATAATGACACTGGTAACAATTGTTCTAGTGCAAGTTCATGCTCTGCTAGTTCTTGGTCATCCCAGCCATCCACCTGATATACCAGTATTCCCAAGCTGTGGAACACTGCTGGAGGAAGTCACAACTCTGTTGCCAACTGGCTCCTAGGAAAATTGATATTACCTTATTTCCCATTGGGCCCTTGTTCTGTTGTTTTAGTCGTGTCTGACTCTTTGTGATCCCATTTGGGGTTTTGGCAAAGATACTAGAGTGGTCTGCTATTTCCTTCTCCACTCATGTTACAGATGAAGAAACTAAGGCAAACAGGGTTACCCAGCTAGTAAATGTCTGAGGCCAGATTTGAACTCAGGTCTTACTCAAAGCCCAGAACTCTATCCACTGCACCACCTAGCTGCCCCTCTGGCCCTGTTGCTACTCAGCAAACCTTTTACCTTTCCTTGCCTCCCCTTCCCACTTTTCCTTAATGGCTGTTCCAAACCTTTTCTAATGACCCCAACAACTCTAATTGCTCTCTGAGTATATATATTCTTGTCTTCTATTTTACAGAAAAAATAGAAGCCATCCACCCTAAGCTCCCACTTTCCCTCCTACTTGGTACCTCAGAGCATTTTCATTCCTCACCCTCCTTCTCTGAGGAAGAGTCCCTTTGCAAAGTCCAGTCTCTCTCTGTACCCTTAATCCTATCCCTTTCTGTCTCATTCAGCGGCTTGCCCTCAAGTTAACATCCTTTCTTTCCCTTCACTGACTACCAAACTTCTTGAAAGGTTATGTATTCTAGCTTTCTCCCTTCCCCACCACCCACTTCTCAGTACCTTGCATTAGACTGTAGATATTTATTAGGGGCCTGCTGTGTGCCAGGGACTGTGCTAAGCACTGGGGGGATGGGAGGTTCAAAGAAAGGCAAAAAACAGTACCTACCCTCTAGGAGTTCACAATCTAATGGGAGAAGAGAAAGAACACAAAACGAAGCTCTGAAAAGGGGGTAAGGAGAAAGGAGTACAGCAGTGTGGGAAATGAAGACATGGTTGTCCTGTGACACCCTCCTTGAATGGAAGTTCTGGGAAAAGCTTTCCACTGCCTGCCTTTCACCCTCTCCCATCAGATGGAGGGTAGCGCCCCAGGGGCAGGGGTTACTGATTAGGTAAATTTCAAGGTTTACGTGATCTTGAAGAATAATGAGGTTCTGGGGAGTATGATGTAGTCCAGAGGAGTGTAGTTTGGTTTATTTTTTTCCACCACTTGATTTAAACTGCCATCTCCTAAGTTATCAATGCTCAATTAACTGCTAAATCTTTATCATTCTTGAGTTTTTAGCAGCTTTTAATACAGTTGACCACACCCCTTCTAGACACACTCTCTTTCCTTGGCTTCCATGACACCATTCTCTTACCTGAATTTCTTTTGCTGGATCATCCATTTCCTGATTCCTGGGTACAAAGTGATTTGGAGAGCTCTACTGTTGTTCTCTTTAGTCTCTTGGAGAGCTAATTAACTCCCATGGATTCAAGTCTCATCCTTACATGAACTTTCTGATATTGCAACTACTCAGGAGCCTGCTGGATAGCTCCTTTTGGATGACCCATAAGCATCTCAAACTCTATCCCCTGTCCTTCCCCACCCTCCACCAATCCTCTAAACTTTGATATTTCTCATGAAGATACCACTCTCGTTCCAAGTAATCCAAGTTCCTAGCCTTGGAATCATACTTGACCCATTAGAATGTCTCTTGAGAGAGGGTACTATTTTGCTTTTTGTTTTGTATCCTCAGCACTTAGCACTGTGCCTAAGTGCTTATTAAATGCTTGCTTGCTTTCTCACTCCCTACATCCAATCAGTTACTAAGTCTTATCAGTTCTACTTCCACTACATTTTGCACATCAGCCCCCTTCTGTGTACTCACATAGCCACTACCATAACCTAATCCCCCATCACCTTTGTCCTGTTCTAGTGGAATAACTAGCTTTCTCTGATCTCCTGTATCACCAGTTTCTCCCCTTTCTAATCCATCCTCCATAAGGCTGCCAAAATAATCTTTCTAAGACACAGATACAACCATGTCACTACTTGGCTGAAAAACTTTCAGTGGCTTCCCTGTTGCCTCAAGGATAATATATCTCTTAACATGGAATGTAAGAGGGGCAGCTAGGTGGCGCAGTGGATAGAACACCAGCCCTGAAGTCAGGAGGACCTGAGTTCAAATTTGCCCTCAGACCAAACACTTAACACTTACTAGCTGTATGACCCTGGGCAAGTCACTTAACCCCAATTGCCTAAAAAAAAAAACCTATGTAAGGTCCTCCACAACATGGCTCCTACCCACCCTTTCAGCATCATCTAACAGTGCTCCCTATTACAAATGCTATGTTCCAGCCAGAGAACACTACATTTGTCCTCTCTCTGCTTCCCCACAAATATTCATGTTTGGAATGTACTCTTTGGTCTACTTTTCAGAATCCTTTTTTTCTTTCAAAGCTCAGCTCAGGTGCCACCCACTACAGGATGACTTTCCTGATTCCCTCAGTTGTTCTTCTGTCCTGATTTTCCTTCATATCTGCATCAGTGTTGTATACACACACATACACGGAAAAGAATGTATATTTTTTATAGCCAGAAATTATGTCAATTGTCTATGTGCTTTGCACATAGCAGGTACTTGGTAAACATATCATTAAATCTAGAAAAGTACAAAAAAAGAGAAAATGAAGTTCATAAGGGGAATGGAAACAATGTTATTTTTTACCTTCTGAAAATTAGTGTATCCTTTTAAAATATAAAACATACTGGAAATAATTAAAATTTCTACTTTCATGTTCAATCTCTTTTTAAAAATTATCCTTATTTTAATTTGTTTCTTGTACAATGCTTATAAAATTTTAATCCAGACACTCAAAAGTAATCTCAAAAGTCCCTTTAATCATATAAGATATACTTCCTCTATGTGTTCATAAGGATGTCAGTCCTACATCATACGATGACAATTTAGTACCCTAGGTCCATAAAAGAGAAGGCATAAGCACTTTAAATACCAGAGGCACCAAAAATGGAGGGTAAAGTTAAGGCCACAGGATTATACATACATTTAGAAAGACATAGCACTTAGTTGTCCTAACAGCCTTTCTATCATCTGTGATAGAGGAAACACATTTAGGATTTAACACCTCAATCCTTAATGTATTAAATGAGGAACCTGAAATGGCATTTTAAAAGCCACAAAATTGGAAAGAGCAGCTGGACCAGACCAAGTATACAAAGACGAAGTCCACTCCAGAGGCCTCTCCACAATTGTGGCCTCCACAATTTTAAAGTCCTCAAGAGGAGCAGTGTGACATGGCACAGAGCTAGATTTAGAATTTAAAAGCTTGGGTTCAAATCTCACTTCTTATACTTAATAAGTACATGGCTATGGACAAATCACTTTACCTGAGATTCATTTTACTCATCTATAAAATGGGGATGATACCTATGTCATACCTTTCTCAGAGGGTTAAGCAGGGCTCAAATAAAATCAGATATATAAAGTGTTTCTACAGACCATAAAGAGCTATATAAATATCAGCTACTATTACTGAAGAATCACCTTCTAAATAGGGAGCAAAAGAGTGGAAAAAAATCACTTAATATTTTTTAACAAAAAAGATCATCAAGAAGATAGTTATAACTACCAAACCATATGCCTTTCTCATCTCTATAAAATTTTAAGATGATCTATACATATATTGAAGGTATCCCTGATGATAATTTGAAAAAGGAATGTGTAGGCTTTTACAGTTTTCTACAACTGACCACATCTTTGTGGTTAGAACAAACTGTAAAACATATTCTGCTATTTATTGCTTGTTGATTACAAAAAATCATTTGACTTGGTAAAACATAATGCCACATTAAAGTCTTACCTAAAACAAGGTGTCTCATACATGTTACAATCATACAAGAATTAATAAAAGCAACCACAGAAATAACTCGGTTCAGTGATCCTCAGATTATTGCCTAAGCATTAAACAGTGATATGTATGGGCTCCAGTGTCATGAAGGACGTCTTATGTAGAATTTAAATTAAAAAGCAGCATAAGCTTACAGATTAACAGTGGAAAAAGGACCTTGAATGTCACCTCATCCAACCCCTTGGTTACACAGATGAAGAAACTCAGTCACAAAGAGGGTAAGTCATTCCCCCAAGTTCAACTTCCCATAGATAGTGAAGTCTCAAGATGCTTATGTTTGTGGATGGAATGTACCAAGCCCCAAAATATTGAAGGACCTGCTCAATGAGATCCATGAACTCAAAAGATTGGACTAATGATCCACACAGGAAAAACTGCACGAAAAATGCTGATTATCCAGCCTATGTCATACAGTGGGAAAGCCAGTATATTGGATTAGTATATTACTTCATATATCTGGGATAGGCACTATACCTGAAACAGAAAAGAAGGTACATGAAAGCAGTGCTAATAAATCAACAAAACAACCCAAGTGTTGCACTGGTACCCAGAGAATATTTAATAAGAAAAAACCTAGGGGAAAGTCTTTGGCACGCTGAGTAGATCTCTTTAAAAGCTATGAGAAAACAAGGACCATAATTACACAAGATGAGAAAGGGTGGATGAATTGTGGTCGGCAATAATGGAGGGAATAAACACATCAATAAGATCACAGATCCACTGAAGTGTAAGCACTGAAGTAAACATTTTGTAAGATGTGGATTCAATACTTTTTTGTCATACTGCTAATGCATTTTCCCTTACAAATGTAATTGCCTGGCACTGTGCTAAGCACTTTACAAATAATACTGCATTTGATCTTCACAACAATCTTGAGAGTTAGGTGCTATGATACCCATTTTACAGTTGAGGAAACTAAGGAAGAGGTTAAGTGATTTGCCCAGAGACACACAGCTATTATGTGTCTGAGGTCATATTCAAACTCAGATCCTCCTGACTCCAGGCTCAGTGCCACCTAGCTGCCATTATTCATTGAATAATTAATTCTTTCTCCACTGTTTTGTGGGCTTCCATTTATCAAACATTAGTCTGTTATGCGTCTTTGGTTATCACTCTGAATTATCTAGGCAAATAGATGTTAACAAATTGACTTGGATCCAAGACAAGAAGTTATGGTTTTTGTCAGTACATATGTGCACCTACATTTATATTAAATATATGTATACCAATTCCCCATCAGGAATCTATGAATTTGTCAGTGTGGGTAATCTCTCTACCAATGCAGATCACAACTCCTTTACACACCTTAGTGGACAGTCTTCATAAGAAGCTTTGGTCTCATTGCTCTGTGAATGACAATTTCATTGTTCTGTGAAATGACAGCATCAGAACCATAGTAGTTGTTTTCCAGTTTGGTATAAAATCTTCCAGACCTCTGCTGGCATAACCTTTAGGAACCCAGTGCAACTCCACTCAACAAGGAGGCAGTACAGAAAGATTAGGTGGAGAATGCTTTCTTCTTATTTGGTCTTTAGTTCCTTTGATTTGTCCTGATTATTTTGATCTGCAGCTTGAACTTTGTCTTCAGAATTTCAGACATTTTATTATACAATTTTCTGTCATATAATTGTCAAATTCTTTCCTCCTTCAGTTTTCAGGGAACCCAAAAGCTATCTCTCTCTCTCTGCTCTGTCTTCCAGATCTGGAATATCTGTTTGCATAGCTTCCAGATATTTTTTGAGTTGGGTACTTTTATGGGTTTGTTTTTCTATTCCATCATTTTGTCCTCCAGCATAACTATTCTGTTTCCCAGAGAATCCATTGTTTTAAATACATTCTCCATGGAATTATCCAGGCTGTTGAGTTTCATCACCTTCTCCTCATTGCTCCTTAGCTTCATGATATTTTGATAATTTCATTACATCTTTTATTTTCTTTAGAGTGCTTAGTGTGATGTCGTGCAATAATTTCAATTTTGCTTCTGTGGCTGCTTTTGGACCATAATATTTTCCTTCTACCTTTTTTGGCACCAGCTTCTTTAAAGAGAGACATGCTAGCAACAGCTGGGCAGCAATATATTTCTACACAAGAGAAGTGGCATAAAGAAATTATTCAGGAAATGTATAACTGGGGGGGGGGAAGTGGACTAGAACAATGCTAATAAATCAACAAAAAATAAATAGTATTTGTTTATCACATTAGAACTTTTGTTTGCCCATTTCATTGTATTCCTTTTCTGAAAACAATTTCTTGTAAGTATTTCTGGTAGCCCTGCTTCTTCTCCTTTTGGTGTCTATGACGCTATTGTTGAGGCAGAGATTGAGAAAATATGCTTTTTTACAACCTCTCCCCCCAATTTCCTATAAGTTCTCCCTTCAAGTATCTGTGAACCCAAGGGTTGGAGCCTAACAGGGGCTTGGGCCTGCCAGCTTTAGGGAAGGTGGGGTTCTCAAGAGATACATTTTGTATTTTAGGTACCTGAGGCCAGGTTTATTATAGAGGCTCACAATAGAGATCAATTGCCCAAAAAGGCTGGTGGCAAAGGGATAGAAATTGAATAAACATAAGAAGCACCATCAGTTTTGAAAACTTTAATGTGAGAACAATTTAGAGTACTTTGGAGTGTCCTGTCTTACCTCTTGATCTGAAGTTTTAAAAAGTGACTGATATTAAAAGTATGACTCAAGTTTCTCCTGTTTAATTATATCCATAGACTTACTCTCTGGTATAACATCGATAATGCTAACAAATGACTTGCTACTGAACATTTATCCACACCAGCTATATAATTAAAATTTCTCTCTAATATGAATTATCTCATGTATAACATGGGATGGTTAGAGGATTTACCACATATTTATAGGGACTAACCAGTATGAATTCCTTGGTGTCAAGTAAGAGAAGAGGCCATAAAGAAGGCTTTCCCACATCTATCACATTTGTAGGGCTTCTCACCAGTATGCATTCTCTCATGTACAGTAAGGGATGAATGTTTAAGGAAGGTTTTTCCACAGTTATTACATTTATAGGGCTTCTCTCCAGTATGAATTCTTTGATGTCGAATAAGAGATGAGCAGTCAAAGAAGGTTTTCCCACATTCGTTGCATTTATGGGGACTTTCTCCTGTATGAGTTAGCTGATGTCTCCAAAAGCTACTTCTATGGCCAAAAGCTTTTCCACATTTATTACACTTATAGGGCTTCTCTCCAGTATAAGTCCTCTGATGTTGAGTAAGAGTTGAACAGTCAAGGAAGGCTTTCCCACATTTATCACATTCATAGGGCCTCAGTGTAGTATTAATTCTCTGGTGTCAATTAATGGATTTTCGATTAAAAAAAAAGGTTTTCCCACATTCATTACATGCATAGGGACTTTCTCCTCTGTGAATCATTTGATGTACTATAAAGCTACTTTTGGAGTTGAAGGCTTTCCCACATTTGCCACATTCATAGGGCTTCTCTCCTGTATGAATCCTCTCAAGTTCATTAAAGGATGAATGTTTTAAAGTAAGTTTTTCCACATTCATTATATTCACAATGATTCTTGCCTTTATGAGCTTCCTGATATTGAGTAAGAGATGAGAAATCAAAGAAGCCTTCCTCATATGCAACATATTCGTAGGACTTCTCTTCATAATGTATATTCTGATGTTGTTTAAGAGCTGAGCAAAGAAGGTTTTGCTACATTCATTACATTCATAATGATTCTCTCCAGTATGAATTTTCTGATGTTGAATAAGGGATGAATGTTTCAAGAAACTTTTCTACCATGATTACATTCACAGGGCTTTTTTTCCAGTATGTGTTAGCTGATGTAGAGTAACGGTACCTTTTTGTCTGAAGGCTTTTCCACATTCTTTGCATTCATAAGGGCTCTCACCAGTATGAATTCTTTGATGTAGATGAAGAGATGAGCAATTAATGAAGGCTTTCCCACACTCCCCACATTTGTAGGGACTTTCTCCTGTGTGAATAATCTGATGTCTCAAAAAGCTACTTCGATGGCTAAAAGTTTTCCCACATTCATTACATTCATAGGGCTTCTCTCCAGTATGTGTCAGCAGATGCAAATTAAGTGTACCTTTCTGTCGGAAAGCTTTCCCACATTCATTACATTTATAGGGACTTTCCCCAGTATGAATTCTCTGATGCCGACTGAGGGATGAACAATTAACAAAGGCTTTACCACATTCATCACATTCATAGGGCTTCTCTCCAGTATGAATTCGCTCATGTTCAGTAAGAGATGAATGTGTAGAAAAGACTTTTTTACATTCATTACATTCATAATGTTTCTCTCCTTTGTGAGATCTCTGATGTTGAGTAATAGATGAGCAATCAAAGAAGACTTTTCCACATTTATTACATTCATAAGGGTTCCTCTCATTATGAACTCTCTGATGGAGACTAAGAGATGAGAAATTAATGAAGGCTTTCCCACACTCCCCACATTTGTAGGGACTTTCTCCTGTGTGAGTAATCTGATGTCTCAAAAAGCTACTTCTAAGACTAAAAGTTTTCCCACATTCATTACACTCATGAGGCTTCTCTCCAGTATGTGTCAGCAGATGCAAATTAAGTGTACCTTTCTGTCGGAAAGCTTTCCCACATTCATTACATTTATAGGGACTTTCCCCAGTATGAATTCTCTGATGCCGACTGAGGGATGAACAATTAACAAAGGCTTTACCACATTCATCACATTCATAGGGCTTCTCTCCAGTATGAATTCGCTCATGTTCAGTAAGAGATGAATGTGTAGAAAAGACTTTTTTACATTCATTACATTCATAATATTTCTCTCCTTTGTGAGATCTCTGATGTTGAGTAATAGATGAGCGATCAAAGAAGACTTTTCCACATTCATTACATTCATAAGGGTTCCTCTCATTATGAACTCTCTGATGGAGACTAAGAGATGAGAAATTAATGAAGGCTTTCCTACATTCCCCACATTTATAGGGACTTTCTCCTGTGTGAGTAAACTGATGTCTCAGAAAGCTACTTTTAAGACTAAAAGTTTTCCCACATGCTTTACATTCATAAGGTTTCTCTCCTGTATGTGTTAGCTGATGTAGAATAAGTGTGCCTTTTTGTCGAAAGGCCTTCCCACATTCATCACATTTATAGGGCTTCTCTCCAGCATGAATTCTCTCATGTTCAATTAGGGATGAATGTTTAGAGAAGGCTTTTCCACATTCATTACATTTATAGTGCTTTTCTCCATTATGAGTTCTTTGATGTCGAGTAAGAGATGGGTGGTCAAAAAAATTTTCCCCACATTCTTTACATTCATGACTTCTCTCTTTGGTGGGATTTTCCGGAAAGTTGACTGATAATTGTTTGAAATTAATCTCATGGAAAAGGAATTTATTCCAACTCTCCTCTTTAAAATTTTCTTTCTGCCTCTCCAATATGCCCTCAGGTATACAAACTCTTGCAAATGCAGTATCTAGATGATTCTCTCTGAGCCTTTCCATAAATGTCCCAAAAGATTCTTTTTCAGAAACTTTCTTCTTTGGAGCTGACACTTGGTTTTAGGCCTACTCTCGCAATCTGAAACCAGAGAAAAAATAAATGCTGTGTATTCTCTGTTAGATAAGGAAAAAAATGTTATGGGGGGGAAGGGGTGATATAATACAATGAAACAAAATAATGTCCACAAGATGTGTATATGTGTACACAAACCCACCCTTTTCACCTCTCAAAAATAAACTTATAATCTGGAGGAAAGCTAACAAGTGGGGAAAAAAGAAGTAAGTAGATGACAGAAATAGAAGGAGAGTTGTTAGGTCACTAAGGAAAGTGAGCAGAAAACAAGGATTACCAGGGTTTTATACAAAGTAGAGAAGAATATGATAGTAGGAATAGCAAAGTATAAATAAAGAAATGGGATAGGATCTAGGAAAATGATATTTCAGTGAGGAAAGAAGCAGTGGAGGAGAGGTGTTCCTAGAAAGAAGAGAAGATGGTAATGGTTAAATGTGTAGTAGCTAGATATAGACAGATATGTAGATATGTATATATACATATATGTGTGAGTATTTATATCCATTTATATCCCTTCCCACATATTTAACCTTTACCACTTTCTCATTCTTTCCAGAGCTCCACCTTCTTTATTTACTGAAAGATCATTTTGTGTATATGTGTGCATATGTATGCATATGTGCACATGTGTATATGAAAAGGAAACAGGAGGAATCAGAATTGAAGGAAAGGTGGCATACTCTTCCTACTATCCCCCACCAACAAAGGAATTAGAGAGAGAGAGCTTTCCTGCTTGCGTCCATGGGTCTTGAGTGCTGAGGAGAACTTCCTCTCACTAAACTGTTGTTACATCCAATATATCTCATATGTTGGTTCTTATTTACCTAAAGAGTTTTTTGGCATGTCTTCTTCTTCAGATCTCTGTAGGTTAAATATCCAAGGGTCTTTCCCTTGCTCCAGTTTGAAGATCACATCAGGTTTAGAAATGGAAAATCCTGTTTATGGAAAAGGATATGAAACACAGTAGTCTCTGCAGGGGACACAAATGTCCCAGAAGTTAGTCCCTAATGCTCTGACATGAACCCACCCTCATATACTGTGATTAGCATTTTCTCAGTTGCCAATCTTTTCAGTAATACTTAAGCTATGGGTTTATCTGTGCCTCCTAGGAATACTTTTTCCCTTGCAGAGATCATAAGGGGCTTAGAATTTTGCTATTAAGACTGAGCTCTTTTCATCAAAACTTCCAGAAAACTGATCTTGATACATTAAGGACACTCAGAAAACTGTACTTCTTCTTCATACACTCTGACCTGAACAGAATCTACAGTGGGATGACACTGCCCAGTGACACTGACAAATGGAATTACTCTTTCCTGTTTCCTTGGATCCAGATTCATTCTCTGGGAAATTCAATAGCTACTGAATAGCTAGGAATGGCATGTACCCAACAAGCTGTAGTAATAATGTATTTAACTGATGTCTTGCCAATCTACTCAAACTGAAAGGGAAGGGTGAGAGAGAAAAATGCTTATGTATACTTATCAAACCATAAAATACCTATAACCAAGGGAAAAAACAGAAGGAAAGATGTCCAGAAATTTACTGGAGACAAAATCCAAAAAAAGAGCAAGCAATAAAATCCAAAGCCCCTTAGATGTCTATACAAACATGCATAAAATATGGATAGCAAGATGAATAGAGAACCTAACCCAAGGGTTCTTAATCTTTCTTGTATTACGGACCCCTTTGGCAGTCTGGTGAAGTCTGTGGATAGCTTTTCAGAATAATGTTTTTAAATGTACAAAATAAAACACATAGGATTACAAAGGAAACCAGTTATATTACAGTGAAGATGTAAATAGACCCCCTGATATTTGTCCATGGATGCCTTGTGATTCTGTGTAGACCAGGTAAAAAACTCCTGAACTGACACAAGGAGGCTCAATTGACCTCATAAATAACTAATATTTGGAAGAACAGGAGCCAGCCATGACTGCATTATCTAGAAGGGTATATCTTCTTCAAAAAAAGATAGTTTAAAAAGGGAGAGTGCCTGACTTGGAACGATAACCTGGTATTTTTAAGTCTAAAATATGAATGAAATGAAATACTCAAGTAAGTCATTCAACAGTTAACTAAAAGAAATTTATTTAGCTATAGCAGGGAAAAGATATTCAACAAGGACATGCATCAAAGACTCCATGACTTGATTTAGCTTATCAAAACTCCCCTGCCTCTTAATTGCCCATGGTGGTCCACCAGCCAAGCAACAGAGAGCACTTGGTTCTTCTTGTGGCTGTTTTGTGCTCAGGCAACCAGAAAATGTCAACAGCCTAAGTAGAGAATGTTTTTAATACCTTTTAAGGAAAAAACTAGCTTAACTTTCATGGATACAGGTGGTTAGGATATTACTCCCACCCCAAGGGGTATAGCAGTATTGTGTATTAAAAAGAGACATTCATATGAGGAAATCCAGGAATTAGAGGTATAAAGCATAGTTAAAAGAAATTCAAAAAGTTCAACAGAAGTAAAAACAGAAGCAAAATTGTCATCAGGATATCCTACAGATTACCTAGACCAAAAGTGGAAATAAATGAATTCAGGGAACAGGGAACAAGCTTATAACTGAGGCATAACACATAATATAGTAGTGACAGAGCATTTCAATTATCGAATGTCTGCTGCAGTGTCTAGCAAAAACAGCAGCTAACAACTTCTTGACTTGACTTGATAACTTCATGTTTCAAATGGGAGAAGGACTAACAAGGGAAACATCTATTCTACATCCTTTTCTCAACAATAAGGAGGAACTGGAGGCTGGAATGGAAATGATAGGAACGTTGGGAGAAGTGACCATTCCGTATCAGAATTTCTGTTAGCGGGGCAGCTAGGTGGTGCAGTGGATAGAGCACCAGCCTTGCAGTCAGGAGGACCTGAGTGCGAATGCGGCTTCAGATACTTGATACTTACTAGCTATGTGACTCTGGGCAAGTCATTTAACCCCAACTGCCTCACCATTAAAAAAAAAAATTTCTGATAGAGAAAGAAAGCCAGTCAGAGTGTGACATATACCTAGATTTGGGGAAAACAGATTTCAAAGTGTTCACAGAAAGGAAAGGTAGGCTCCTAAAATTCTATACAGGAAGTCAGCTCAGGAAGCTTTCAAGAATGAAATTTTAAAGACATAAAGAAAAACAATTCTGATAAGGAAAAAGGGGAATGTTTAAAGAGATCAATATGAAGGCATGGAGAATTAATTACTTACTTAGATTTCTGAAAATACACTACAGAAGAAGACATCCGGTAACAAAAGGATGAATAAGAAAGATGAAGACTGTCAGAATGAGCTAAGGCTGGCAAGGAAAGCTAAAGATAACAAAATTATGTTTTTAAAACTATACTGAGGAAGAGAAGATCAAAAGAGAATAGGACCACTGTTTGGGAAAAGACAGGATGATGATAATGAATGATGAAGAGAAGGCAGAGATGCTCAACTTTCTTTTTCTTTTTTGCTTCTGTATTCTCTGACAAGGAGAAATATCTTTGGGCTGAAAATAATAGAACAAAAATCACTAATAGAAAGGTGAAGTTGATTCCCAGGATAAGAAGGGCTGTATTAGGAAAATACCTAGGGGGCAGCTAGGTGGCACAATGGATAGAGCACTGGTTCTAGAGTCAAGAGAACCCGAGTTCAAATCCAGTCTCAGGCACTTGACACTTACTAGCAAGTCACTTAACCCTGATTGCCTCCCTAAAAAGCAAGGAAGGAAGGAAGGAAGGAAGGAAGGAAGGAAGGAAGGAAGGAAGGAAGGAAGGAAGGAAGGAAGGAAGGAAGGAAGGAAGGAAGGAAGAAAATAAAAGACCTAGCTATCCTTGGTGACTTCAAATCGTTGGACCCAGACCAATTACATCCTAGGGTACTGAAAAAACTGGTAAATGGGACTGCTGAGACACTCACTGATTTTTGAAATATCACATAGAAAGGAATGAATGCCACAGGATTTCCAAAAAAGCCAAGATTGGAGTACACAAACTATAGGCCAGTGAACTTAATTTTTACTGTTGGAAAAATTCTAGACAGAATTATAAAAACAAGTTAGTGAACATTCAGAAAATATACAGTACAACTTCATTAAAACTAGGTCCTGCCAGACTAACTTCACTTATTTTTTGATAGGATTACTATATTGCTAGATAGGAGAATATTGTAGATATAGTTTACCTAAACTTTAATAAAATATTTGATAAAATCTTATTGTATACTTATGGACAAGATAAAGAGATGTGGATAACCTTGTCTCATTTTATGTAAAAGATAGTAGAGTTAGGATGATTCAAAATTGGCTAAATAGCCAAACCCAAAGGATTTGATATCATCTTGGAAGGTTGTCTCTAGTGGAGTATCCTAAGGATCTGTATTTGGACCCAGACTATTTAATATTTTTCTCAATGACCTGGAGATAGGCACAAATGGTATGTTTATCAAATTTTTTAGTAACACAAAGTTAGTAAGAATAACTAACTCATTGTTTAACAAGATCCAAAACATTTTGATAAGCTGAACGTTAGGTTGCATCTAAGAAGATGAAATTTAATTAGAGTCAATGTAAACTCTTACATGTGGATTCAAAAAATTAATTTCACAAGTACAAGCTGGTAAAGTATGGTTAGACTGTGGTTTGTATGAAAAAAATCTGTGGTTTTAGTGTACTACAATCTCAATACTGAATCAATAGTATGATTGATAAAGCAGACAAAAAAATAATGTGACCTTAGGAAAGGATGGTGTCTTTTTATTTCTGTTACAAGGGATGGCTCTCTGGGTTGGAGGGAGTTATGTATTAGGAAATGCAAGTGATATAAAACCAAAATATGTCAATAATTTTTTTAAAAGGCAGTGTCCAAGCCATATCAATTCCATTATTTATATACTAGTATTCTGCAGCAGTTACTGTGTTTATGTCCTGTGGCTACAAAGACAAAAATAGAACAAAACTTTACCCACAAGAATTTTATACTTTATTGCACTGGGCAGGTTTTAATCCTGCTGTCCTCTATTCTGGTCAAACCACATTTGAAGAATTGTGTTCAGTTCTGGGCACCACATTTTAGGAAGGACATTGATAAGCTGAAGTGCATCCAGAAGAGAGTGACCAGGATGGTGATGGGCTTTGAGATCATGCCATATCGGGACCAAGTGAAGGAACTAAGGATATTAAACTTAAAGAAGAGAAGACTTACAGAGGGCTATGATCAGTCTTCAAGTAATTGAAGGGCTGTAATGTGGAAAAGGGATTAGATTTGTTGTGTTTGGCACCAGAAGGCAAAACTGGGAGTAATGGGTAGAAACTGTCAAGAAGCATATTTAGGCTTGATGTGAGGAAGAACTCCCAAACAATTATAATTACCTTATGACTCTCTCTGATATCTCTCTCTTGCCTTCAGTTACCACTTCTAAATTCATGGCCTCTATCTTGCAGCTTTTCTTTTCCTATTCTTATTCTTGATGAATTCAGACCTGTTAAAGTTCTTATCCTCTCTAGGACCCCACCCTTCACCTGGTCGCAGAGCAAACAGTAAGACCTCATGCTCACCTTCACAGTTACACAGCCATCACTGTTGTTTCAAAGCAGTTTCTACAGGTATCTGTTACATGACTATCCTTAAGACACAAAATCACAGTGAAACATAAATAAATCCAATCCCAGCTCTGCATTCACTACTATTTAGAAAAGAGGAGAGTTTTCTTAATTTAAGATAGATTCTGAATCACAGAGAGAAGCCATCCTTACCCAATGAGATGAGGTTTCTATAGTTCTCCAGCATCACATCCTTGTACAGGTTCCTCTGAGCAGGGCTCAGTTGCCCCCACTCCTCCTGGGTGAAGTTTATAGCAATGTCTTTGAATGTCACTGACTCCTGAAACAAACACATTCTTGCTCACCCATAAAACTCTTCCAACCTAATGGGAAAGTGTGAAAATAAGAGCATTTAGAGGGACTGATGTGATAGATAGAGTGGTTTTAATGACTTTAAGCCATCTGAGTACTATAGAATGTGAAAGGAGGTGCAAGGTGACCTATCAAAGAAAGGTCTCTTAGTCCCACATTACCATGTCTATAGAATAGGAACCCACTGAGGAAAAACACAAGAGTAAAAGGTATTTCTCATGATGACCTGAATCTACCAGGATGGGCCCGGTTTCTTACTGATGAAGAAATGGATTTCTGGAGGGGAAACAGCTAAGCAGAGAAATTCAGGTTCCATGATAAGGAAAAGAATGTTCTGGCAAGTGAGAAGACGTCTCAAGGAAGAATGAGGAAGGTCAATTCACCTGGCACTTGGCTGTCAGGAAATCGGTGGCCATTGCTTCCAAATTTGCACAACCCACTTAGAGAAGAGGCTGCATCTCAAGAGCATAGGCTGGGGAAGGAGAAAGGCAATATGAGGGAAAAAAGCAATGTCTTGGAGCTCCCACAGCAACCAGGTTAAAAGTCTCTAAACCCCATCTTTAATCCCCTTCAAAGAGGAAGTCAGAAGGAACATGGACAAAGCAGTTCCTCTCTTTCCAAAGACCAGAGGAGAGGACCTCAGGCATTGCTCCCCAGGATCTTCACTCTGTCTCTGCTTTAAGCATACCGCAAAAAACAAAAGACTGTTTCTGAGTCAGGAAACCTGGTTTGAATAAACAATTCAACCACATTTGTGACTTGGAACATAGTGTTCTCTCTGTTCTTCCTTATTTGCTTTGTCCTCTAATGAAGCCACCTCATATAATAGACAATGTCTCTTATCTCCATGTCACTACTTCTATATTACAGATCCCCACTAAGAGAGAACATCAGAGTAGGAAATATTAATTTCAATGTTTATATATGTATTATGTGAGGTAGGGAAGAAGTAGTTTTAAGACAGTGTCAAACCCTTGGCAACTGGCCCCAAGCAGCCCCCAAAACTCCGCAGTGAAGCCCAAATCAGATTAAAATGTAATGGGGAAATGTTTAAGAAAATAAACGAAAATACAACATAGATGCTGATTTGTGATTTTCTAAGTCAATATGTGGCTTGCAGGAATCTCCTTCTATTGGAGTTTGATACCACTGGTTTTTTAAAAAGACAATGCTAAAAAACTCCCATTATAGACAGTAGGGGAAATTGTGCAACGACTTGCATAGAGGATGCCATGTTCATATTTCTGTCCCAGTCTGAAGACAATATCTGTATTCCAAGTACATATTGGTTTACCTCCCAGAGGATAATAATAATAATACTAATTGGCAGTAGCACTAGTATTATATAGCACCTACTATGTGCCAGGCACCGTGCTAAACCCTTTACAATTATTACCTCATTTGATCCTCGTAATCACCCTGGTAAAATAGGTGCTATTATGATCCCCACTTTACAGATGAGGAAACTGAGGCAGACAGAGGTTAAAGGACTTGTCCAGGGTCACCCAGACTGCATTTGAACTCTCATGAATCTTCCTGACTCCAGGCCAGTACTCTCCATAGCGCCCTCTAGACAAAGGTGAAAAGACTAAATGAGTGCCTCACTACAATCCAGGTTTTCAGGGAGGATGAAAGGTTTCTGAAGGAATATAAAAGCAAGATTTCTGTTGAGGAAGAAAAAGGGAGGAGGAGTTCTAAGGTACCAGGAGGAAGAGTTTATCTTTGTCAGGGTAATGGAAAATGGAAGAGTGCTGCAAAGAGATCAAAGTGAAAGGGAAACGGCATTTGTCAATTACAACTTACAAACAGGTTCTGCTGAAGAAGAGAGAGCTCTGTGGAAGACACTGCTTGTTCTTCTAGGAATAATATAGTGGAGTCATGGCAGCTATCAAATGGGAGATTATCCTGTAAGAGAAAAAGGAAGCAATGTGGTAATAGTTGATAATACCCTAATCGGAGGTACTGGGGCAGCTTTTGGTCATCTTGATAACAAGAGTGATGTCTATGGTCTTCCTGGGACATATATCAAGATAGAACAGAGAATCTCCCAAGACTTATCAAGACAGAAGACAACTACCCATTTCTTGTGTTAAAAATGATTTCTCTAGGTAATCTGTGTCCTGGAGACTCAGAGCTCCATTCTGCCAGCCTTCTGTCCAAAGTTGTTCAGAAGGACATCTCTGATGATGAGATTGCATCAAATCTTCTTATCTTGGTCAAACTTCAACCTAGGACTGAATTGATTTTATCCTGCTCAGGTCTGGGTGGAGACAGACTTCCAGGACTGGGGGGTGATATTTCCTTTGATGCCAGGAGTTATCAGCCCCTGTGGACTGAGTGATCTCTGGAACACACCCATTTCCTAATATGTTGACCAATCATGGTTTTTTGGCACTCCTTGGGAACATCTACTCTTCAAAGGGCATATAAGGCTGTACCCCCAAAATCCCAAACCAAACTAGTTCTGAACTGGGCCCCTTACGGGGGCCCAATTTTGGACTGAATTCCCATGCAACACATGTCAAGCCACTTTGGAAAAATTAAACCATGGACACATGTACCCCAATTTCATCTGTTTCTTTCTTAGAGCAGACTGTTTCAAATTGGGGTTTGTGGGGTTCATGGTTAACACTTGTGATCCATGTGGGTACAAATGACAATTTGAAAAGGAACATAAAAAGTATGGCCAACAGTTATGAAGTTCTAGGCAAGAAACTGAAGACCATAAGGGCACAGGCTGTTTTCATCACTGTTACTAATGAAGGCAATTGATAAAGAAGAGAAATTAATTTGGGAAGTTATGGCTAAGAAGGCAGTATCTGAGAAAGTGATCTGGATTTCTAGATCACAGCCTATGATACAGGTTAACAGATTACTAGCCAGAGATAAGATTACACCTAACAATGGAAGCCTAACAATGGAAGTAAGAATATATTTGCCAAGTGTCTTACAAATATAATACAAAAAACTTTAAACTTAAAGAGGATTAGAGGTGAAAAGACTGCCTAGACATACCCTCCAAGTTAGATACTTTACAGAAATCACCACAAAGAAGGGAGACTAGCAGAAAAGACAACCAGAAATTCTATAGAGACCAAAATCCAGGAAAAGAGCCAGTGGTAAAATCTATGGCAAATAAGGAAAATTAGACCTCTTAAGAATCACCAAGATCTGGTAAAAGGAAACCCACAACTAAATTATGATTTTGGATAGTTATACTTTATTCAAAAGAAACAGGATAGGTAAAGGAAGAAGGGTAACAGAGTACTACATATTAAGAAGGTGTAGTCATGTGAGGAAATCCAGGAATGGCAGGGAGCATGTGTGAGTGAGTGTGTGTGTGTGTGTGTGTGTGTGTGTGTGTGTGTGAGAAGGGGGAATGTTAGCTTTTGAAATCCATATGATCTGTCTATTCTACCTTTTTCAACTGTCACTACTATCATAACCCATTTCACATCCTTAGATTTCATCAATATTCACTAAATATTTTACTTTTTGCTTTATACCATCTTATTTGATCCTTGTAAAAGCTAAGAAGTTGGTCCATTGAGGAAAATGAGGTTCAGAGAATATAAGTGAGTTGTTCCAGGTCAGACTACCATAAAATGGCTGTTGAGGTAGAGCCTTCAGTACTCTTACCATTACAACACCAGCCTCTTGCCTGTATCTTCACCCTACAATCATTCTCCATGCTTTTCAACACTGATGATGATCATTTTACTCTTTAACTTTATAATTCCTTGACCTTAGACTTGCCACCTCCATTCCACATCAATTACAGGAAAGAGTATATACCCCAAAATGATGTTTTCTGAAGACTGATTAAAGAAACTGGAATATTTTTTCTGGAGAAGATTTAGAGGAAACATGAATGCTAGCTTCAATAGCAATGAGCTGTCATGTTAAAGAGGACATAAATTTGTTCTGCATGGCCCAAGGTGGCAGAAATAGGAACAATGGATGGGAGTTTCAGAGACACAGATTTAGCTTCTCTCTTTTTTTTTTAAATAATTTTTTATTTATGCCTTTTGTTTCCACAACAGCTACATTTCCCCCTGTAACCCTGTCTACTCCCTCTCAGAGAACCATTCCTTATAATAAAGGAATTAAAAAGTGAAAGAAAAAATTTAGCAAAACTAACCAATATAGGAAAAAGTCTGACATGTTATGCAACGGTCCATATCACTGCTCCTGTACACCTACAAAGAAACAGGAGGAGTATGGTAGCTTTTCTTTGCTGAGAAAGGTGCTCATTATAATTTCATTTCAGTTGTTTTCTTGTTGTTCTTTCCATTTATCTTGTTGTCATAGTGTAAATTAGTTTTCTGGTTCTGTTTATTTCATTTTGCAGATTTCCTTAATAACAGAACTACCCAAAAGTAGAATGGGTTGCCTTGGAATATAGTGCGTACTTTCTTAGAGGTCACTAGGTGGCAAAGTGGATAGGGAATCGGACCTAGAGGTTCACATCCAGCCTCAGAGGCTTCCTAGTTTCGGACTCTAGTTTAAGTCATTTAACCTCTGTCTGCTTGTTTCCTCATCTCTAAATTGAGGAGAATGATAGCACCTACTTCCCAAGGTCATTGTGAGAAAAAATGAGAAAATATTTGTAAACACTTTGCAAACTTTAAAATGCTATATAAATGCTAGCTCTAATAATAATAAATTGTTATTATGTTGCATGCTTATCAAATTTATGGATACAAACTTTAAAGGATTATATGAAAAAATGCTAGCTATTATTTCATGCAATTTACTGAAATGGCATGGAAAAAATTCCTATTCAGGTATCCTTCCAACTCCAAGAAGCCATAGTTCTGTGGAAAATGGGTGGAAATTACAGGGAGGTAAATTTTGGCTCAATATGCAGAGCTTTCCCAAACTGTAACGAGATGCCTCTTTGTTGAGTCACCTGTTGTGCAGGTACTTAAGTTGATATTGGTGTTTGGACTCCACCAGATAACCTCTCATGGAGAAACACCCCTTCCAGTTCTAGGAATCCACTGATCCACTAACAATAAGCAGACTCCAATCCCGGGTTGCCACCACTTCAGCCTCCTGCCTCACTGGAAAAGGTCATGATGGGCCTGAACTGACTTCACGGCACATCCATGTTTTCTGCCTCCAACCAAGCTTTTGCAAGATACTTTCATGTCCCTCTTACACCCTCCCAGAGCAGCTATAAACACCCCCTTCACCTCCCCTCCTTTCCCCTTCTACTCTCCTTCCCTCTTCCTCTTCCTCCCCCTCCCTCTCTCCCTCCCCCTCCCCTTCCCTCCCCCACCCCCCTTAGCCAGCCCTCGCTTCCACCAGGCCGAGGTACCTCTCTTCTCTGCACTGTTCTCTACTAACAGGGGCTAGAGAACACCTATCACGGGATGGGGGGTGTTGGGCTTTTGTTCGGAAAAAGGGAGAGGAAAGAGATTCTTCGTCCTATGGAGCAGAGGTTACACTAGGTGTCTGAAGACCTGGGTGCGAATCCTGTGTGACCCTGGCCACATCGCCTCTCCTCTCTGAGCCTCGGTTTCTGCATCTGTCCATTGTAGCTCCTCAAGAGACACCACCAGCACCACCTCTCGCACCTGCCCAGGGTACACGGACACGTACACACACACACACACACACACACACACACTGTTTACCTCAGACCAAGGCTAACCCAGAGATGTCAATTCTGGGGCCAATCCAGAAGCATGCCCGCGCAGATGTTCCCTCAAGGAGGAGTCTCCGATTTCTTCCGGCAGCTACCCGGCCGCACTCGAGGCCGTCTGGCCCGCCTCGAGAGGAATGCTGGGAAATGAGGCAGCGCTAGAGATAGCGCGGCCTGGTGCCGTCTGGGAAGTGGAGACCCAGATTCCGCCTGCGCAGCCGCGGCGCTGGGCTGGGGCGGGACGGGGCGGGGGGGGCGCTGTGGGCGGGCCTGTCTTTGGAGAGAAGGAAACTGAGGCCCAGTGCAAGGCGGCTCAGCGTGAGAAACCAGAGCGTCCTGCTGTCTGCCCTCGCGCGGGGGTGCCCCCTGACGAGCTCGTGTGTGACGCCCCGAGGGGGAAGGCGACACCCCAGACCGGTGTCTGCCCGGGAGGGAGCCCCCAGACGTGACCCTGGGAGATCTGTCCCGCGGATCCCGGGGGGAAGGGGCCGCGGAGCAGCCAGAGCCCAGGAGGGCTCACCTCTGCAAACCCAGACTGAATGCAACGAAGCCGCCCTGACACCTCCTCCCCCGCTCCCTGGCAGAGGACCAAGGATGAGGAATGTGACTTCAGAGTCACACGCGCGCGCGCACACACACACCTCCTAGTTTTGTGTAACTTTCTTCCTCTTTTCCATATTCTTTATTATAAGGGATGGCTCTCTAGGAGGAAGTAGGGGAAGGGATTACAGTGGGAAATAGAGGTGATGTAAAAACAAAAGATAGAGATTTTTAATTGGGCATTGGTAATTTTGAAGAAAACAGTCTCATTTGAGGAACTAGATATTGTGAGGGAGGGGATGGAGACGGTGATGAGGGAGGGGACATCGAGCAATTGAAGATAGGTTTTCCAAGCTGTCTTTTATCTGCCAAATCCAGTCTCTAATCTCTGCAAGGATTCTTGTTTACCAGGCTCAGGACCTTGGAATCAGACTGAGTTTCAGATCCAATTCTGGTTTCTTAAGGCTTATCAGCCTCCTCTGTTTCTTTACCTCGGTCCTAGGCCACTGTTGCAGTATGTTAGTGGCATGTTTTATCCAGGACTAATGGTTGTTCCTCTGAGAAACTTCCTAGTTTGAGTCATGCACTGGGAAGTGTGGATGGAGGTTTACAAATGAGATAGTATTTGTATGGCACTTAGCACAGTGCCTGGCATACAATAGGTGCTATGTAAATTTCCCTTCCCTACCTTCATACCTTTACAAACATCTTTAACTGTTCATAATTCCGGAGATGTCTATCTTTACAGGGTCAATCACAATGATATGTCTTTGGATAGTCCTTCTCTGATCAAGTTTTTACTTTATTCAGTGTCTTTTTGTTTGCAGTGACTTATTGATCATTTTTTTTTAATTTCTTTTATTATTAATTTAATCCTTAACAAATTTAGGGATAGGATTGGACTTGAATTAATATTGGTAAAGGGAACCACCAAGTGAGGAAATACCTTCTACCATTGCAGGACAGACCTTCTCTGCAAGGTTGGTTGCCTGGATCACTGAGAGATTAACTAACTTGTCCAGTGTTACATAGCCAATATGTGAGAAGCAGGAGAGAGACACGAAAGCAAGGGAGACAAGTACAAGTAGCATAAAGGCAACGCATGTGGAGCTGTGACAGCCACCATTTGTACCAGCACTAGACAAAATGTTGGTTTCTAAGACGTGGCAGCAAGCAGGCTGTGTTAACCGGTTGCTGTTCATCCTTCATTTTCAAAGAGTGATAATAACATTATGGGGTGATATCTTGGGTTGTACATGAGTTGGATTGAAGTAAGGCAGAGTTACACAGTCATCAGCCTCATTCTCTCTTCCAGACAGTGGCAAAGCCGAAGTCAAGACAACTGGCCTAGGATGTAGGGGATGTTTGGCATCTTTTATGTCTGACCAAGCTCTAAGTGTTCCATAGCACCTGCTTCAGCTGCCTTCATGGGCATTGGAACAAATTGTTCTCATCCACCCATTCTGCTGGGCGAAGTCTTCACATGCTTGGGATAGGCATCACTCTAACTCACTGATGGGTTTGAGGCCTGTTGGTTACCCTCAACCTGGTTTAGCCTGTCTCTCAAGAAGGTTTTACCAGGGTATGGCTGCTGCAATGCACAGGTGAGAATTGGATGCCAGGATTCCAGTCATTAGCTTCCATCTAGTCAATTCTAAATTTCAAGTAGTTATTTTCTTCAGTGTGTATGTGTCTCTTTTATCAAGCTGCTAATTCTATTTTCATATCTTTTACCTCTCATTTGGTTTTTAGAATTTTTTTTGCTCTCTTGTTTTTTCACTCTTTCTTGAACTCTTCCAAGAATTCTTGTTGGGTTTGTATTTAGTATGCATTTTTCTTTAAGGCTTTGCTTGTAGATGTTCTCTGTCTCCCTAAGTTTCCATGGGCTGGAAAAAAATTACTGTGATTTTTTTTTTCTTGGCTTTCCCAATCAGAATTTGGTCCGGTACATTTTCTAGGTCATTGTGGAGAAGAACTAGGTGAGCTATGCAGAAATGCCTCCTTTCACTTGCTCTCTTGATTTTGCTCTCCCCCCTCCCCCACTAATGCAGTGTTAATGGAGCTGTGAATTGATCCAATAATTCTGGAAAACAATCTGGAACTATACTCCCCAAATCACAAAACTGTACATATCCTTTGACCAAGAAATACCACTAGTAGGCACATACCCCAAAGAGGTCAAAAATAGAGGGAAAGGATATATACATATTAAAACGTTTTGGGGGGGTTTTATTGTAGTAAAGTACTGAAAAGAAAATGGGCTCTGATCAGTTGAGAAATGGTCGGACAAATTGTGGTAGAAATATAGTGAGACTTATTATGTCATAAGGCATTATATATATGACAGATTCAAAGAAACAGGGGAAACATATTAATTGAAGCAGAGTGAAATGAACAGATCCAGGAGAACATTGTATACAATAACCACAATAATGGAAAGGAAAACAATTTTTAAACAAATTTTTAAAATTTAAAACTGATTAATGCACTGACCAATCATGACTTAAGAAGACTGGCAGAGAAGGGATGGACTAGAGGTACTGAATGAGATATTTTCCAGATATAATCAATTTGTTGATGTATTTTACTTGACTTTGTTTTTATTATTATTTTTTACAAGAGAAGGCTTCTATAGTGGAGGGGCGAGGAGAGGGATGAGTGAGAATGTTGTGAGAGAGGTAGAGCCGAGATGGCAGAGGGAAGCCAGCATTTTTTCTGAGTTCTCCTAATACATCCTCCCTAAAACAATTTTAAAAACATACCAAACCAAATTCTGAGTGGGAAAGCCAATAAAAGTTACATTGAGTCATTTTTCTGGTTCAGGACAGCTATGGAAGTCACAAAGAGAAGTTTGCAGATATTAGTGTGGGAGGTGGCTGGGAGTACAGCATGGATGAAGCAGAACCTGCTGTGGTCCCCATTACCCAGTTCTAGGTCACAGTTCTAGGGTAGAGAGGAACAGTCATCATCATAAGGGAGTAGGGACTCTACCTGAGTAAGGAGCAGAGCACAGTGAGTTTGGGTATGAAGAACAATGAAACCAATGAAAAGGTAGCCAGGGAAGTGGTATTATCAGGAAGGAGCCAGGTTTCAGGGAGTACAACATCAAAGAAGTGAGAAAGAAAAAAGATTTAAGAAGAAAGCCAGTTTGTTACCTATGGAGAAACCATTTCAGAGAACATAGTGGGAGGGGTAGGTAGCTTTAAAGTAGGATGTTGAAGGGAGTGGGTTGAGGAAGATGGCAATAACACTCATGGGGAATGGATAACAGGGTTTGAACAATGACAAGAGAGAATCACTGTGGTGGGAAAGGTGTGAGAGGGTAGAAGTATGTTAATAATTGAAGAATGAATTCAAGTAGGCCACCCACTATCAGGGTGAAGTCTTCCTCCGGAGTTGGGCAGCAGTAATGTATAGCCAAAAACCTGGAAGTGGGGGTTGGTGGGAGGGAGGCACAGGTGAGGCAACTGGGTTGGTGGCATTGTAGGAGGCCAGAGAGGATGCTGCTCTAGGTATCCTATCATTATATTTGTCTTCTAGCATTGACCTCAGCTTCTTAGAATGCACAATTCTTACAATGTTGGAACTTTTCCTTTATTTATTCATTCCTTTAAACAATGTTCTTTGTTTAGGTTTCCTGGTAGCCCTATTACTTTTGTTGGTGTTTCTGTTGATGTTTTTAGAGAAATACTGAGATTGGTTCTCTTTCAAGCTGTTATTCCTCCATTAGTAGAGGAAGTTACTTACCAGTCCACCAATGAAACCATACGTCCAATAAAACAGAACAAAACCACTGTGTTAGTTCACCCTCTTCCTCTAAATTCCCATTCTAGTATGTGTACCTCTGGTTTAGGCCCTAACAGGGACTTCAGCTGCCCATGTATTTTTGGAAATGAGAACTTAAAGCTATATTTTATATCGAGAGTGTCTGAAGCCAGGTTCATAATTATATATAGACCATGTGCCCAGTGAATTTGTCAGTAAAATAAAAAGCAGTTTAATAATAAAGGCAGCTAGGTGGCACAGTGAATAGGGCACTAAACCTGGAGTCAAGAAGATCCAAGTTCAAATTCAGTCTTAATTATCTGTGTAACTCTGGGCAAGTCACCTAATCTCTATCTACCTCGGTTCCTTATCTATAAAATGGGGATAATAAGGACCTACCTTCCAAAGTTATTGTGAAAATAAAAAGAGATAGTTGTAAAGTATTTTGTAAACCTCAAAGTGCTATATAAATGCCAGCTATTATTATTAACAATAATAATAATAACCTAAAGGAGAAATAGTTCTAAAAACATTTAAGTTGAGACCAACTTAAAATCTTTATTGGTTCTTGTCCCACCTTGATGTTTAGGTATTTAAAAAAATGAAAAGTCTGAATGAAGTATTCTCTGAACTTATTATTCCCCAGGTTAATCTTTGACATAACGTCGCTGATGTTGGATAACAGATGACTTACTACTGAAAACTTTCCCACATAAACTGCAAAAATAAGGTTTCTCTCCAGTATGAATTAACTGATGTCTGGTAAGGTTACGTTTAAGAGTGAAGGCTTTTCCACAGTCATCACATTCATATGGCTTTTCTTCCTTATGAGTTCTCTGATGTTGAGTAAGGGCTGATTGGTCAAAGAAGGCTTTCCCGCATTCATTACATTCATAAGCCTTCTCTCCAGTATGTGTTAGCTGATGTCGGGTAAGATTACTTTTCTGACTGAAAAATTTCCTACATTCGTCACATTCATAGGGTTTTTCTCCAACATGTGTTCGTTGATGTCTAGTAAGGGTACTTTTCAGGGTGAAAGCTTTCCCACATTCATCACATTCATAGGGTTTCTCTCCAGTATGGATTCGTTCATGTTCAGTAAGGGATGATTGTTTAGACAAGGCTTTTCCACATTCATTACATTTGTAACGCTTCTCTCCTTTATGAGTTCTTTGATGTTGAGTAAGGGCTGATCGGTCAAAGAAGGCTTTCCCACATTCATTACATTCATAAGCCTTCTTTCCAGTATGTATTAGCTGGTGTCGAGTGAGATTACATTTCCACCTGAAGACTTTCCCACATTGATAACATTCATAGAGACCTTCCCCATTATGAATTATCTGATGTAGGGTAGCAGAAGAGCAATTAAAGACTTTTTGACATTTATAGGGCTTCTTTGCAGTGTGAATTATCTGATGTTGAATAAGAGATGAGTTATCAAAGAAGGTTTTTCCACATTTGTTACATATACAGCCTCTTTCCTGAGTGGAGTCTTGTTGGGAGATAATTGACACTTGTTTTAAATCTCTCTTAGGGGAAAGAAAGTCCTCCCCTGTCTCCTCTTCAGAGTTTTCCCTCTTCTGCAACTGGTTGTCAGGTACACTGACTATTCCAAACATTGGAGTTGATTCCTGAATTTCAAGCCCACTCTCCCAGTCTGAAACAGAGAAAACACAAATGTCATCTATTCTGTTGGTAAAAATAACATACTATAGTGAAAGAGGGTAATGCAATAGAAATAAAGATCACTAGGCATTCACTGTCACTTCACAAAAAGTCCCCTTGTATTCTGGAGAGAGTCTAGGAAATAGGAGAAGTGATCAGCAAATAGAAATAGAAGAAGCCTAGGTAACTAAACAAGGTGAGCAGAGGACATGCCATCCAGAAGTGTGGTAACCAGAATAATAGATTAAGTGAAGAGATGGTGATGAGTAAGAATATCAAGAGAAGAATATGAAAAAAGGGCAGAATCTGGGAAAATTAACTTTCAGTGAATAAGGAAGGGTGGTCCCTAGAGCTGGCAGGTGATCAAAGATACTCATGAAAAGGTAAGAAAAGGAATTACAGTTAAGGAAAAGGTAATACTCCAACCAAGAAAACAGGAAAGACAGCTTTCCTCCATGAGTCCATGCCATTAACAATCTCAGTAGATCTCTGGGTCCACTGTGCTCTCTCACTAAATTGATAGAATGTAACTTCCAACAAATCCTATATTCCCAGTTTTCTTTCTCTTACCTGTAGAAATAATTTTTGGCACATGTTTCACATTAGTTCTCTGTAGCTTATGTATCCATGGCTCTTTCCCTTGCTCCAACTGGAAGATCACTTGAGGTTTAGAAATGGAAAGCCCTGTTTGTGGAGAAGGAAATAATAATAGGTGACCCTTATATAGCCTTTCAAGGTTTACCAAGTGCTTTATATCCATGGTACTATCCCCCACAATCTATGAATGAGGTATTATACCTATCATAATCCCCATTTTACAGATGAGAGACTTGAGGGTAAGTGAAGTTAAGTGATGTTCTTACGGTCACAGAGCTACTGATCAAAGGACACAGAAATGTGGCAAATGTCAGTTCTTTTGGATATGGATCCACTCATACACACTCATTTGCCCTTGATCACTCGTCAGGCTTTCAGATCACATCCAAGCCCTATGCACCACTCTTATACCCACTCAGGCTGGTGGCAGCATTGCCTATACCAGGAAGAAAAATTCCCCAGACCATTGTATTGAAAATATGGGCAATGAATGCACATTATCTAATGTCTCCTGGGGCGGAAGCCTTTACAAGCCTTCCATCTCTGATGACATGGCAATCCCCCACACCCTACAAACCACACTGAATTCCATGACTCTTTCTCCCTGCACCCATTCAGCTGAGAACCTTGTCTCATATTTTACAAAAGAAATTGAGTTTATTCACCGGGAGGTCTTTCTTTTCCCTTCTTCCTCTTCTCCTATCATTCTGGTGCCTTCTGTCACTATCACATCTTTCAAACTGGTCTTACATCATGAGGTGGCCTTACTCCTTTCCAAGGCTAACCCCTCTACCTGTTAAAGTGGTCTTATTCCATCCCATCTCCTCTAACAGACTGCCTTCTTTGCCATCCTCACTCTTTCACTTATTTTCAGTCTCTGTTTACTGGCTCCTTCCCTACTGCCTACAAATATGTTCATGTCTCCCCCATCCTGAAAAAAAACCCTTACTTGATATTTCCATCCGCAGTATCATCCTATATCTCTTCTGCCCTTTGTAGCTAAATTCATCCAAAAGGTTTTCAACAATAGTGCTTCCATTTTCTCTCCTCTTTTCCTCTTCTTAACCTCTTAGAATCTGACTTCTTACCTTACCATTCAACCAAAACTGCTCTTTCCAAAGTTACCAATAATCTCTTAATTGTCAAATCCAATGGCTTCTTTTTCATTTCTCCTCACTACAGCATTTGACTCTGTTGATCATTTTGTCCTCCTTGATAACTCTCTTCTGTCCAGGTTTTCAGGGTACCATTCTCTCCTGCTTCTCCTCCTACCTGTCTGACAATTCCTTCTCAGTCTCCTTTGCTGGATCTTCATGTAGATCATGTCTTTTAATGACAGTTGTCCCTCAAAGTTCTATCCTGGGTCATCTTTGCTTCTCCCTCCTTTACTGATCTCACCAGCTCCCATAGATTTAATTATAATCTCTATGCTGATGATTCTCATATACCTATATTGCCCTACCCTCACTGCTGACCTCTAATCTCACATCTCCATCTGCCTTTCAGACATCTCAAACAGGATGTCCAGTAGACACCTTCAACTCAACATGCCCAAAACTGCACTTGTTTTTTCCCCCTAAATGCCCCCCCACACACACACACATACCTATTACTGTAGAGAGCAAGACCATCCTCTAAGGCCCTAGGAGTCTAGGAGGCTAAACTAGGAGCCTAGTCACAACCTAGGAGTCATCCTGGACTCCTCACTATCTCTCACCCCCCATTTCCAATCTTTGGCTAAGGCCTATTGATTTCACCTTTGCAACATCCCTTGATTATGCCCCTTTGTCCCCTCTAACATTGCCACCAGTCTATTACAGGCCCTCATCACCTCACTCTAAGAAATGATTCATTTGGACCTTTCCTCTATTCCAATCAGTATTAATCAGTTTGATATTTTACATAAATTATATAGGGATAATTAGATAAGATAGGTTCTTATAATAGGCCTTTATAATGGGCCTTAAACTTTAATGTTATGCTCACTACTTGTCTACTACTTATGAAGCTCACTTGCACAACCACAAGAATGTAAACAAAGATATCTCCATCCTGTTTCACTCAAATTCCATGTGTAAACCCAGCATGGGTGGGATACCTTGATGCTTTGGAAAGTCCCTGAACTTATTTTTGTACCTCCGGACCATTCTCTCTTGTCCAACATGAGCAGATAACTATCTTAAGACCGCTCAGTCAGTGGAGATGTCCCTTGCTTCACCCAACCTGTGACCCCTTGCTGATATGTCATTTTTGGCCTTCAAGAGCAAGGTCTATTAAACAATGAGATTCTGTATCTTAGATTCTGTATTTTACCATGCTTCTTTTGCATATTTGGGTATCAAACCCTATAAAAACAAGGTCCTGGAAGAAGGGGGCATCTCAGATCATGAGGAAGATCTGAGATCCACTTCAGTAGAGTGGACCGTGCATCCTTTAATAAAATGACATTGGCTCAGAGTTCTGCCTCAGTGTTTTTTCTTACAGAATGGGCGATCATAATCCCCACATCACGCCCAGATTATTGTAATAGCTTGGTGGTGGGTCTGCCTGCCTCAAGTTCCTCCCCACTCCAATCTAATCTCTATTCGCTTGTCAAAGTAATTTTCACCCGCCTACGCAATAAACTCAGGTGGCCCCCTGTCATCTCCAGGATCAAATACAACATCCTCTGTTTGTTTGTCATTTAGAGCCCTTCACAAGCTACTCCCACCTTTGTCCCTCACCTCTCCAATCTTCTTACACCTCACTCCCTGACACAACACCTACTCTTGGATCCAGCGGCATTGGCCTCCTGGCTGTTCCACAGACAAGACACCTCTTGGCTCCAGGCATTTTCTCTGGCTTTCCCCCCATGCTTGGAATGCTTTCCTTCTTCATCTCTGCCTACTACCTTCCATGGCTTCCTTTAAGTCTCAACTTAATCAGACAAAGCAAAAGCAAAAATAGAACCAATTAAAAGAGATAATTAGGAAACTACAACTTGCTAAAAGGTACTGTAGACAATGAAGTATTATCAGTACTGAAGATACATGCACCAAAATGGCAAAGCATCCTAATTCTTAAAGGAAAAGTTAAATGAGTTACAGAAAGAAAAAACAGTAAAATCACATTAGTGGGGCAATATCAATTTACCCTTCTCAGAACTAGATAAGTCTAGCCATAAAATAAATCAGAAAGAAGTTAAGGGGAAGAATAGAATTTTAGAAAAGTTAGACATGATAGACTTCTGAAGAGATCTGAATGAGAATAAAAATAAAAAATTCCTCAGCTGTACATGGTACCTTCATAAAACTTGGCTATGTATTAAAGCATAAAAAGCTCTTAAGCAAATGCAGAAAAGCAGAAATATTACATGTACCCCTTTCTGACCATAATGCAATAAATATTACATTCAATAAAGGGCCCTGGAAGCACAGATTAAAGATTAGTTAGAAACTAAATAAGCTAATCCTAAAGAATGAGTGGGTCACATCACACCTATCAGATTAGCCAACATGACAAAAAAGGGAAATGACAAATGTTGGAGAATATGTGGGAAAATTGGAACACTAATACATTGTTGGTGGAGTTATGAAATGATTCAACCATTTTGGAGAACAACTTGGAACTATGCCCAAAGGGCTATAAAAATGTGCATACCCTTTGACCCAGCAATAGCACATCTAGGGCTATATCCCAAAGAGATCATACAAATGGGAAAAGGACCCACATGTACAAAAATATTTATAGCAGCTCTTTTTGTGGTGGCAAAGAGTTGGAAATTGAGGGGATGCCCATCAATTGGGGAATGGCTGAGCAAGTTGTGGTATATGAATGTAATGGAATGCTATTGTGCTATAAGAAATGATGAGCAGGCTGACTTCAGAAAAACCTGGAAAGGTCTGATGCTGAGTAAAGTGAGCAGAACCAAGAGAACATTGTGCACAACAACAGCCATGTTGTGCGATGACTAATATTGATAAACTTAACCCTTCCCAGCAATAGAAGGATCTAAGACATCTCCAAAGGCCTCGTGATGGAAAATGCTATCCACATTCAAAGAAAGAACTATGGAATTTGAATGCAGATCGAAGCATACTATTTGCTATTTTTTTCTCTTCTGTTGACTTTTGTTTCCTCTTTCTGGTGGCTCCTAATATGTTTAATAGGAATTTATCTGCATAGCCTATATCAGATTGTGCGCTATCTTGGGGAGGGTGGTGGGGAGAAAGGGGGAGAAAAATTTTAAACTCATAAGCATATGGAAGTGATTATTGATAAATCAAAAAAAAATTTTAGAAAATTTAAAAATTTTAAAAAAAGATTAACTACAAAAAAAAGTTTATGACCAAATATGAAATAGAGAAGCTTATGGGAAGTACGGATGATTTTGATTATATGAAATATGATTTATGCTCTATTAGATCTGTATTCCAAGGAGAACAAAGAAAAAGGAAAAGGACCTATATGTACAAAAATATTTAGAGCAGCTCTTTTTGTGATAACAAAGAATTGGAAATTGAAGGGAAGCCTATCAATTTAGAATGACTGAACAAGTATGGTATATGATTGTGATGGAATAATGTTGTGCTACAAGAAATGATGAGGAGGATGATTTCAGAAAAACCTGGGAAGACTTATGTGAACTGATGCAAAGTGAAATGAGCAGAACCAGGAGGACATTGTACACTGTAACAATACTATTGTAAAGATGATCAACTGTAAAAGACTTAACTATTCTAATCAATACAATGATCCACAACAATTCCAAAAGACTCACAATGCTTTCCACCTTCAGAGAGAGAACTGATGAACTCAGAGTGCAGAATGAAGCATATCATTTTGTACTTTCTCAATTTTTCTTTTTCTTTTCTTTTTCTTTTTGTAACATGGCTAATATAGAAATGTTTTACATGACTTCACATGTATAATGGAGATATATTGCTTGCCTTCTCAATGGATGAGGATGGGGCTGGAACAAAGGAAAGAATTTAGAACTCAAAATTAAGAAAAAAAACTCTATAAGGAAGCCTTTCCTAACCTCTAGTTCTAGTGCCTTCCTTCTCTTAATTATTTTCTATTTCTCTTGTATACAGCTTGTATATATTTGTTGCTTGTTGCCTCCTCCATTAGATTGTGAGCTTCTTCTGGGCAGGGGCTATCTTTTGTCTCTTTTTGTATCCCCAGCTGACACAGAGTAGGTACTTAATAAATGTTTACAGACTGACATCTTGTCCCTCTTTTGTGCAACGACTGTGTACTTACTATCCACTTTCCAGTTTCAGTTTCACCAGTAACACTAGTACTTCATTCTTGCTTTCCACATATAGTTAATAATTGCTTCAAATACTAACTCTACACAATAAGTACTACACCAGTTACCACTGTCAGAGAATAATCTCGTTGCCTTTTTGTGGGTAGGGGTGAGGAGCTAGATAACTACTGTAGACAGATAGCTTTATACACTTCCCTTTCTCTGAGCACCTGACTGCCTGATACCAGAATTCACAACCCTAAAACTCTTGCTCTATAGAGAATGCAAAAAGGCTCACATGATAATAGAGTTGGAATAACCTTAGAGATCACTCATCCTCCTTATTTGAGAGGTGAGGAAAGCAAGGTCCAAGCCGTGGAAGTGATGTGACTTGCCCATGATCACATGGCTGAAAGGTAGAAGAGCCGAGATGTGAACCTAGACTTCTGTGTTCTTCAGTTGACTACAGCAGAAAAGCAAATGACAAAAGAAGCCAGGACTACAGGGGAGGAAGCTTATATGAAGGATCTACCAAAGGTATTGATGGTCAATCTGCTGATATTCCCTCTAAAGACATAATTGTGTGTCAGTTTTAGGATTATTGTTACAAAGAGTTGTGAGTTATTCAAAGAGGCACTGGCCACCACCTTTGCTTTCTTGACCCACTAATCCTAAATTCAATACTTGACTCCCATATTTGCCTTCTACTTCCCTTTCAGTGTTCACCCCTCTTCTCCTCACCTCCTAAATCCTAGAGTTTTTCTCCCTTTACCTCTTCTATTTGTTCTTATTCCTGAAAAACTAAGACCTCTTAAAAGTTCTCATGCTTTATTTGGTCCCATCTATGGTGACCTTCACAGTTACACAACAGTCACTGTAGCTTCAAAACAGTTCCTATGGGCATGTTTCATGACCAATAAAACAAGTAACTCCATTCTCCTCTCTGCATTCACTCCCATTGAGTGAACAGGAATATTTTAACGTACTACAGATACTGAATCACAGGTGAAAGTCATTCTTACCCAGTGAAACAAGGTTCCCGTAGTTCTCCAGCATCACATCCCTGTAAAGGTCTCTCTGAAAAGGGTTCAGCTGTTCCCACTCCTCCTGGGTAAAATCCACAGCAACATCCTTGAATGTTACTGATTCCTGAAATATAAGCACATTCTTACTGGACTCCTTCATTCTGAAGGAAAAGGTGAAATTTAAAACATCTTGAGAAATAGACGGAAAGTACAGGGTGTGGTACTGATGATATTAGACTTGGAGTACTGTGGGATAGGAAATAAAATGGATATATGTGCCTGTCCTTGGACCTTTCTAATTAAGAGCCCTAAGCATCTAGATAATATTCCATAAAATACATCCATTAGGTTGAAGTTCATCCTCTTAAAGAAGTCACCATACTCTAAAATCACAACTGCATTTCAGGGAAGAAAGAGGAAAGCAACTCACCTTGTATTTGACTGTCAGGAATACAGCTGCTATCTCCTTCTTTTCTGTATTCCCTTCTCGAAGAAAGGCAGAATCCTGAGAATATTGGGCTAGAAGGGAAAAAAAAAGGGAAATGAGTCTTGGAGGGCTCAGACTCCCAAGGATGGAATTCTCTATATATTATCTGGGAGTCATCTCTCTATCTCTAAATAATTTAAAAGAGGGAGCTCTGAGGGAGGTCTGGCATAAAAGCTCTGCTCTTTCCCAGGATCAAAGATAAAGGCCACTATTACCTGACACTTTACTTTGTCCCTTTGCTTCTAGAATGTTTCAGATCTGTGTTTCTAATTCAGAAAATATAGCTTGAATATAACAAAAGTGTCTTCATGTAATCTGGGATATAATGCTTAACCTCTGTAATTCATTTAATCTTTGCCTTTAATGAAGGAAAATATGTCCATTTTCTTCCACAACCCACTTGATATATAAAGAATCAACTCTAACTTCCTTAAAGTGGCCTTAGGATATAAGAAGTAATATGGTATAGTGTGAAGAACAAAGAACTGGAAATCAGGAAACCTGGGTTATGGCTCTAGTTCTAGAATTACTTGTATGACCAAAGAAAAAAACTTAATGTCTCATTCACTATCCTTTTTTGGGGGGGAAAGGGAGAAGACAGGAGGGAGGAGGAGCGGGGAGCAGGGAGCTGGTCCAAGCTTGTGACTTAATTGGTGTAGGGACATAGATTAGCAACTTCTCTGCAAGTTATAGTCTCAGAGCGTTATCTGCAGGACTGAGAGGTTGTGACCCGTCCGGGATAACACTGACATTATGTGTCACAGGTTGAGACTTAAACCCAGGTCTTTCTGAAATTGAGACTGATTTTCTATCTACCTTAGCTCCCAGTCTCTCTGTCTACTATCTATAAAATAGGAATAATACCAGAGGAGACTGTATATTAATGAGAGCAATTCCATAAACCACTAATGAAGATCAGTTTTATTACTTCAGAGTAAATTATCTCATAACCTGCTTACTTCACAGCATCTTATTCTATTAAGATCATATGAGATTAGAGATGGGAAAGAAAGTAAAATATTAGGTGTGTCAAGCTTTTAATAGTAAGTAATTCTTACTACTGCTCATTCCTTATCTCAGATACATATTTAAGACAAAAACTGTATGTATTTTTAGAAGGCTCTCTCTATATGTGTTTGTAGTGAAAGGGGAGGAAGATATCTGTGCTCTTAAGGAGGCTGCCTGTTTTCTCCATCTCATACACAGTGAAACAGAAAGGAGGTGCAAACTACCGGATATGGTGGAAAAGCTTATGTAGAAGTGTAAATTACACTCATTCAACAAAACTAGGGACAGCCCTAACCAGGTCATGGCCAGGTTCTTTTCCCCAATTCTCAATTTTTGGCCCTTCTCACCTCTGGCCCCAGACCTTTGGATCAAATTCTCCACCATAGTCACTGCTTTCTTACTGCCCTCTGGTTGTTGTGCTCCCAACCAACTTCTTGGGGAGAACAGGCAGGAATTACTGTGATAGACATGAACCAGACCTTCTCTGTGTGGAATTCTGGACTCAAGCTTGGACCTCCAAGTTCCTGGAGTGGGTTCAGTGTCTGCCAGTCCCTCTTGGACTGAAATGACCTGAAAGTCCATGGAATGGGTCTTCTAGTTTGGACTCCTTATCCTTTTCTGGAATTTCAGATTCTCTTGCAGACAAAGGGTCTTAAGGCATCTGAGGGACAGCGAAGGCACAGGTTCCAACAGGAACTTCTTTTGATAAGGGAGGGAAGGCCAACTATCTGTTTTCCTGGCAGAGAGACAACCTCCTGGTACTGCACAGACTGGATCACTGTAAGGTTAACAGGCATAGAATAAAGAACAAATCAACACTAGGGACTCAACAACCATAGCCTCTTGTTTCAAACTCAAGGTCCTATATTCAGGGAAAGCCAAGGACCCTAAACATGCAAATGATCCAGAATATGAGCACCAAGTAATAATGACACTATAATTTAATAATTATAGAGTTCCTAATGTTCGTTCAGATGCCATCACATAGGCATACAGATACACGAACATGTATAACGCATATGAATACATGCTGACACATTCAGTCTCTACCTTTATTCTAAGAAGTTACACAAACTACTACTCCCCCCACCCACCAGTCAAAACCAAACTCCCAAATCTGGATCAGATACAAAGGCACACATTTATTTTTAATCAAATTTTAGTGATATCTTCTGTTTTTACATTGAATAAATTTTCCCCTGGATACCCTTCTCTCCTCCCAAAGAAATATACCATATAACATTTTTTAAGAGTAAAAAAAAATTCACCAAAACTGATCAGTACATTAAAAAATCTGATAATATGTGCATGTTCCACACTCCACGTATACTGTCCTCCTGCCTCTCAAAGAAACAGAACAATGTATCTTCTCATATTTCTTCTTTGGGACCAAGATTATTCTTCATAGTTTCAAAATATGTATCTTCAATTGCTTTGTCATTGTTGTTCATTCTATTTACATTGATGTAATTATTGTGTATGTTGTTTTCCTAGTTCTGATTACTTCACTTTGTATCAGTTCATGTTAGTCTTTCCATGACTCTCTATATTCATCATGTTAGTTGTTTCTCACAGTATAATAATATTCCATTACACTCATGCACCACAATTTGTTTAGCTATTTTCCAATCAATGAGCATCTATCTATTTTGTTTCTGGTTCTTCACTGTAACAAAAAATGCTGCAATATACGGGTATACATGGAGCTTTTCTTTTTGACAATTACCTTGCTGGGGTTTGTACCTAGTAATGGAATCTCTAGGTAGAAGGTAATGGTTATTTCAGTCACTTTATTTGCATAATTCTAAATTACTTTGCATAATTATTGAACAAATTCTCAGCTCCACTAACCATGCATAATTGTGCCTGTTCTTCCACAACTTCCCCAACACTATTTTCATCATTTGTCATCTTTGCCATTTTAGTGATTATGAGGTAAAATTTCAAGGTTCTTTGATTTACATTTCTCTTATTATCAGTGATCTGGAACATTCTTTCATATGGTTGTCAATAGTTTGCAATTCTTCTATTGAGAACTATCTGTTCATAATTGTTTGTTCACTCACCTGCTAGGAAATGGCTTTTGGTCTTTTATATTTCTTTTGCCTATTTATCTTTGATGCTAAACCCTTATCCAGGGAATATGACACATAGATTTATTTTCCCATTGACTTCTCTTTTTATCCTAGATGCATTAATTCTATTTATGCAAATTTTAAAAAATTTCATGTAATTAAAATTATTTTATCTTTTACAATTATCTCTATCCATTACTTGATTAAGAATTCATCTCCTGCCTGTAGGTACCAAAGGTATATGATCTGTTTCTCTTCTAAAATTTTTATGGTATGATTTTTAATATCCAGGTGATATATTCATTTTGAATTTATTATATAGTATAAGATGTTAGTCGAAACTTAATTTCTGCCAGAATGATCGCCAGTTTTCCCACTAGTTCTTATCAAGTAGTGAGCTCTTTCCTAAGTAATTTACATTTATGTTTTTGTCAAAAACTAGATTACTGAGTTCTATCATTTTTTATTTTTGTCTAGTCAATCTCACTATTATTTAACAAATAACAAATGGTTTTGCTGATTGCTACTTTTCAAGAGTTTGAGGTCATACATTTACTTTAAGCCCTAAATTCCTCCCCCAACCACAACTTCATTTTCAGTGGATGACGTTTCAAACTTTATTTATGGGAGAAGAAACCAGTTCATTCAGTAGCAATTCTTCATAGAATTCCATTTCTGTCTATGGTCTCATCCTTCCCTTCAATCTCAGAGGGAGAAGTGACCTTTTCTAAAACCAACCACTGGATTCCATCCTCTCCTACCTCCTCTAGTATCCATGTTCCCAAATTTTCTCTTCCCTCTTCAGCACCTTCAACATCTCCTTTTGTACAGGTTTACAATGGATTTCATGAAAATAAATCTGAATGCACTTTACAGTACTATTGCCCTTCTGTATCTCCATCTTGTCCACAAGTACACTGTCCACATGCATCACTGACTGAATTACTTGGAAGAGAAATGCAAATTAATTTAACAACTTTAAGGTTTCACCTAAGACCCAGCAAATTGACAAAGAAGACAATAGACAGTAAGAGTCAATATTGAAGAGACTGTGGGAAGACCTGCACACTAATACACTATTAGTAGAGTTTTGAATTGGTCCAACTATTCAAAAAACAATTTGGAATTATATGGGGGGGAAAGTCACTAAATTATTCATAGGTTTCAACTCAGAGCTCCCACTGCTGGGTACATACCTTAGGCAGTCAAAGGCAGAAAGGTCCCCTATTGATCAAAATATTAAAAGCAGAACTTTTTTGTGTTAGGAAAGAACTGAAAACAAAATGGGCACCTCTCTACTGAGGAAAGGCTAGATAAACTATGATGTCTAAATGTCATGTATTGTAGTCCTGTAAAAAAAAATAATTATGACACATCTAGAAAAATAAGGAGAAAATATGTATCATTAGATTGTGAGCTACTCAAGAGTAGGGACTGTCTTTTGCCTCTTTGTAACACCAGTACTTACTTAGTACAGAGCCTGGCATATAGTAGGTGCTTAATAAATGTTTATTGATATTCATAGCAGCTCTTTTTGTGGTGGCAAAGAATTGGAAATTGAAAGGATGCCCATCAATTGGGGAACGGCTGAACAAATTGTGGTATATGAATGTAATGGACTACTATTGTTCCTTAAGAAATGATGAGCAGGCAGATTCCAGAAAAACCTGGAAAAACTTACATGAACTGATGCTGAGTGAAGTGAGCAGAACCAGAACATTGTACAGTATCAGCGACATTGTGTGATGATCAGCTGTGACTGACTTCCTTCTCAGCAATACAGTGGTCCGAGACAAGTTCATAAATGTTTATTGACTGACTAACTGAATTTATGCAGAGTGAATTAAATAGAACCAAGAAGACAATATAAATCAAGGGAAAACCAATACGATGAAAAGAGCAGTAAGAGAAAACTGAATGCTCAATAATTATAAAAGCTTATCTTGGCACTGGTGAAGAGATGAGGAATCATATCTCTCTTCTTTCACTGGAAGAGTGGGGGCCTATGTGGGTGGACGACAGTACCGACAGGTGAGGTTGATGTGCTGGTGGGCTCTGCGGAACTGTTTGCTTCCCCTTTGTTGCAAAGGAGGGATGGAGGATGGGGGAGGGGAGGAGGTGAATCAAGCAATCAAATCGATCAGCAAGCATTTATTTAGGCATTGGGTATACAAATATAAAGAATAAAAATAAATGGATCAAAAACCAAAAAGTCATGCACTTGAACTGACCTTATGGTACACTCTCCCACCAAATGAGCTTTCCTGTATGTGGGGGTTGGGGGAAGAGAGACAGGTGGAGAGGGGAGGGAGCGGGTGTTATGTCCTTGCACCTTCCCATCCCCTCCAAATAAGGCTGGAGAACAACTGTCACAGGGAGCTGGGCTTTTGTTCGAAAAGGGGCGAGGGTCGGGTGGGGAGTGTTATCGTTTCATGGGGCAGAGATAACATTAGGCGTCTGAAGATCTGGGTGCGAATCCATGACTTGGATCCCCAGAGACCCCCTCCCCTTGTTGATCCGGCCGCTTCCTTCAGGCCACACATAAATGTACACATATGAACACACATACAGACATATACAGATACACACGCATGTATGTACCACCGTCCCACCTGAGCCGGTCCACACAAGTCCCGAGCTCCAAGTCCCAAGCCGAACGACGCCTGCGCACACGTTAACGCCCCGCGCGGACTCTACTTCCCAGCAGCCTTAGCAGGTTCTCTGCCCCAGGCTCCTAAAGATTGAACCACTCCAAGTGGAAAGGTCTTCTGGGAAATTGAATCCAAGTCCCCATACTCTGGGAGTCTAGCTCCTCTGGGAAATGTAGTCTGGGATTTCCTTCTGCGCAGGCTCAGAGAGGGTCCTGGGCAGAGGCAGGTCACCATGGTAACTGCCACTTGCTTGTGGTCAGTACAGATGGGGAAACTGAGGCCCAGAGTTGGCTAGAGAGGAAGCGACTACCAGAAACACTTACAGTTAGTAATCTGCAGAGTCCGGAACTGAAGGTGGGACTGGCCCCACCCTGCCCAGGGAAGGGGAGAAGCCTGGAGTCACCTGGAGCCATGACGCCTTCCACCCAACACGCACATTAGCTACTGTAGACGAAGGGAGTCAGCCAAATCAATCTGAATCTTAAGGTCCTGGGTTTTGCTTTGTAGTTCACAGTGCCCACCCAGATCAATATCAAATGAATAATCAACATGGTCATCACAAAAACCTTCCACTGAAATGCGAATTAAGAGAAATTGGAATAGCTTTAGAACCGAAATGATGTAACAGTTTTAAGATTCATTGGTCTTAGAGTAGGAAGAGACCTTAGAGGTCATCTAATCTGGTGCAGGATACCTTCTACAATATTCCTCGACGACGACTGTCCAGTGAGGCTTGAACACTGCAAGTACAGAGAATCTTCATTTTATACCAGTTAGACCACTTGCTCTCCCAATTTGGTTAGCCATTCCCCAATCAATGAACATTTTTGCCAGGTTTTGTTTTGTTTTGTTGCTACCACAAAAAGTGCTGCTATATTTTGGTGTATATAAAGACTTTCTTTTTATCAGTGACCTCCCTGGAGTCACTTAACACAGGAATATCTAATTCAAAAAGTATGGACATTTTAGGCACTTTATTTACATAATTCCAAATTACTTTCTGGAATAGTGGAATAGCCTACCAACCATGCATTTGTGTACCTGTCCTTTTACAACCCCTCCAACATGATTTCCATCCTTTATCATCTTTGCCAATTTAATGGGTGTGAGGTGATGCCTTATTATTTTGACTTGCATTTCTCTTTGTGATTTAGAGTATTCTTCCATATGGTTGTTAATGGTTTGCTATTCTTTTGAAAACTGTTGTTGATCACTTTTGAACACTTATCTGTTTTGTACAGAGAGCTCCCAATGTGGAAAATCCCCCACTGATGCAGATCAGCAACTTTTGTATAATGTGTAGGTTTGAATTATTGCAGCATTTGCATAAAGGATAGATAATGGAGCTTGGAGTCAGTAGAACCGGTTTCAAGTTCTGCTCCCGAGCCATACTAGCTGTATGATATGGGCATGCCCCTTAATCATCAAGTAGTTATTAACTGCCTATTATAGCCCAAGGACTGTGCTGGGCACTGGGAATACAAATATAGTAAATGAGATTGTATTCATTCTAACTGGATTTTTTTGGTGTCCTAGGCAACATTTTAGCTGGCATTTTATGGTGCTTAAAGTTTGCAAAGGTTCATGTACATCATCTCATTTGATACTCACAGGTAATAGTACTCCATCTATTTTCCATCAGTATTTTTTGGATTCCACTCTTTCATCGTAACTCCTTTTCCCCCATCCCACCCACTTCTCCAAGGAAAAGTTCATTGCCAGGAAACTCATCATCACAGATATTGCTTCAGCTTTGGTACTATCATGAAATGATGTAGGACCCAAATCCTCATGATTAGATGGAAGGAATATTTTTGTTGTAGGCCACTTCAGTATGAGGAAGAAGGGGTATATGCAGAGTGAGTTAGAATAGGGGTTCTTAGCTTTTGTTGTGTCATAGACCCTTTTGGCAGTCTAATGAAGCCTATGGAAGCCTTCTCAGAATAATGTTTTTAAATGCATAAAATAAAATACACTGTTTTACAATGGAAACTAATAATATTAAAATTACCAATTAAAAAAAATAAGTTTATAGACCCCCCAGCTTGAGAACTTCTGAGCTAGAGGAGCCAGTATTTATCTGATTAACTCATAACTGGGGTATTCAAAGGTATTTCAGATTTGCTTACCCTAAATTAGAGCATCCAGATCCCTTCATGTACCGTAAACAATGGCACATAAGCTAAATGGGTCAGGCAGTGATTGGGCTAGGTCTGAGTAGCTGAACTTGGAGAAAGCTTCAACTCCCTGGACAAAATAAATATGTGAAACTAAAGGCTGGAAGACAAGTGAATGTGCACATTTCTTAGTACCCTTCACGTATGACTATAGCCATATAGTTTGTACATTGTTCAATAAACCCTGTTGTTAGATCAACTTAAGGTGAACAAGGCAGTAACTTTGTTCCTTGAACTTCTGAACCTATGTCTCAGGGGATAAGGGGACTTAGGATCTCCTCTGAGTATATGGTGATATGGTGGTGGTGGTGGTGGTGGTTGTTTATTGTAAATATAATTTTGTGGTTGCCACAGTCAGAGTCATGTATTCACAAAGGACTCATCACTTCAGGCTTCTGTGGAAGAAGGTTGTGGAAGGAGCAGGAGAATAGATAGAGACAAGTCCAAAAAGAAGAAAATTGTGTAATTGGCTTGAAGTAGTTTGGACTAGTGTAGTATACCAGAAATTGAATTTGGGGAGGAGAAATTTGGCAAATTTTGGAAGAAACTGAAGGAAATTTGAAGGAGAGCTATCTCTAGATCCAGTTACTGCTCCGTGGTCTATATCTAGGTTGTAACAGCAGCAAGATCAAGGACACTTTTAAAGATGCCATAAAAGATTAGGGAGGACTAGGAGAGGAACATGAAAAGAAACTCAAGAAGGATAAAAGGTTGGGGAGACAAGGCAAAGAGTAAGAAGAGATAAGTGGAACAAAAACAGGGTTAAATAAATTGGTAGGATGGTTTAATAGGTGGGGCAAATTGGTTGTGTAAAGTGTTAACTTTAAAGTTAAGAACTTTTTAAAGAGTTTTAACCAGATGATTAGGGTTAAGGTGTAAACACCCACAAATAGTTTTAAAAGAAGAAATTATGCAGTGACTTGCATTGAGTGTGTCATGCTTATATTTCTGTCATAGTCTAGTGGCTATTATCAATGTTCTAAATATAGGATGATCTCCCTCCTAGAGGAGGTGAAGGGATTAGAATACTTCTCCACATTCCAGGGTAAGGGACAATACTTAGTTCCTCAAAAAAGTGAAAGTAAAGCTTCAGTGGAGAAAAAGAGTGGAGGAGGACAAACTTGATCTTTATCAGGATAATGGAGAATAGAAGTGTCACACAGAGGGGAAAGGGAAGGGAAAGCCCAATGAGAGCTTAAAAAAAGATCCAAGGTGGCAAAGTTGAACAAAAAATGAAAGATGCCAACTGTTAGAGGAACTTTGGGAAAACAGATATATTAGTGCATTTCTCACAGATCTGTGAATTGGTACAATCATTCTGTAAAGTTACCACATATTTCACCACATAATCGTTGCAGATTTTATGCCAATTTTTTTCTGCAAAAAAAGGGGGGTTCAACCATTATGTGAAGTTCCTTTTAAAAAACTGTGCCAGTATTATTTAAAAATCATTTATTACTAAACTGTCTTTGGTGCAAGATTAGGATGCATGGTATACTCATGAACATACATTAAAATTGAATGACAATGCACATGCACTGAGAAGTCTAGGCTCTAGGCTTGCAATGCCTGACAAGGTAAATGTGTATCCACATGCCACTGGCAAATGCACTGCTGTTCTGTTTACCTTTTAAGTGGCATGACAAACAGAATTATACCATGTGACAATTACACCATGAAAAGTTGTAAACAGGGTGCGATGATTACGTGGTATCTTGAACTACTTGAAAAAGCTACAAAACTGTGTAACCTTTGACCCAATAATAAAACTTCTAGGCCTATACTCAAAGAAGCAAAGAAAGAAGACAATGACCCATATGTTATAAAAATATTCATAGTAATTTTTGTTTTGTAATGGCAAAGAACTATGGGAGTGCCCATGAATTGGAGAGTGGCTGAACAAATTATGGTATTTGAACAAAATGGAAAATTATTGTGCCATAAGAAAAAAAAAAAGCAGATAGTTTCAGAGAAACATGAAAGACTTGTATAAACTGAGTAAAGTGAGTTGAACCAGGAGGACAAGTTACACAATAACAGCTACATTGTAAAGATAAACAACTTTGAAAGATTTAAGAACTCTGATCAATGCAATGATTAACCATGAATGCAGAGGACAAATGAAGAAATACTACCTAAATCCTGATAAAGAGGTGATGGGTTCAAGATGCAGAAAAAGACATACTTTTTTGTGGGCCAAAGAGGTCATTTGTTTTGCTTGATTATGCATATTTGTTAAAAGGGTTTGTTGTTTTGTTGTTTTAAGGAAGAGGAACTAGGAGAGAAATGTTTAATCAAAAGAAATTTTTAATGAATTTGAGGCTTATCCTAAAGAGGAGACAGTTGGATGCTCTGAGAGTAAAACCATGGAAACTATTAAGTGAAAGACCTTCTAGAAGAGTGGTGGTGATCAGCGGTACTGAGACAGCTATTGGTCACTCTGATAACAACAGGAAACTCTGTAACCTTCCACATATCCACAAGATAGCAGAGAACCTCCAAGACTTATCAAAATGAATGAGAACTACCCACCTCTGATGGTTCCCATGGCCACAAATAGCACCTCCAGAAGAAACCTAAAAGAATAGTGCCAACAATTATTAAGTCTTGGGCAAAAAACTGAAGATCACATGGGCACAAGCTGTATATTCCTCACTGTTGCAGTCCCGCTGTACTCTGCTGTCACCAGACTTCATCTGGAATATTGTGTTCGGTTCTAAGCACCACAGTTTAAGAAAGACGTTGATAGCTCCTCCCCACCAAAAAAAAAGACATTGATAAACTGGAGAATTTACAATGACAGCCAAGAGGAAGGGCCTTGAATTTATACTGAGAATCAGTTGGAGGAAAAGGGTATGTTCAGCCTGGAGAAGGTGAGAGTTGGGGGCAGATTGCAATTGTCTTGAAGTATGTGAAGGGCGGTCGTGTAGTGAAAGGACTTGTTCTGCTTCACTGTTCCTAAAGGAGAGAACTAGGAACAATGGGTAGAAATGGAAACAATGGGACAAATTTAGGCTTAAAATTAGGAAAAACCGCCCAGCAGTGTAAGCGAGTGTCTGAAAGAAGAACGGACTGTCAAAACACGAAGGGAGCTGTGCCTCCTTAGAGGCAGAAGTTAACAGCTAGATAACCACTTTCTGGGTACATTATAGCGTATTCCTTTCACGTACAGACTGGGCTACATGGATAAGTCTCCTCCAACTCACAAATTCTGTAAAAATATCAGGAATTCAAATGGAAGGCCATATAAGCGGTGATGAAAACATACATGATGGAAATAGTGGACTTCCACATTTCAATACCATCAATTACATAATATAATCCAGGTATAAGATACTGTCAAAGATATGAATTACAAGTGGGGAGGTCACATGGAAAGTTCAAGGGATAACAGTGCAACATCTGACTGCTGCATTGGTGCCCACATGTCAAGAGACCTAGAAGAAGCCCCCATCATTTGGGTTGGGCCTTGGATAAAGAATTTATGAAAAAGACTTGGACCAAAGTCAAAAAGGAATGTAAGGCACATAGGGGTGATGATCTGAATGGCTGGACAGAGTACTCACATTCATGGGATAAGAGATACAACAAAGTAATAAAATTCCAACCTGTATAAATTGAATCAATAAAAACGTTCAAATAAAGATTTTTTTAAATACGATTGTATCTGAAACTTTAAACATACAGGTAGTTTAAAAATGCTTAAAATGTGTATATTGAAAAGATAACAAAATAATCTTGTTTCTATTCCCCCCCTTTAAATTTTTTATGGATTTTATTGTAACTGTTATATACACAACTTAGCCAAGATCTAAATAGTTTTGGTGGTTCTTTCTTTTCTAAGCATTACTTTATATATCTTATGATACTTCTTTGTGTTCTTCATATTTGTCACTTCTGATACTGCAATAATAGTCCTATATGTTAATACACTAAATTTCCTAATGTACTATGAATAGTTTTGTAGAGATAGGCCTTTCTTTTCCTCTTCCCCCTCAACCCCTTTTCCACCATATATAACATTTCTTAAGGTATAGGTCTGGTACTGGAATGACTAAATCAAAAGATATAAAGTTTTGTAGATATTATGTAATGCTTTCAAAAGGAAGCATCAATTCATGGCTACATGAGCAGTGTTAGAGCGTGCCTTTTCAACACTGAATTTTATCCTTTTAAAACCACCACTGCCAATATTATCAGCTTAGGGGAAGTACATATGAAAATATTTGTTTGGGGTAGCACTAATCTTGTGCTAACTTGTATTTAGTATTTAACAAAGTGATAAACCTTACTGAGGTTTTGCCTAAGACATCATATTCTCAGGGTTACTCTCTGGCATAACGTCGCTGATGTTGGATGATTGATGCCTTGCTACAAAAAGTTTTTCCACACACACTGCACAGATAGGGTTTCTCTCCAGAGTGGGTTTTTTGATGTCGAGTAAGTGATGGAAAGTCAAAGAAGGTTTTTCCACATTCATCACATCCAAAGGACTTCTCTTGAGTATGAATCCTCTGATGTAGAGTAAGGGATGAATGTCTAGCAAAGGCTTTTCCACATTCATCACATTCATAGGGCTTCTCTCCAGTATGAATTCGCTTATGGGAAGTAAGGTAAGAATGGTTCAAGAAGGATTTTCCACATTCCTTACATTTATAAGGCTTTTTTCCCGTATGTGTTAGCAGATGTCGTGTTAGATTACATTTCCAGCTAAAGATTTTCCCACATTCATTACATTCATAGGGACTCTCTCCAGTATGACTTCTCTGATGTTGAGTAATAGATGAGCAGTTAATAGTTTCCCCACATTGTTTGTATTCTTGGCCTTGCCCCTTAATGGTGTTTTGGGGGGGAATAATTAACAGCTGCCTAGAATCTCTTTCATGGGAAAGGAATGTCTCCCACGTCTCCCCTTCAGAGTTTTCCTTCTTCCTGTCCAATGTGCCACCAGGTACTTGAACTCCTCTACGTGCAGAGTCTACTGTTAATGTTCCTGACGATTCCACTTCTTCTGTAATTTTCTGCTTTGGAGTTGACTTCTGGGTCTCATGACTCTTCCAGTCTGAAACCAAGGGAAAACACAACTATAATCTGTTCTCTGTGCTGTTAAAAAAAAAAAAAGTTCCAGTAGAAAGGATAATGAAACTGAAAATAATGCCCCCAAAACATCTAGACAGACAAAATACAGGAAGCAGAAAACAAAAATGGGTTATTGGGCACCTTGCTCATTAAGAAGCTGGAGAAAAGTGACTAGCTCCCTAAGCAAAGTGAGCAGAAAACATGAAATCCAGGACTATGGGAAAAGTCACCAGAGCAACGTGGAGTCTAATGAGTAGGAAGGGCAAAGATTGAATTGTATGATGGAATCCAGAAAAATTAACTTTCGGTCAGTAAGGGAGGTGACGCTAGGAAAAAGCAAATTGAGACAAAGTTCTAGTAGATAGTAAAAGACACATGAAAAGGGAAGAAGAGGAATCACAACTGAGGAAAAGGTGATACTTCGCCCTCGGGAAGAAACAGAGACACAGCTTTCCTGCCTGGGTTGCTCATGACAATAACAACTGTAGTAGACCTTAAGACCATTGAGAACAGTGATCTCTCACCAAACTGCGAGGCTGTACTTCCAGTGATATCTTTATTTCTGGTTCTCAGTCACTCACCCAAAGAAGAATTGTTTGGCAACTCTCTTTCTTCAGCTCTTGGCAGACCAAGTAACCATGGCTCTTTGCCTTGTTCCAACTGGAAGATCACGTCAGGTTTAGATATTGGAAGTCCTATTGGTGGAAAGGAAATGTCAGTATCGGTCAACATTTATATGGATGGCACTGTCACAATGTTATTATAAACCCATGAAGTCAATATGATAGGCATAATTATCCCCACTTCAGAAATGTGGAAACAGACTCATGAAGGCTAAGTGACTTAGCCACAGTCACAGAGTTTTGTCCAAAAACACAGAACTGTCCCAGAAGTCACAAATATAATTCTGATACAGACACACTCATATACACTCATTAACTCTTCACAATATCTTGGTCTTTCTATTCACTTCTGAGCTCTGTGAAATATTTTTATAATTGGTGATGTGGCAGTAGCACTACAATACCAGCAGGGACTGGTTTCATCCAACATTGAGTCCCTCAGCTCTCCATCTGGAGGTAGACACAGTGTTTCACCAGGAGTCCTTTGGAACTGTGGTGAGTCCTTACATTAATCAGAGCTCCAAAGTCTTTTAATATTGACTGATTATTTTAAAAATATGACTGTTTCTGTGTAAATTGCTCTCTTGGTTCTGCTCACTTGTTTGATAGCGTCCATCGAAATTCCTTCTCTATGGTTTTGTTCTTTATTTTGTCAGGTTCAGCTTCCAGGTATTGGGATATCGAGTGCCTAAAAGATCTTGAGAGTACTGGGCCCCAACTGATTTAGGTACTTTCTCCCCCAAAGTTTCCCTCTTCCAGCAGGCTCCATAATATCATTGCTGGGGCCTGTGTTTACAGAGGCCTTCATTTTCTTTAGTCTAGTCACCTCCTTGTCACCAGTCTTAAGTCATGGTACCTTTCTGTAGCACACCCTATCCTCCAATACAGGTTTTAGAATTAAAAATTTCTCTTCTACTTAGGGCATGTCCAAAATACTAAAAAAATAAAAAATTCAACAAAACAAATCACACAGCCATTTTTATCTTTTTAAATTTGAGTTCCCCCCTCCCACCCAGGACTCAGGAAGCTCTATTTTTTTCCTCTGCCTATTGTCCCATATACCGTAGTATTGGCCTGTTGGTTTCACTGTGCACCATAATGCCTACTGGATGTTCTGTTCTCCCATCATTCTGAGTTATTCCAAAGAGCTCTGCCCCATGCCCTTGTTTTCCCACTCTGCCAGTTTTTGACTCAACAGGTGACTCCTCTACTTCCTTTTGAGCCCCTCACCCCCCACCCTTCTAAATCCAAGAACTTCTTGTACCATATACTTGCTCCTCTACTTTTTCTTATTCTAGAGATAGATTTCTTTAAAAAGTCTCTAGCATTCCACCTTTCCCTAAGCAGCAAGACTTCATTGTTACCTTCAGTTATGTCCCAGTGCAGCAAGGTTTCAAAGTAGTTTCTGTAAGTATCTCTTATGTGACCACACTTCAGACACAGTCACAGTGAAATATAAATAACTCCAGGCACATCTCTGTACTCACTCCCATTTAACAGAGGAATGTTTTAAGATGGGGCAGATGCTAGATCACAGGGTGGAAGCCTCTCTTACCCAATGACACGAGGTTTCTATAGTTCTCCAGCATCACATCCTTGTACAGGTCCCTCTGAGCAGGGTTCAGCTGTCCCCACTCCTCCCGGCTAAAGTTCACAGCTACATCCCTGAATGTCACTGATTCCTAAAATACAAAGACAATCTGGCTCAGCCATGGAAGCCACAACCCCAGGGGAAGGGGTAAATTTGAAAACATTTGGAGAGACAGAGGCAATGTTAAGGTGTTCTGGGTACCATGGGGTAAGGGGAAAAAATAAAGGCCAATGACCTAAGGTAGAAGGACACCTTGACTCTGTGTCACTGCGCCTATCACTGGGCCCTACGGAGGAAGAGCCTCGTTAATGAGAGATATTTTTCACACTTCGTGTGGGTAGAGAAGATCCATGAAGAGTATAGAAAGTTGCCATACTCTGGAGATTGTGACAACATTTCAGGGGAGAGAAAAAAACCCAATTCACCTGGTACCTGACTGCCAGGAACATTGGCATTATTCCCTCCTCTTCTGTCCTTTTTCTCTTACAAAAAGACAGAGTCCTGAGAACTGGGGGCTGGGAAAAAAAAAAAGAGACATTGAGGGAGTATGGTCTTGTTTTATGATGATTCCATAAGCTACTTATGAGAATCATTTTTCGTTATCTCTTAGTAAAATATCTCATACGTTATACTTTATCTATGTCACCTTGGTAAGGTCCCATGAAATAAGAGAAGGAAAAGTATGCAAAATAGTAACATGTGACAGGCTTTTAATGGTAAGGAATTCTAGCTATTGCTCATTTCATTTCACAGATATAAAGATAGAAGACAGAAAGGGAAGAAACCTCTAAAGAGATTTCCCTGGGTTTTTGGAGTGCAGGACAATGAATGGATTATGCTCTTAACAGAAGCAGCCTGTTCTTTCTCAGGCTTTACCTTTCTTCCTATGTTTACACACAGTGGGCTAAATCTCAGCTGAGCAACTCAGAGGTTCCACAACTACTACTAATCTTCTCTGATAGATGCCAGAGCATCTATCAGAAGTCTTCCCCTTCTGTATCAGTGACAATAGGCCTTGCCTGGCTCCCATCTTTATGAGGCCCCCTTAGCTCAGCCATCCTTGGCAAGATGATAATTTACAACCAGGTCACCTTATAGCTGCACACATGAAGGAAAGATGGTGTTATAAAATAAGCCACTCTTCCCCTCTGTGGCTCCAACCAGTGCAGGGATGATCTCCACTGAGTAATGGGTTGAAAGATTTTTCCTTCAGTGAAAATGAAAGGAGAAGAGAAGATATGATATAGAATCCCTATGAGGCAAAAATTGGGAAAATCAAATTGATTCTGTTACTGATTCCATTCTGTATCACTACCAACATTTCTGTAACTGCCTAAGTCATATTTCATTTGTCTCGGAGCCAAATCTGGAAATTCAACATTCCTGGAAATGACTCATTTTCTCTGAGTTAATTGTAGAAGTTCAGTTCTCCTGCTAATCACTGTTCCATTCTTGCCTCCAGGAAATCTGCTATCCTTGAAGGATGCAGGTGAACACCAGGGAGTCTGATTAACTGCGTCTAAACTGTACTTGCAGGTGGACTCAAACATGAACATTTCTTAGAGACAGGCTGGAAGGAGTTGTTGTTGCTAGCTGCTCATTCTTAATTTCCAGCCAATCACACTGTTCCTCATGCCTGTGATGCTTCAGACTGTGCAACAAATCATATGGTTTTCTTCATCTATGATGCAACAAGCTTTGTAACCAATCATGAGAAAAACATTTCCCATTTATGATGCTGCTTTCTAGTTTTTGGATGCTCCTCATTTTGTCTGTAAAATATCTGTTTGCCCTTATTTGGGGTCTTCTGGCTTGCTGAGGAGCTAAAGACCCCTTTAATTGGTAATTGCTAGACTTATCGGTAAATTGAACTTGCTTGGAAGTTTGCGACTGTTTACCTTAATTTCAATAGTAACAGATGAATGTTCAAATACACTCACTCAGTAAGAACAGGGAAAAGCCATGATCTAGTTTTGGTCCTTTTCTTTTCCCCAGGTCTCAATTTTTTTTTTTACCCATTCTCATCTCTATTTGGTAGGGGTCAAATTTTTACCATTCTCACCTCTATTTGGTAAAGACCTTTGGGTCAAATTCTCCACCTTCTCACTGTTCTCTAGACATCATGCTTCCAATCCAACTCCTTGGGCATGACGGTCAGAAATTACCCTGGTACTGGAAGAACGGATTTTTCTTTGCATGAATCTCTAGCTTCAAACATGGACATCCCATCTCCTGCAGTAGGTCCGATGTCTGTCCAGGCCTTGATCCCTCCTGGTATTGAAACTACCTGAAGGTCCATCAAATGTGTCTTCTTGATTGTATTTTTAAGATGAATGGAATTCTCTTCAGGAACCCAAGTTTTCCCTGTAGAGCAAGGAATTAAGGAATCTGGAGATCAACAAAGGATCAGGCTCTTGCCCAAATGGACTTTTGGGTAATTAGGGGATGGGGGAAGAGAATACAAATATTTTTCTCCCTGACACAGCACAAATCCTCTGGAGACACAAAGGCTGGATCATGAGTTTCTATCAAGGACTGATAAAGTGATAAAGGGGGAAAAATCAACATTAAGGAAGTATAAACCATAGATGCTTGGTTACAGCCTCAAGGAACTGCATGTAGAGAAAGTCAAAGATCCAAAATACAGAAATCATCTACTCTATGAGAATAAGGAAGCAATGCAGCACTACTGTTTGGCAAGCATAGAGTTCCAATAAGATCTTTTTTTTTTCGAGGCAATTGGGGTTATGTGACTTTCCCAAGCTAGTGAGTGTCTGAGTCAGGTTCTCCTGACTCCAGAGCTGGTGCTCTATCTACTGTACCACCTAGCTGCCCCCACTTGGATCTTTTGGAAGCAAAACATTAGGGTCTCAAATTTGTAGAAAACTGAAATTAAGAAATGCCTGTGATTAACTACATTTTTCAACATGACATTTAAAAGCTACTAGTTGATTAAAATAAAAATCTATCTGCTTATATTAACATATATTATATTTTAAAACATTAGCATTTTAATATATATGACAAGATGAAATTAGCTTATTCTCGTAAAACTACTATGTATCTTTGATAAATACTGCTCCTAAGTTGTCATTTTAATGGTGTAAAACCCCAGCTTGACAGTAGGTACTGCCTTTTGCCTTTCTTTGTATCCTCTAGCTCGGGACACAAAGTGCTTAGACCATAGGAGGTGCTTAACAAATGTTTATTGACCTACAACAATATATGGTGATTTATAAGGTAATAAGGTAGAATTTTCTAGCTTTGTCCATAAGGACTTTTCACAAGAGTTTATAAGATCCAGACTTGTGTCAAACTGGTACAGTTGGCTAATAGAAAGGAATCTCTAAAAGGCAACAATTCTCCAAACCATTGTTTGAATATTCAATAATTAAAAAATTTCTACTAGATCTGATCACTAAAAATAAAAAGACCATATACTTACACAGATATATGCACATATATTAAATATACAAAAAGAGATGCTCATTGCCTTTCATTCTAAGCAGTTGACAAATTAAATCCCCCTGCCCTGACAGATTTAGTTCAAATACTGAGATATACATGTTCTTTAAACCCCCAGTTTCATTACCCTTTATACCTTCATTTTCTATGGATGAATTTATAGATGAGATCATCCAGTTGCAATTCACCAGATTACCATTTTACCACATAGAAAGTGTATCTCTACTTTCAAACTTTCCTTTGGTCTGTGAGGAAGAGGTAATTGTTCAAGATATGTTTTTATTGGTGTCTGGCGCCTTTACTTCAGTCACTTCTAGGGAAAACAATGTTCTCTTTTTCAAAGCCAGCCTCCCTAGATCTGAATTTCATCATCTTCCACGTCCTCTAACATCCAAGTCCCAAAATAATCATCACCAACCTTTGCATCTCCAATCTCTTCTTCTGTACTTTCACTCCTATGTGTAAACTTGATTACCAAACTTTTTATTTGTCCCTAATAAACTTCACCTTATTATATTTAGTTCTGGCCTGTTAGGATTTTTTTATCTTGACTCAGATTCAAAGTTAGTTATCCTTACTATTTTTGGTGTCATATGCAAGTTTGACACACATAATTTATGCTTTTATTCAAGAAATGAAGCAGCATGATATTCACTGTCCTGGTAGAAAGGACTTTAGATTTGGAGCCAGAGAACTTCAATTTAAATTCTGGTTTTTTAATTGATTACATGTGTGATTTTGGGCAAATCACTTAACTTTCCTGGGCTTCAATATCCTCACTTATAAAGTGAAGGAGATAGACTAGATGACCTCTGAGGTTCTTTCAAACTATAAATCTATGATCCCACAAATGATTAAAATGTTAACTGGCATAAGCCAAGTGAAAATCCTGGGGCACTCCACTAGAGACCTCCTTCCAAGCCAAACTCTCATTATTCTTTATACCTGACCCTTTGATGAACACTAACATTATATTATCCAGTCCTTACTTATCTATTTTGTCCACAAGCATAATATACAGGGTCTTTGCCAAAAGCTTTGCCAAAATTAAGTAAATGATATCTTCAATACTCCTTTGATCTATCTGTCTAAATTAATTTATTCAAAAGAGAAAATGTGCTTATTATGGCATGAATTTATCTATGTAGGGGAATTAGGAAAGGCTTCAAGGTGGCATTTAAGCTAGGCCTTGAAGGAAAGACTTTTCCTGGTTGTTGTTCTTAGCTCTAGGGAGAGTCACTTGCGCTCCCCCCCCTTCCCCCGGGGCCCTTTCCTTCTCTCACTCCTACCTGTGGCCATATCACAAGGTTCTCTCTCTGCCTCCTCCACTTTTCTCCAAGTACAATTTCTATGGTTCTCTCACAGCTTCAATTATACTTTCCATGTTAAAGACTTCTAAATAATCTATATGCTCAACTCTAAACTCTCCAGGATAAAGAGAATTCTTCTGGGGGCCACCATGGTAAGGAAGAAACATGACCAAAGCATTTGGTTAGATATGAGTTCAGGGATATAGTACAGCAAGTACAGGGACAGAGATAAAAAGCCATCTCTATGAGTGGAGGAGATCATAAAGGAAGAAAGTATAAGATGAGGTTGAAGGCAAAAGCCTCTGTAGGGGAACAGAAGGAGGGACAGGGGCCACAGAAGTGATCGGAGAGGTAGGAGGTGAACCAGGACAGTGAATATCATGAGAGAAAGTCAAGAGAGTAGAAATTTTCTAGCAGTGGTTGGTCACAAGTGTCACATGGTGAGAGACCTCAAGTAGAAAGGGAAGTGAGTAAGAAAAGGACCACTGTCCTTGGGAAGTAGGAGGTATTTTTCCCAGACTTACTGGTACAGTTATTTTCACTATTTTATTACTAAACAGTCTTCCTTATTACTAAATTACTTAGTTTTACTTATTAGTAAATAGTCTTAATTCAGTTAACAAATAAGCAGAGCACCTTGTGACAGCTGTGTTCATTTAAATGTGTGTGGGGTAGCCAGTTCATTAATACATTACTAATACCAGGACCACCTCTCAGGAGATGTCAGTGACCATGCATGAGGACAGTGTTGACATTGTCTAGACAGAAAATTTTAGAGCCACTGCCAGACTTTATAAGCAATTTCTAAAACTGATTAATAGGAAACTGTCATAGGTGGGCAGACTTTTGATTGGAAGCCGTGAGAGGCAATGGGGGGAAGTGGAAAAGCCCTGGATTTTGAATCAGAAGCTTAAAGATTTAGGAGCTGTTTGATATGGGCAAGTTAATTTTGCCTCTCTAGGCCTGTTTTCTCCTCTGTAAAATTCTGTGGTTCAACTCATGGCACCATACACTGGAAACACCACCGAATTTATAGTCATAAGACCTGGTTCAAACCCCAACGCTGCACCTTACCACCTGATTAATATTGTTCAAGTCATTTAACCTGTCTAGGCCTCAGTTTCCTCATTTGTAATATTACAGGGCTGGAATCGATGACTTTACACGTTCCCTTCTGCCTCTTAATGTGGGAACCTACAATTTCCAAAGTCCCTTCCAAATCTGATAGTTTCTTACATTAATTAAAAGCACATTCTGACGGCTTTTGTTCTTCCCCCCATCTGTACCGACCACCACTTCAAGTCTCTCTCCTCCCGCCCCAACCAGAGAGGCATGACTTAGTACTTTTTTACAGAGTAATACAGGTGTTGCTTGGAAAAGTCCCCGACCTGAACGAACCTCAAAGTACATTCATGTCCTCGGCTCCAAACAAGCTTTCGTGAAGGGGGGGGGGGACAGAGGGATTTTACGTCCCTCTTGCACCCTCCCCTCAGCACTTACGAACCTTCCCCTCCTCCCCACCCCCAAAACAGGGGCTGGGCTTTTCTTCGGAAAAGGCGAGAGTCTTCGTCCCATGGGGCAGACTGCTATAGGAGTCTGAAAACATAGGTGCAAAGCCAGCTATGCCTCGGATCCCGAGAGGACACCCCATCCCCTGCCCCCCACCTGCCCTGTGTCTGCTGACCCCTCTTTCCTCAGTCCACACACGGGGAAACACATAACGCATACGGACATATGAACAGACAATAGGAACACACACACAGACACGCTTGCACGCGCTTACACTTTTACTTCAGGCCCACCGAAGCCTGTTCGCAGAAGTCCTGGTCTCCAGGGCCCACTCTGAACGACGCCTGCGCACACGCTAACGACCCGCGCGGACTCTACTTCCCAGCAGCCTCAGCAAGTTTCGTGACCTAGATTCCTAAAGGTTGTAAGGGCGTTGAACCACTCAATGTCGAAAGGTCTTCTGGGAAATTGAGTCCGAGTCTTCGTGCCCCCGGGACTCTAGTTTCTCTGGGAAATGTAGTCTTGGATTTCCGTCTGCGCAGGCTCAGAGAGGGTCCTGGGCAGAGGCAGCTACTTGGAGCCAGAGAGTGTGAGAGCGGTAAGGAGAACCTCTGCCAGGTGCCGGGGAGAAAGAGCGAGATTGGAGGGGAGGCATTGGGGGGGAAACAGGGGGAACAAAGACTCAGTCACCATGGTAACTGCCATCTGCGTCCAGCGTCCTCTTGAGTTTGTTTCTGGAGCTGTCCTCCTGCTGAGAACGGCTGCTGCTGTCCTGTCGTCTGGTCCACCCCTGGCATTTACAGATGGGGAAACTGAGGCCCAGAGATAGCTAGAGGGGAAGCGACTAGCAGAAGGACTTACAGTTAGTCATCTGCAGAATCCGGACCTGAAGCTGGGACAGGCCCCAGGTTGCCCAAGGAAGGGGAGAAGCCTGGAGTCCCTTGGGGCCATGACCTCTTCCACCCTTAGATTCTTTAAAAAAAAAAAAAGTAACATTTTTCCTTTTATTTTCTGAACTTTGAAAAAAACACCAAATAAAACGAGCATTTCCATATACATTGTAATAGAGATAATTATAGGAGAAACTGAAACTATCATGTAGCCACACTACTATTTTTTCTGAACTTCCTCACTCCTTATCCCAGAACAACACCCACACACCTCTGCTTTGGCCTTGTGCTCTTTGACATTTTTATCAAATACTTAAATAAGGGCACAGGAGGCATGCTTACCAAATGTCCAAGTAACACAAACCTGAGAGGGACAGCCAACATGTCAGGATCAGAAAAAAAATATGGATAGGCTAGATTGACACTGGGTTGAGCCTAGTAAAATGAAATTTAATAGGACCGGTCTTAGAGTTTCAAAAAATTAATTTTACCAATATAAGATGGGAGACATATGGCTAGACAAAAGTTTGCATGTAAGATATCTAGAGATTTTAGTGGAATGCAAGCTCAATATGAGGCAATGGTGTAATAACAGCAGTCAAAAAAATTAATATGATCTTGGTCTGCATTGTGAGAAGCATAGTGTCCAAGATCAGAGATTTGATAGCCCTACTACACTCTGGCTCAGGTCAGATGATCAGAATACTATCTTCAGTTCTAAATGACACATTTTTGGAAGAATATTGATAAGGTGGAGATTATCCAGAGGAATAAAGCAAAGGACCATTCCATATGAGAATGATGTAGCTAGAGGAACTGGTGATGTTTGGTCTGAGGAAGACTTAAGGAAGACAAAATAGCTGTTGGTTCTTAAGTATTTGAAAAGTTGTCAATTAGAAGAGAGATTAAATTTGCTCTGTTTGGCCCCGATGGCCAAACTAGGAGGAATGAGTGGAAGATGCAATGGTAGATTTAGACTTGATGTCAGGAAAAAATTCTTAATAATTAAAATTCTCCAAAAGTTGAATTCATTACCTCAGGACCTAGGTGAGTCTCCCTCTTGACAGCTCTTCAAGCAAATGTTGGATGATCCGTGGCTGAGAAATGTGGTAAGGAGATTCTTATTCCTTTACTGGTTAGACTAGATAGACTGAGGTTCTGTCCATCTCGTAAGATTCTGTAATACTATGAGCAGTTGGGCACAGTGGTGACTGGTTAGATCAATAAGACAGCAGTGTGTAAGGCAGACTGCATGGGAGCACTTTAAAACAGGAAGACCGCTTAGGAAGTTAAAGTAGGTTGGACATGGAAGAGGAGACCTGATTTTGGATCCCACCTTAGATTCTAGAGTGTGACTCCAGGTAAGAGTATGTCACCTTTAAGAACTTGTTTCCCTATCTGTAAAATGGGAAGCAGTGGTCATGCACAAGCCACCCCACAGGGTTGTTATAAGGGAAACATTTTAGGTGAACCTTAAGTGTTCTAAAACTGTGAGCTACTATTTTGTATTAATGCTGCAGAAGATCAAGAATGAAGTGATAAAGGCCTTAACTAGGTAGGGATCAGTGGAAAGAGAAAAGAAGAGGCGAGTATGAAAGAAATTAAAAATAAAGGGGACTGATCTCAGGAGTCTCCTTGATAGAACCTGATGTCTTTCCTGGGTGGGGAGCCTTTGCTTGAGAACTCTGACTGTGGCTCTCCATGGAGGGCATGGACATGCCCACTGGTACTCCTGGATCTATTTGGGCTTCATTTAAGTGACTGAGGCTCAACAATTGGGAATGACATGATTGGTTCGTTGGAGTCATCCCTTTGTACAGGATCAAAAACAAAACAAAAAGTGGTCAGTGGCAGTTAGCCTTAGCTGCTAGATTCTGAAAAAGCAACAAAGAAAGGATCTGTGGTCCAGGGAACATTCCTTGCACTCTGCCAACCATAGGAATTGCAGATGGCTACTTTGGGGCAGAGGCATTTGGTAATTCCATGTGACCTGAGAGGACATTTACTGGACTTGAAACTCCTGGTCCAAACCATAGAAACACACTGGTATAATCTTTCAGTCCACTAGACAGAAGCTATGGCAAAGGAAACCATGTAGCCAAATGACTGTAATCCTAACTACAGGGAAAGCTGAGGCTGGTAGACCTTTTGAGCTCAGAGTTCTGAGATGCATCGGGCTATGCAAATCAAGTGAACTATATCTGGAAACAACTCGGTGAGATCTCTGGGACAGGGGGCCACCAGGTTGCCTAAGGAGAAACATATTGGCCAAGACTGGAAACAAGGAAGGTCAAAACTCCCAGACTGAGCAGTAGTAGGATCAGGCCAGTGAGTGGTCCCTGCACATCCAGCCTGGGTGAAAGGAGAATTAGTCTTAAAAAAAAACAAACAAAAACAGAAACAGAGAATGGAGTAGGTATTTCCTGAGTAGTACTCGAGTTTGGGATAGAAGACCGTGAACTTCTTTAACTATCAGCAGCAGCTGATTAAACAAGGGAATAAACCCATGGCGTCGGGAAGGGAAAAATCCCCAAACAACAAAAAAAAATCATGGTGTAGAGGGCCGGCTCTGGGGAGTTGGAGGGCCTAGGCCAGCCTGGTTCTTACTTGTAGTTTGTACTAAGCCCGACAGCTGTGAAACTCAGGATGTCAGCTCACCATCCCCCTGTTCCGTCTCTTGGTCTCTTGAGAACATGATGCAGGAAGGGAGGAAACGGACAGGGTACAGGACAGGACACAGGAAAGAAAGTAACAGACAAGGTACAAGAAAGTAAGGAAATCACTTAATTAGGTTTGCGCTTTTCATGGAAAATAATGTTACTATTGCTTGATCCAGTACTATATAAACCTGAGCCCTTCAGATCAATAAACAAAGTTTGTTCTTCACATCTTCCACTTGGCCCGTGATTCTTTCTCTCTTCACACTCTAACGGCATCAGACCACAGCCGCAGACACAGGCACTCACAGCATCATGGGTTTTATCTTCTATTATTACTATGAATTTTCTTTCAGATAGTACATGTTGGATAGGATTATATTTTCTACTCCCAAGAGCATTTCCCATGTAGAAGAGGCCAAACATTTAGAATAGTATCATAAAGCTAAAAAGTCTTCATGAATTCCTCTGGCTAAAAAAAAAAACCAAAAACCAAAAAAAAACAACTAAATGGCTAAAATGAAATCCAGTGCCAATCCTATATTCAAAGATTTTCAATTCTGATGTAAGACCTGCTAGAGCCTATACTTAAGCAACCTTAAAAAAAACCCAGGGTAACCTACACACCAAAATAAGGCAGCAGAGTAGTCAGTCAATTAGCATTTATTAAGTGCCTACCAAGTGGCAGACACTATATTAAACACTGGGGATACAAAGAAAGGCAAAAACAAAACAAACAAACAAAAAAAACCAGAACCTGTTCTCTAGGAGCTCACAGTCTAATGAGAAGGACCTTATTGGAGGATGCACGCTATGTTTTGCCTTTTCAATGTGTTGAACCTGTTAACTTCTGCTGACATCTCAATTCTTTTGAGCAGCAATCTGACCCCTATTTTCAGTATTTTAGATAAAAAAATTTTTGTAATCTTTCCTGAAATATTTTGATCAGCCTCAGAATATATCTATTTTCACAGAATTTTCAAGAACCCAATAGTTTTTGATTTGTTTCCATGATCTCGTCTTGGTCCTTCTCCTTTGCTGGCAAAGCTTCCAGAACTTTTCGAGTTGAGTAATTCTGGGTTTGGTTTTTTGGTTTGTTTGGGTATTGTTTCAGCTATTCTGTCCTGAAGTAAAATCATTTTTGTGAGAGACATACTCTAGAATCTAAAGTTGGATCCAAAAATCAGGTCTCCTGTTTCAGTGGCCAACCTACTTTAACTTCCTAAGTGGTCTTCCTGTCTTACAAGTTTTCCCATTAAGTCTGCCTTGCACACTGCTGTCAATTTGTGAGGGACACTGTTCTACTTATGTTCTCCATTGATATTTCCAAGCTAGTCATTATTCCTGGGAATACTTAGTGGCTTTTAGTTTCTTCTTTAAAAATAATTTCATGTTTATATTACACTTTGATGTATCATAGTAATTTCAGCTTTGTTTCTGAGGCTACAGACAGCATTATATAATTTTCTTTTTTCATTTTGGCTTCATCTCCTCTGAATCCATAACTTTTATTCAACTTGTTCGAAGTTTACTTGTAGTGTGTCTTTTTTTAAAAACTATGTTCTTTTCAGGGTTTCTAGACTACTGCATCTATTATTGGTATTTCTACTGATGTTTTTTAGGGGAGTATTGAGGAGATAGATTCCCCTTCAACTTTTAACTCCTCAATCTTCCTGCACATCCCCAACTCATATATTTGTGTATTCGATGTGTTGTACATTAACAGATTTAAGTAGGTATGTAAGGCAGGGTATCCTAAAAGTCACATTTTTGTATGGGAGTATCTGAGGTCAGATTCATATAGTACACATAGATGACACACCCAACAAGTTCGGTAGCTAAAAAAGAAAACAAAAATTAACCAGAAAGGGAAGTAGATAAGAGATTTAAAATAAAATCAATTTTTAACCTTTGTGGGGTTTATTGTCCATACTCTGATTCTTTTGATTTAACATACTGACAAGTCTGATTGAAGTTTTGCCCAAGATCATTATATTCTCAGGATTTTTCTCTGGCATACCATCTTTGATGCTGCTACAAAAAGTTTTCCCCCACATACTTTATAGATAAAATTTCTCTCTAGCTGAGGTCCTTTGATATAGAGAAACAGATGAATGTCTAGATATTTTCCCACATTCACAGAGCTTTTTTTCCAGTACAAATTTTCATGAATGGTAAGGGATGAAGAATTAAGGAAGTATTTTCCACATTTATTATGTTTTTACAGATTTTCTACTGTGTGAGTCATCCTATGCCTCATAATGCCAGTTCTATGTTGGAAAGCTTTCCCACATTCACTGCATTTATAAAGTTTTTCTCCAGTATGAATTCTCTCATGTTCAGTGAGGGACAAATGTTTAGAGAAGGCTTTCCCACATTTATCACATTCATAGGGCTTCTCTTCAGTATGAATTCTCTGATGTAGAGAAAGAGATGAATATCTAGCAAAAGCTTTCTCACATTTATCACATTCATAGGGCCTCTCTCCAGTATGAGTTCTCTTATGAACACCAAGGGATGAGGGATTTAAGAACGGTTTCCCACATTCACTACATTTATAGGGACTTTCTCCTGTGTGAATCAGCTGATGTCTCATAAGGCCACTTCTATGTCCAAAAGTTTGCCCATGTTCATCACATTCATAAGGCTTTCTCTCCAGTATGAATTCTCTCATGTTCAGTAAGAGACGAATGTTTAGAGAAAGCTTTTCCACATTCACATTTATATGGCTTTTCTCCAGTATGAATTCGCCTATGTATAGTAAGATATGAATGGTTCAAGAAGGCTTTCCCACAATCTTTACATACATAAGGTTTCTCTCCAGTATGTGCTAGCTGGTGTCGTAAAGATTACATTTCCAAGTAAACAGTTTCCCACATTCCTTACATTCAAAGAAACTCCCTACTGTGTTCAGTAAGACATGAGCAGTCAAAAAAGGATTTCCCACATGTGTGACATTCATGGCCTCTATCATTAGTAGGGTTTTGTTGGTAGGTGATTAACACTTGACTGGAATCTCTTTCATGAGAAAGGGATGTTTCCCATGTCTTGCCTTTAGAGTTTTCTTTCTTTCTATCCAATGTGCATTCAGGTACACAGACTCCACCAATTGCAAGGTCTAAAGGAACCATTACTATCCCTGGTGATTCTATTTCTTCAGAAATGTTTAACTTTAGAGATGACTTGCGATGCTCAGGTTGACTCTCCCAGTCTAAAACCGAGGAAAAAGATAAATAACAATTATTTGTGTGGGAAGAAAGGAAAAGGCTATCGTTAAAAGAAAATAATGAAACTGAAAGCCATGTCAATGAGACATACAGGTAGTTCTCAAAAACACACATGTAATTTAGAGAGAACCATAGGATCAAAGATTTAGAGACAGAAGGCAACTTAGATCATTGAATCTAAACTCTTCATTTTATAGGAGAATTATATGCTCAAGTTAGAAAACTAGTTAATAAGTGTCTGAAGTAGGATTCAAAACCAGGTCTTCCTGACTCCAATTCCAAAGCTCTATCTACTATGCCAAGCTGCCTCTCATTAAGGAAACTAGCTCACTAAGTAAGCTGATTAGAGGACCCATCCAAAAGTGTGATAAGGTTCAAAAGAGAAATAAGTTATATGGAGGAAATGCTGATGAGTAGGAAGTTAAGGAATGAATAGGAAAGAAGATGGCATTTGGGAGAATTAACTTTTAATGAACAGGGAATGATCATCCTCGGAAAGGATAAGGAAGGAAGAAGAGCTGGTAGGTGGTAAAGGATACACGTGAAAAGGGAAGAAGATTCATAACTGAAGAAAAAGTGATACTTCACTTTAGGAAAAAAAGGAAAGCCAGCTTCCTGTTCTGGGCTGTTAATGGCAATAACATTGGCGGCAGGTCTTGAGACCTCTGAAAATAGCCCCTTTTCACCAAACTGCTAAGCTGCACTTCCAGTGATTTCTGTATTTCTGATTCATAATCATTCACCTGAAGAATTTTTTGGCAACTCTTGTTCTTTAATTCTTGGCAGATTAAGAATCCGCAGCTCTTTGCCTTGTTCTAAGTGGAAGATCACTTCAGGTTTAGATATGGAAAACCTTGTTTTGGAGGAAAGAAATACTAATATTAGCCAATATTTATATGACATTTTAATCTTTGCAAATGCTTTGCATATACTGTCATCAACCCTCTGAGACAGATACTACGGGCATTATTATCTCCATCTTCCAGTCAAAGAAATTGCTTTAGAGAGATTATGACCGTCCTTCTCATAATAAGAACAAAGAATTGTCTTAGAAGTCACTAGTCTTCACAGACCCATTCATACACAGATTTATTAGCACCTTATAACTTGCTGGTCTTTCCACTCACTCCTAACACTTTGTGTGCAACACTTTCATACTTATTGTGATGGAGAGAACATTTCATTTCCCAGTAGGAAAATCTCTCTAGACCACCGCATACTGAAAAGATTCTCATTATCAGACTCTGAGGCACCTCTAATCCCCCCGGCTTGGCTGCCTTCACACTGATTGATAAATCTTACAAGGAAATATCTTCCACGTCCCCTGTATGACTCTAAACATTGGGCTATAAGCCACAGTGTGGTTATTTATGTTGACCTGAGAATTTAGACAGTTCTCAGGAAAAGATGTGCTCTGGGAACCTGGCCAGTTCATCAGAACATATCAAGTTAATTAATATTCTAAGATGTTTTGCTTGCTCCAAGAACTTGGCCAGTTCCTGGACCAAGTGAAAACATCTACTAGAATCACAGACACCTCTGGCACAGGGCCTTGTTTGTTAGAGGCCCTATTTAAATCCTAATTGAGAAAGCCATCTTTGGATTCTCACTCATGGAGAGGATGCTCTGCCTGGGACCTTCCCAATAAGGACCCTGAGAGCTGTACCCTGGGAACACCCAGCTTGGCCTTCAGGTGTTGGTGCTTCCCCGAATTGGTGATGTTTTCTTATATTATTGCTATCCTTTGTATTCTTAGCCTGACTATAGTCATATTGCTAATTGTATATTGCTATAAATCTAGCTTTTCTATACCTACATTATAATCTTAATTAAAGCTACCTTCACTTCTCTCTCTAGGAGTGTCTCTTATTGTAGAAGTGAATCTGAACCACATTTTTCTTCCTTAATCACACACACATTCACAGAGGCTCTCAGATTTTTATCTGTGTTGGGGTGACAGCCCCACAGTCACAGAGTTCCAACACAGAATTCATTCTTTCCCCTTCCATGCATACACCCATTCTTAGCTCTTGTACCAACTCTCCATTCTCTTTTTAACCTCTTGAAAACAAAGAATCCTATTTCTAATTTCTTCATGACTAAATGCATGTTGCCTATTCTTACTGTTTAAGTAAGGGAACATTCTGACTGCTTGCTTAAAAACTGAGGGTGGAGTGATAATCGAAGATAGATATGCATACTAACCCTTTCCCCTCCCCTAAGTATTTGGTTGCTTTACCCTGGCAATGTCTATTCTAACTCTTTGCCCTCAAAAGCAGCGAATGAAAACACAGACTCATATAATGTTAGATTTGGAATGTTACAGATCACTGAGTTCAAACCCCGCCCCCCATCATAGAGGTAAAGGAAGGTGAAACCCAGGGAAGTGAACTGACTTGCTCACGATCATATCGCTAATAAGTGACAACGCTGAGACTTGAACCCAAGTATCTGGACTCTTCTTTTGAGAAGACCAAGATGCCTCCTTTTCCACAAAGGAAATGACAGGAAAATCCAGAGGAAAGGAAGGGATTTCTGAAGGAGGTTCATGTTTTGTATTTCCAGAAAACAATTATTTGCATTGAGATCTTGCATGAAAGGTTTTGACCTGCAAAAGCAAAGGACAAAGAAGATACAGCCTTAAGACCAGAACCATGAAATTCTGTTTTCAATTCTATGAAGTATAGAACTTTCACCTTGTATTGGAGCTGAAATGCCCTTTCTTAGTCTTAATGATATCAGAATCCTTTGGTCAGAACCATAAACCAATGAGCAATTCAGAGGTTTGATAGCTATTATCAATTCTCTTTGATAGACCAGTGCCATAGAAATGGCAGACCCTTCCACATCTGTACCACTGATACCACCAGTCCTTGCCTGGCTCCCTTCTTTTTATGAAGCCTCTTCAGCTCAGCCATCCATGGCAATATGATAGTTAACCACTGTTACCATGTCACCTTATAGCTATATGATTTTGGGAGAAAGGTGGTAGTATAAAATAATCCACTCCTTTCATATTTGGAAACAGCAAGTAATGGATTGAAGGGGGGTTGCTATCTGTTCACAATAGGTCAAGAAAACTTTGAGTCCAAATCCCATCTCCAGTGAGTCAGTCAAACAATAAGTATTTATTAAGCCCCTACTATATGCCATGGCTTATGCTAGGTGCTACAGATACTAAGAAAAAGAGAAGAGACAGTGCAAGCTCACAAGAAGCTTACAACACATACATACATTATCGATTTCAGCTAGAGTCTATTGTGCTTAAAGGGGAGTAATGTGCAACAAAACTAGAAAGGTATGTTGCCCGCAACCAGATGGTACACCGAACGGAGAGGCGTGAAATAACTTATGACATGGGCCAGGCGGAGTAGAATTACTGACTCAGTTTATTCATCTGAGGGCACAGAATATATAGGGAAGATCTAGCCTAACTTCAAAGAGTCCTCCCTGTGAGATACTCCCCAGAACATCTGCTGAGGATGTAACAATCATGAATTTCCTCCTTATCAGGGTTCCTAGATTGGGCTGTAGATTCCAAGGTTTTCCCAGGTGCCTAGGCGCCACCTGCATAAAGGAGTAAATATGTAAACCTAAGGTTCAAAGAGAGAGAAGGGATGTCTCAGAGACCTCTTTATCAGGAAGGAATTTGGGGAGCCGTACCACTTAATCCTTGAGCCCTTTGGGGTGAAAGCCTGAGCAGAGGTCAAACTCTGCCTTGGATCTTAAACCCTTATCAGACTCTTAAGATCGGCCCTCAACAAGGTAGGTTAGGGCTTAGTAATGAAGGTCTTAAATGCCAAACAGAGGGGTTTATATTAGATCCTAGAGGGATTCCCATAATCCTAGAAAAAAGACTTGCTCTAGGTCATAAAGTAGAAGAATTGGGATTTGACTCCAGATCTTCTGGTTTGAAATCCAGTGCTCTTTCCAAGTTGCCAAGTTGTCTACCCCAGCTAAGTCTCTTTCACATTTGAATCAGGATTCTTTAATTTGACACTGTTGGTGCAAAAAAAATAAAACCAAAATACAAAGAAGTAATTCCATCTCTTCCCCTATCCCTTCCCCTCCTCCCCAGCCTTCCTGAAGGATAATCATTCCTTCACCTGTACATACCCCCTGTCTGGAGTCCAGGGTGATGCCATGTCAGTAGTCCTCTCCAGTGATGTGGATGCCTGTTGCACAGATGCCATTAATGCCTTATCCTCAGAGATGCTGTAGGTCCACTCAAAGACTGTTCTCTTCACCTCAGGCTTGAAAACCACTTTCTGAGTTTTATCTTTACCTTGGTAGATAGGTTATCATCTTCCAAAATTTTTAGCTTTTATAAAAGATTGTCTTTTTAATGACTCTGTGGAAGATTCAGAATTCAAAAGCTTCAAAATAGCATTGACTTGGTTCCCTTCCCTGAGGAAACCCATCAGCAGCCTCCAGACTCTCAGGGTTGAGGCACTACTGAGGAGAATTGGAAGACAGCTCACCTCTGAAAGAATCCGGTCATGCAGACTGGATCAATGGAATGGCCTTCTTTTTTGAATGTAGTCAGACACTCTTGATTCAAAGCTGATTTCCTCACTTCCACAATTTACAATAAGATACTGCTTCAGCCACTGTGATGAATAGGCTTGAATCCTATCAAGTAGGCATATAAATAGTAGTATCCAAACTGATTTGACAGGAAGTAGTAGACAGGGCTTCAAAAGGTCTTTTGGGAGTCTTTACTCTTGACAGTGAACTGACTTTGCTCTTTCCTTTTCTGGAGGTCAGAGCAGAGGGGACCATAAGGGTTCCTTAATCTCTTTGCAGGTAGGGGTGGATGTCGGGTGCAGGTAATTTCTAAATACCAGCTGGTGTGAATTTCCTTACACCTACATACTCTACAAATAGGGAATTTAAAGAGATGCTAGTGTACCCTTTCCTTAGGTCAAAGACATGGGCCACTCTCCCTGACACTCTGATTGTCCCATTCCTTCTAGAATATCATAGGGACTTGCTCCATTTCTGATTCAGAAAACATGACCTGAATCAACAGTTATGTCCACATGTGATCTGGAAGAAAACAGTCCATAGCTCTGTGATTCATTTATCTGCACCACATTTTGTTTTCGGTTGGGCCTGTGATTTCATTGTTACAAGATGGCAGTGAGGAAACTCCCTCCACCAACACAAACTGGCACCTGTTCTGCAACTTAGAGCCTGGAAGAGTAGCCTGGGGGCCATAGGAGGATAAAGGCCTTGCTCAGGGTTATACAGTCAGTAAGTAGATCAGACACAAGCCTCGTACCCTTGTTTTCTGACTCTGGCTGGGTATCTATCCACCCTGCTCCACTGCGTCTCCATTTGCACAGCTCCTTCAGTGAAGGACAACATCTGACCCTCCTCTTCCGCACTCACTTCATAAGTAAAGACTCATATTCTAACTTTTTAAAAGTGGTCTTAGGATAGAAGACATTAGTATCAGAGAGTGGCATGGCATAAAAACAATGAAACCAGGGCTAACTCAGACCAGGTCACAGCCACCTTCTTCTCCTCAGCTCTCCATTTTTGACTATTCTCATCTCTGTCCTCTCATCTCTGACCTACCATGTTCACTACTTTCTCACTGTTCTTTGGATATTGTATTCCCACCCAACACAAGGAGCATGATGGTCAGGAATTCCCCAGGCACTGGAAGCAACACAACCTTCTCAACCATGGTCAGACATGTTCCTGGAGTGGGTTCAAAGTCTGTCAAGATCTTGTTCTCTCCTGGTACTGAAATTATCTGAAGGTCTACTAAATGTATCTTCAGTGATTCGATTCCTGGTCCTAGATGCAGTCCTTATCTTCTGGATCCACATTTTCCCATAGACCCTGGTTTTAAAACATCTGAAGAACGGCAAAGAGACAGCCTCTCTCTACCTTGGACTTTTGGGAGGCAAGGAGAATGAAACAGAGGAGTACAATTACCTCTCTTCCTAGCAGAAAGTTAATCTCCTTGGATCAGACAGCAGCTGGATCATTGTACTTTCTGTCAAATACTGCTAGAAACAAAACAGAGGGGGAGAAATCAGTATTAGAGCTATCAACCAAAGGTGCTTAACCTGTCCTCAAGGCTCTGCATTCAGAGAAAGCCAACGAATCCTAAACACAGAAAATAACCCAGTACATGAGCAGCTAGCAGCAACATGGCACTGCTATTTGAAAAGCATTGAGCTCCCAGTGTTGCTTCCTAATACAGACAGAAATCTGCACATGTGTGACATACACAGAGACCACAAACTGCCACAATCCCTACTTCCATCATAAAACTTTACACAAACCACAACCTTACTAATCAGAGCCAAACTCCTCTATCTGGCTGAGATATAGAGATCCACATTCTCTTTAAACCCTCTATTCCTTCTTCTCTCACATCTTCATTTTCTATAGATTATCTTCATGTACTTCATGTACTTCACTGAAAAAAAATTAGCTCAGCCAGTAGCAATTTTTCACATTCCCATTTTTCCCTCAAAGACTCTATGTATACTCTCTTTCTTTCATTTGGTCTTCAGTGGGAGGAAAGGGTGAGTGATTAAAAATATGTTTTATTGAGTGAGGGCTTTTGCCTTTATAGCACTAAGGGGAAAAAATCCTACCAACTGCCCACACAAAGCGTTCAACCCTCATAGATCTTGATGTCATTCAAAGTGTCAATTATCCCTGCTATCTTTGTCGCATCTGTAAATTTGATAAACTCACCATCTCTGCTTTTATCCAAGTAATGAAGCATTGTAGTACAACGGGGGAAAAAACTCTGAAGGAAGGACTTTTTTGGTGGTTGTTCCTAGCTCTCTGAAGAATCCTTCTTTTCCTCTCCCTCCTCCTGCCCACAAGGCTCTGTTCTCAGTCTGCTGAGAAGACGTCCCTCTACACATACATCTCATTATATACAATATAGTAAGCTTACCCACTCTCATGGCTTCAGTTATACTTTCTATATTAATGAATCCTAAATAAACTATATTTTTCTTGGAAAGGAGAAATAACTCTAAATGCTCTGGCAAAACAAATTCTCTAAATTCCAAGCTCTTGTAGAATGATAAGGAGAATTCTGTAAGGGGCCAGAATTGTAGGGAAGACTTCCTATTGGAGGGTAAAGAATGACCAAAGAATGTGATTACAGATGCTTTAGGAAAGACTTCAGAGCCAGAGGTACAGTGATTGCTAAAGCTGTGTGAATGCATGAGATCTTGAAGGAAGAAAATATAGAGAAAACTGAAGGCAGAACTTTGGAGCACACATTTTGGGGAGGCAGAAGGAGGAAAAGGGGCACAGAGATGATCAGAAAGGTAACAGGTAAACCAGGATGGTGTAACATCATAAAAGAAAGTCAAGAGAACAGAAAGTTTCTGGGAATTGGTGATGTCAAATGCTACGAGACCTCAAGTAGAATGGAAATTGAGAAAAGGTCATTGGATTCAGGAAATGGGAAGCATTTTTCACAGACTTACTGGTACAGTTAATTTTTGTTTAATAGATAGCCTTATACTCTGTTAACAACTATCAGTAGCACCTTATTTGTGACAGCTGAGTCCAGTTATGTATGCCGAAGGTAGCATTTCACTAAGACAATATCACTAATACCTAGTGCTACCTCTCAGTTAATGGTATTGAGCAAGAATAAGGTAGTGCTGACATATCCTAGGCAGAAATGTTAAAAGCCTCATTAGAACTATCTGCAAAAGAAGAAAGGTAGACAACTAAGGGGAGCATCTGAAACCAAAAAAAAGGGGGTCAAAGGAGAACTAACATGACATAAAAGGAGAAATGCAAATTATTTACAACCATATGAAGGAATGCTCCAATTAATTAATAAAAGAAATGCAAATCAAACAACTCCAAAGTTTCATCTCACACCAAGCAAACTGGAAAAGACAAGAAAAGATGGGAATAGTCAATGTGAGAAGGGACTGTGGAGAGATAGGCATACTAATGCATTTTGGTGGAACACTGATACAATCATTCTAAAATGACTATATCAGACAAAAAAAAAGAGACAAAAATGCCCATACTCTTTGACCTGTAGATTCTACTCTTAATTATAAATCCCAGGGAGGTCACTGACAGAAAGACTCCATAATACACATCAAAATATTTATAAAACTTTTTGTGGTAGCAAAGAATTGGAAGCAAAGTAGATGCTCATGGGCTGAGGAAGGCTAAATACACTGTAGTGAATACATGTAATGGAAAACTACTGGGCTGTAAGAAATGACTAAGACGATACATTATATGTTTATATATTATAAATAAAATATATTACATGTTATATAAGTATATATAAATAAATTATAAATATGATCCATACAGAGAAACATGGAAAGACATAAGTGACATAAGCAGAGCCAGAAAAACAAAACAGCAGTGATTTAGGCAATGTAAATGTGAAGAACAACCACAAAAGAGTAAAACTGAATATTGCAAAATTATAAAGACCAAGCTTTTCACCAAAGAAGAGAAGACATCTATCTCTGTCTGCTGAAACACTGCATGTAATGTCAGAATTTGGGGGATATGTTGATTAGTTTTGCTGATTTTTTTCTCTTCCAAAAAAATTCTTTCTTATACAGGATAGCTGTCTGGGAAAGGAGAGGAATGGATACAAAGGGAAATCTAGGTGACGTAAAACAAACAGTATCAGTAAGGATCTATCATTTTTTAAAATATTTTTAAAAGAACTTGTCTCTAACTTCCAAACTTCTAATTAGTAGGTAAATTCATAGATGCATAGAATCTTTTGTTGTTGTTGTTGTTGTTTTTGGCAAGGCAATTGGGATTAAGTGACTTGCCCAGGGTCACACAGCTAGTAAGTTTCAAGTATCTGGCCTGAGACTAGATTTGAACTCAGGTCCTCCTGACTCCAGGGCCAGTGCTCTATCCACTGGGCCACCTAGCGGCCCCAGATGCAAAGAATCTTGATAGGAAGAGGTGAGATGAGAGAAAGGCAGCATAAAGTGGGGAAAAAAATGGATTTTGAGTCAGAAGTAACCCACAGTAGCTCGCCATGTGACAAGAGGCAAGCCAATTGACATTTTCTGGCCTCGGTTTATTCCTCTGTAAATTAAGGGCATGCGATTTCACAGCCTCTCAAAGCAACCCAGTCCCACTTGTGATCAGCTCTAAGTGTTAGGAAGTTTCTCCTGACATCAAATTTAAATTTGCTTCTTTGTAATTTTCACCACTGCTTCTGGCTCCAGCTTCTAGAGCCAAACAGACAAGTCTAATCCCTCTCCCACACAAGTCCTTCAAATGCTAGATGACCTCTGTGTTCCCTTCTGGCTCTAAATGTTGGCTCCAAGGATTTCAAAGGTCCTTTCCAGACTTTCTTTTTGATTGTGAACTTAACATCTCAAGATCTACAGAACAGGGATGTTGGGCAGAACCAAGATGGCAGAGTGATAGGAAGCAATGCACTTGATCTCTTTTTCACAAACTCTTCCCAACAAATTCAGATAATGTACTAGATTGAATCCTGATGGGAAATCCAGAAAAAGTCACTATGAGTCCTTTGTCCAGCCCACTTCGACATAAGGAGAGAGGGAAGTTTTAGGATACTGAAAACAGTCAGGCCAAAAGCCTGCTGTTACACTTGGGACTCTCCGGTGCCCAGGGAGAAACTATTCACTAGGGCAAAAAGAGGTCTTGGACTCAGACTGGGATATCTCCAGACATATACCAGGGCACTGCAATGGGGTCAAGTGCCAACAGGCAGCTTTGTCGCCCATAATCCAGTCCTGGGTCACAGATCCAGGGCTGAATGCCTTGGGCAATGCACAGAAAAAGGAGTACGTTCAGAAGCTATCAGCAGCAGTGTAGTTCATGCCTCAGGTGCAAAGCAGAGCTACATTTCCAATGTCTAGCCCAGCCCAGAGAGGAGTAACCAGGGCAGGAATCTCACACTAAAGAGGAGCCTAGATTCGGCTACCCTGAACCAACGGCTTTCCAGTTAGCTGACAGGGACAGAGTCTAGCAGCATTTACTCTTGCTCAGACCCAAACTCACATTAGGAACTTGCAGAGCTCAAACTTGAAGGGCAGTGATCAGTCCTTGCCCTGGGGATCAGACTACGTCGAGAGCACCGAAAGCTTGCAGTCCCTAGCCTGTCCTTGAGATCCTGGATTAACACAACACTCAGTACCCCAAAAAAGCAGCAACAGGTCCAGCCCAGGCCTTCCCTCCAGAAGTGCCACAAAGTCCAGCCCTAACAACAAGCCCGAAATCAGGAAGTAAGCTGGAAGAATGGGCAAATGAAAAAGAATCCCATAATGAGCTATTATAAGTGGCAGGGACATTCAAGACACAAAGAAGAAGAAAAAATGACTCCAAAACCTCTACAAGCAAGACCTAAGAGAACAACCCAACTTGGGGCACAAACTCAACTAGAATTCCCGGAAGAGATGAAGCGAGAGTTAAAGAAGAATTAATTTTTTCTTTCATAAATGGAATGAGAGAACTTGAAAAAAAATGTCAAAAGGAATTAGAACCATGGAAGAAATAACTGGAAAAGGAATTAACAGCTTGGCCCAACAGGTTCAGAATGTTGCCCAAGCAACAGACTCCCTGAAAATTAGAATGAACCAAACAGATGTCAATGATTCCATGAAACAACAATACATATTAAAATAAGTCCAAAGGCTGAAAAAAAAATAGAAGAAAATGTAAGGTTATCTCATAGAAAAAAAAAACCAAACCTGGAAAAAAGATCAAGAAGAAAAGAATCAGTGGACTATCTGAATGCTGTGACCAAAAAAAGAGCCTACATATCATCTTCCAAGAAATCTTAAAAAAAAAAAGTTTTAGGGGCAGCTAGGAGGTGCAGTGGATAAGAGCATCAGCCCTGAAGTCAGGAGGTCCTGAGTTCAAATCTGGCCTCAGACCAAACACTTGACACTTACTAGCTGTGTGACCCTAGGCAAGTCACTTAACCCCAATTGCCTTTTAAAAAAAAAAAAAAGAAATCTTAAAAGAAAACTGCCCAGATCTCTTAGAAACAGAAGGCAAAAAAGAAACAGAAAGCATCCACTGGCTACCTCCTAAAAGAAACCCCAAAATGAAAAATCCCAGGAAAAATATTGCCAAAATCCAGATCTTTCAGCTCAAAACAAAAAAAATATTGTAAGCAGCCAGGAAGAAAGAACAGAAGTACTGAGAAGCCACAGAGAGAATCACACAAGAGTTAGCAGCCACCACTAAAAGAAGAGAACTTGGAATATGATACCCCAGAAAGCAAAGGATCTGGGCCTCCAGCCAAAAATTACTTACCCAGAAAACCTGAGTATAATGTTACAGGGTGAAAAAATGAACCTTAAATGAAATAATGGACTTCCAGGCATTCCTGATGAGAAGACCAGGTCTATGGAGAAACTCTGAAGCACAAACACAGGAGTGAAGAGAAATATAAAAAAGTAAACATGAATGAACAATGATATATAAAGAACTAAACAAGGATAAACTGCTTACATTCAAATACGATACATGAATATCCTCTGGATACTACCATCATCAGAGTTCCTAGAGGGAGTCCAATTAGACAAGGCCTGAGAATAGTTCTGTTGCGGCTTGATGATATTAAGACTGGAAAGAGAGGGAAGAAGAATACATTGGGAGGAGGGAAAGGGAAAGGAAGGTTAGGGAAAATTATTTCACATAATTAGGTTGCACAAGTAGACACCTACACAAACAAGGAGAAGAGAGTGGCAGGGAGTGGCTGGCAGTTGAACTTCATTCTCATCTAACTTGGTCAAAAGAAGAAAGAAAACACACACAGAGTTGGGTACAAGCATACATTTCACTGAATAGGGAACTAGAAGGGAAAGGGGAGAATGGGGGGGGGAGGAATCAGAGGGATAGTAGAATAAGGGAGGTATTAGTCCTAAACAAAACAAACTCTAAGGATCTACAAGGCCCTCTGAGAAGGCAAACAATGGGAATCTAAGGAAGGGTGCCTATAAATTGAGGAACAGATGAACAAGTTATGGTATATAACTATGGAGGAATACTATTGTGCTGAAATCTCATCAGCATAATAACCAAACAGAATTCCAGAGGACTAATGATGAAAAATGATTGAGTTGGACATGATCAATGTAGAAATTTGTTTTGATTGACTACACGTGGTAATGGGTTTTGTTTTTCTTGCTTTCTGAATGGGGAAGGGGGCAAAATGAGAGGTTGAGAAGACATTTCTTTGAAAATAAATTTTAATTTAAAAAACAAAGAACAGAGAAAAGCTGTAAAAAACTGCAAACATTTGTTAGGCAGAGTGTTTTTTAAAAAAGAACCAGGAATACAATACGTACATATGTATGTATATTTATATATAATGTATACTGGTATGTGTGTATATACATATACTACACATATGCATACAGTATGCCTATATATACTATGTATATATACGTGTGTATATGTGTGTATATATATACACACATATAAACACACATATCTGTCCCATGTACATGTCCCATAGACTGTATGTGTATGTGTGTGTGTGTGTGTGTGTGTATGGCGAGAGAACACAGATGGAGAGACAGAGGAAGAGAGACAGAGAGAAGAGAAGAGAGGAAGAGAGACACAGAGAGAGAAGAGAGAGTGAGAGAAGAGAGACAGAGAGAGAGAGGAGGGGGAAAAAGAGAGGTAAGAGAGGGAGGGAGAGAGAGAGAGAGAGAGACAGACAGAGAGGAGAGAGAGAGAGAGAGAGAGAGAGAGAGAGAGAGAGAGAGATTGAGAATGAGAATGAATAACAAAGTAACAGAATTCGACCTATTACTCAAAAAATGGTCCCAGGTCTGAGTGTTGCTGGGAAAAGTCACGGACCTGGCTGACCTCAGTGTACATCCCTGTTCTCTGTTTCAGGTCCCTCTCTCTCGCTCCCTCCCCCCTTCCCTTGCCTCTCACCAGCCAGGACCTCGATTCCACCAGACTGAGGCTGAGGCACCTCCCTCCCTCCTCTCCCCCTCCTCTCTCTCTCTCTCTCCTTTCCCTCCTAAAAGAGACTGGAGAACCCACTGTCACTGGGGAATGGGCTTTTGTTAGAAAAAGGGGAGGGGAGGGAGTCTGCGTCCCATGGGGCAGAGAATGCTCCAAGAGCCTTAAGATCTGAGTGCGAATCCAGATCTGCCACTGGCTATCTGTGTGACCCTGGGCAAGTCGCCTCCCCTTCTCTGGGCCTCCGATCCTCAGAGAAACCCCTCCCCACCCCCTGCACCGGCCCAGGGTCTGCAGACCCCACTCTCCTCCAGGGACACTCGGAGACGGACACGGAGACACAAACATACACATACACATACACATACACACACACACACACACACACAGGCCTTACCTTCGTTCAGCCCTGGACTACATAAAGCCTACGGCCAAAACCCCGGATCCCATCCCGGGCTCTGTCTACATAAACATAAACCCAAAACCCTTTGGGAAGCTTAGCTTCAACTTCCAATGGCCAGACTCTCTTTCCCAGCAGCCTCTGCGTGGCTCCGGAACCCCGCCCTCCAGGTTTTCGAGGGCGGGCAGTCTGCTCTGGAAATGGATTCTGGGAAATTGATGCGTTGTGCGCAAGAGCAGAGCTCTCTGGCCTCTGGGAAATGTAGTCCTGGATTTCAGGCGCACAGTCGCTGTCTCCTTGTTTGTAAAATGAGGATTTTAAGAGCACCTATCTCGTAGGGTTGTTGTGAAGATCAAATGAGATATGACATGTGAAGTGCTTTTGAAGTGTTAAAGAAGCATATCAATATTGACCGTCGTCGTCTTGTTGCTGGTCCATTGAGACCATGGCAGGGTGGGCAAGTTTGGATGGATGCGGAAGGACAGACGTCACGTGAGCCGTGCACTTTGACAATATCGTAGCTACGGGGCAGCTAAGTGGCGCAGTGGATAGAGCACCGGCCCTGAAGTCAGGAGGATCTGAGTTCAAATGCAACCTCAGACCAAGCACTTGACACTAGCTGTGTGACCCTGGGTAAGTCACTTAACCCCAATTGCCTAACAAACATTAACAATATCATAGATACAGACATCAGAGGCCACTGAGTTCCACCCCTTCGTTTTACAGATTAGGGATGAGTAATACAGTGATTTGACCATGGTCACTCAAGGAACAGGCATCAGAGGCGGTGACTTTTCCCCTCTATCAGGTAAGGAGCCGTTGCGTGAGGGGTCTACGGTAAGAGCATCCTCATAGTTTGTTGTTCAGGGGTTGCCTTTATCCCTCCTGCTAGGGTTTGGAGCAGAGGTTTCCAAACTTATTTGGCCTACTGCCCCCTTTTTAAAAAAAATTACTCAGCACCTCCCCACCCCGAAATCTACTTTCTTTAACCCTTTGACTTTTTACAAAAATTTTGTTATTTAAAAAAAATTTTTTAAACGATGCATTGTAAATTTAATAATTTATTGTAAATTTGTGGGGTTTTTCCTGCATTGAAATTTTGATGACACAATATTGCCTCACGTCATTACACAGCATATTTTCCTACTGATGCATCCTGGACTTCCAGATGATGTGCTACTCAATCACTTGCCAACACTTGCTTGTTAAGACTTGTCATCAGACTTGACCACTGATTGGTTAAAACTTGCATTTTGTGTATTTATTTGGATAAGAATGTAATCACTATGACTTTAACTGTGTTACACAACAGATGAAACACGTGCAAACGATTTTTCAAAATTTTCTCTTCTTGTCTTCTTTCCTTATGTTTCCACTGCTCCCTTATTTTTATTCAAGGCCCCCCAGTTGCACCCTAGGCTACTACGGCCCCCTGGATCGTTCCAGCTCCCCCCAGGGGGCAGTATCATCCACTTTGGGAACCAAACTTTGCAGGAATGGGAGAAGGTGGGACCAGGACTGTTCTTTCACCCTTTCCTTTCACAGATACTGAGCTCAAGAGAGAGGGGAAGTATTTTGCCCACGTTGTGCATAGCCAATCAGTTATAGAATCACAGAAATTTAGAATTGGATAGTAAGTCAACAGCCATCCAGTACTGCCCTCTACAATAGAGTTAACAAGCAATTTGTTTGAAGACCTACAATAAGCTGGAACCTAATACATATAGTTCATCTGGAGGAGGGCAGATCAAGTAATATTTTGTTCTTTTTCCTCCTTCTTCCCCCTCGCTCCAGGCTACAATTAAGCAATTGTATTTTTATTTATAAATTTATAAATAGATATAGATATATACATATATGTATGTCTATATATATATGTATACATATAGACATCCATAATACAAACATATACATTCCCTAACAGATTCTACTCCTGATCTTTGTTTTTATGTTTGTGCATGTCTCTTATTTCCTATCCCTTCTGACTCCTCTACTTTACTTCCATGTACTACCTTGCCCTCCTATTACTTGATCTACCCCTCTCCAATGAGCTCTCTCTTATCCTTCTATTCCCATAAATCTAAACATCCTTTTATATGCCTCTTTGACGTATTATTCCCTCACCCTCCCTTCTAAAGTTCCCTCCACAAATATTTTTGTACATAGTTATTTGCATGTTTTCTCTTTTGTTATACTGTAAAGTCTTTGAGGGCAGGAATAGTGTTTTTGTTTTTCTTTGTATCCCCAACACTTAGCAGAGTGCCTGGCATGAAGTAGGTGCTTAATAAATGCATATTGACTAATCAACAAAATGCAGAGAAGATAGAAGAAACAGAAGAAGAAAATGAAATGATGAAACTGTACCATATTGTCAGACATGCTAAAGCTCAGAATGAAGTGAGATTACGAGGGAAGAAAAGGACAATAAAAAGGGTATTTGTCACACACAAGACACTCCATTCTCAGACTCAGTGCATTTTCACTAGCTGTCCCCGTGCTTGAAATGCCTTCCCTCTTTGTCTCTACTTCATGGCTTCCTTTGAGTCTCACCTACAATCCCACCTTCTGTAAGAATGCTTTCCCAGGCCCCCTTAATGCTAGTGCCTTCCCTCTGAGACTACCTCCAAATTATTCTGTATATATTTTGTTTGTAAACGAGTTTTTTAGTGTATTGTCCCTGTTAGACTGTGAACTCTTTGAAGGCTTAATCCTCAGGATGAGGCAGAGTACCTGACACGTAGCAGACGTTAATAAATGATAAGACAAAGAAGAGAGATGTCAAGAACATGAATAGAATGTTAGAAAAACTGGATATAATAGCCCTCAGGTGATTCCTGAATGAAAATTGAAAGGAATATACATAATTCTCAGCTCCACATAGCACTTTTACAAAAATTTACACATAAACAAAAGCAGAAAAGCAAGAATATTAAACTGTTCTTTTATTGACTGCAGTACAATGCAGATTACAATCAACAAAGGGGTATTTGAAGATATGATTCAAATTTGAATGGAGAGTAATATCCTAAAGAATATGGTGGTCAAACAATACATAGTAGAAACAAATAATTTCATCAGAAAAAAAATTAAAACAGTGATTTCCGAAAACATATCAAAACTTTTAGGATAAAGCTAAAGCAGTCAATAGGGGAAATTTTATATCTCTAAATGCTTTCATCAACAAAAAAAAAAAAGGGAAAGAACAACTCCACAAATTGGGCATGCAATTTTTAAAAATGGAAAAGCAATAAATCAAAAAATCCTAACTAAAAAAATTAAAATTCTGAAAATAAAAAGAGAAAAAAAGTTAAATAGCCATTGAATTGGTCAACAAGACCAATTTTAAACAAGCCAGTTTAAAAAACTGATGAAATACATCAACTTTCTGATTCTCAAAACACACTATTCTTCTGTGGTTCTATTCACTATGTAACAGAGGACTTAGCCAATGAGACCCCAGTCCCTAAAATAGGTGCAATATGCTGTGTTTGGTATCAGTCCATGTGGAAGCTTAGTGAGCCTACTTCCAGAAATGTATAATGGTGAGTGATGATGAGGCTGTCCTATATTTCTCGTCAATTTATGTCATGGTAATGAAAAACTTTTTAATTGGTTAGTGAGCCAAAACTGTGTACATATAAAAGGTTAAAATGAGTGGAAGAGCCCTCTTTTCCTTGGTAATGAGAAGAGACAAGATCTACTATAAGTTATAAGCTTCAGAGTGAGAACCTACCAAGTCCGCTTCAGGAAGTGGCATAGCAGATGGGTGAATAAATGCTTGATTATAGGATACAGTTGTTTTGGCTCATGGGTCCATTTTCTGCTGTGTTATTTCTCACGGCTAGCTTCCCTCAGACTCTACCACGGGCTGCAGTTGCTGGACTTCTGGTAATTCTTCCAATCTTAATGAAGCACACAAGGTTTCATAGTCTGTTTCATCTCTGATACTCACTTAGCAAAGATTAGGAAAAAATTATCAGGGATCAAAACAATAGAGGTGGCCCTGGGTTCATACCCACATGGCGGTGCAAGTGGGAGATAGAAGGCAGCTGTTGGTAGCACCTGCAACCTCTCTTCCTATCCTGAAGCTTACAGCAATTCTTGCCTCATCACCAAGGAAAAGAGAATTCTTTTTAATTGAGCTCTTTTGTATGAACACTCAGTTCTGGCTCAGTAGCTAATCATGTAAAATAATTATGTAAAGACAGAATAGCACTCAGTCATAGGATACCTGTGTAGGCATGCTATGAATGGGGGTGGGGTGGGGAAGAGGCCCTCCATCATACACCATCACACATTTCTAGAAGCAGGTTCACCAACTCTCCATGTGGGTTGATACCAGGCAGAGTATATTGAGCATGCTTTAAGGGCATAGCCCCCATTGGTCTTCACCCCTACAACTTTCCAAAGCAAAACACTTTTTCTTGGCCACCACTGGCTATATAGGAGAATATGTATAGACTGCTCCTATTAGACTATACAGGCTATATTAGACTATTAGACTATAGTCTATTAGACTATAAGCTCCTTAAGGACAGGGGCTGTCTTCCCTTTTTCCCCTTCCATCTCCAGCTACACACTTTTCTTGCCTAATCTCCAGCCTTTGGAGGGAAGAGGATTTGTGAAGCAATGCCTCCCATTTGACCATCAAGACTGTGTGCTTCTCATCTTATATTGCACTTGCCTCCAGCCCAATCTTCAACCTCTTTTGGGAAGAGGAATGGTGCCTTCCATTCAATGATGAACATTCTCACATCTCATCATACCCTTCACATCCCAGTGACTCTGAACACCTGTAGTATCATCCAAAACCTCATTCCCCCCCATCCAATTCTTCATTCCCACCCTCATTCCCTCAAAGTTCAACCAGACACTACCCAGCCCTTCTACTGTGTCCTCTGGAATGTCTCCTCTATAGGCAACAAACATCCCTTCATCTTAAATCTTTTCTTTCACATATTCCTTCTAAACTTGGCTCTTCTCTGATGACAACCTACCCCATCCCCTCCCCTGCCACCCTTTCAAGTATTGGCTGCATTTTTCCTCATTCTTCTCAACTCACTGGCCAAGGCAGGAGAGTTGGAATATTCCTTGCTCCCTATAGCTACTTGCATTATTGCTAAATAACCTCTCTTCCTTTGAGGTTAATGCTGTTCATATCTAC